GAAAGATCTTTTGTGAGGTAGACCCTTCTTTTCATTAAACAACTTTCAGTGCTTTATTTAATAAGCTCGATCCTGATACTTGATGACCATATTGACCCTTTCTTAATTACATATGTAACAAATTCGATATAGAATAAGGATACAATTCATTATTAAAAAGAATCAAACAAACATTCATTCAAAGCAGCTTATTATTCTTAGCTGATCATCAAAAAGAATAAATGAAGCTTCAACGTAATTGTAGGTGAAATATGATTAGCTCATGATATATATGCAATTGAGACAGAACATGATAGCCCAATATACTAGGTCCTAGCTGATATTGAAATTGAATCAGTTGATATTGAACGTTTCAAATTGCAGCATGATCACAAGATAATATTCAGAATTATATATCAACGAAAAAAAAAGAGCTATCCTAATCAAAGATTATAGATCAGATATTTGATAGCGAACAACGAATCCCTTATGGTACTTCCAATTGAGATAAAAAAAGCATCAATCCAAAATATTGATAAAAATTAAGAAGTTCTGTCTAGAAGCAAAGGGATCAAAAAAAATGGGAATTCGTGGGTTTAAATATTCGCGGAAGTACACATCACAGGGGCTAATAATTAAAATAACCTTAAACAGACACAGCTATAAGTGAAGAAACTATGATGTATTATAAAGATGAATTTCAAGTACTACATCAAAAGGTTAAAGATATAGAAAGTTCATGTATTCAAATGATGAATCATCTGATGAAATAATTCAAATCATCAAATCATTAACTTGAATTTTTTGTTCATATACATGAAGTTGATCATCAAGATGAAATATAAACAGCTGTAGCTATGAATATGGATATCTTATAATTACTAATGCCAAAAACGTATGATCAATCTTATAAAATTATTCTCCAATTGCAGATAATAAAACCAATTTCAAATTTCTTTATCCTAATTTATTTAAAGTTAGTATATGAGCTGATGGGGGAATATGATATCAACAATATTTATTAAGCTTGAAAACATGATATATATGATCTATATTCTTCATGCTCAACTTAATGTAGCCAGAATATACGTACAGAACTTATAACTAGAATGTCATGTGGGTGAAATAGTATAACTTATAACTTGGATACTCATAACTAAAACATTTTGGGAATCAAAGAACTCAATGTTTATGAAAAGATATCAAATTTAAAAAGAAAAAAACAGGGGATTAGGGATTTGACGTTTATATATAGATTTTGCCAATAATTTTACAGCGGCTGATAAATTAATTACAACCACAAACACAAATTTGGAGATCGCTCAAGAATGAAGGATCATCACATAAAATTTTATTATATTGAAAAACTAGCTAATGTGATTTCAATTGATGCTTTAAGTTGTATAATATCAAACAAACTAATTGCAATTGTCAAATATACCACTTTGATAAGATATAAGATAAATATGTAGTCATATAGTTAGTTATTACCTTAGATATAGAAACGTATTTGATACAGATTTCTTTGTGTTTAATCCTCTTTATAACCTGATCTTAGTTTGGCGGCTAATCAAAAACATTGATATCGAGTAGCTCCAAAGGTTATTGATAACATTGAAGCCAGTACTACAACTAAATAATAGATATCGATTCAAAATAGATATGGGTGCTCTTTGTATATTAGATTAAATTAAAACTTTTAAGTAAACAAATATAACCCCATGATTTATATAAGTTAAAAGAACACCAATCTATAATTACATAGAATATGAATGTTGTAACTTAATCAAGCACTTTTTGCAGAGATTCATTGAAACAAGAACTTGGTTTTTCTATTGGTCCATTGTACTATTTTCACTTATACTATGATCATCAGTAACATTAACCAGGTTATTTAAGACTTCATGGATCGAAGCTATGTAAATTGATCGATTAAAAACAATCTGTGAAATTTAAAGGAAGTCGATCTCTTTTTGTACCTAGTAAAAATATTAAGGCGCCACTGAACATTCTCATATGATTTAAATATTCTGAGCGGCTAGTACGTATAATTAGCTAGCTTTATATAATAAATTTATATTATTATGCATAATTAGACCAATAGTACAGCGTCCATATTAATTAATGAGTCGACGAAAGAAAAGTTCAATTGTATAGACAGTAGTCATATCATTAAAATAGCTAATCATCTACAATATGTACTATTATTAGTGTGTCCTTTGTAAAACGATAACCAAATCATATATTAATTAATCCAGTACAATCAAGTCTTTGCAAACTATCATGATTGAATAACTAGTTTGATTAAATTCAAGATATCTTCAAGATAGCATTGAATGAGTTAATTCTTTGACTTAATTCAAAGCATGCACTGATCAAGCTTGAATTGCACCTTGTAGATAGCTGTGTGAAGACATGAGGATTAATGTTATCATGAGCTGCACTCAATCCAAAGAATGTTGGGCATTATTTTTAAATAGAACAATTCCATTGAAAGTAAATGATCACTGAAACTATTGTCAATATTACAATATTCATGGTGTGAACTGATCACAAAATAATAAAAATAAAGGGATTGAAGTTGGTTTTATATTGATTTTAATTTGCCGGGGCACGGAGATATTTCCTAAAAAAGTAATTTTTATTTTAAATTAATGTCGATCAATAGTTTTCAAGCTGTTGATAATTTCAAAAAGTGATAGCGGCTAATCCAGTAATTGGTAATTATGAACCATCAATGATCATGAACTTGATCGAATAGAATACGACTAATGAAATATACAACATTATCAAAAATCAAACAATCATATAAATTCAAATGATCATGTCATTAAAACTCAAGCCCAAATTAAAATTGAAATGAATAATATGAATCGTATGTAACGTATGAATTATTACCATAAATTTACAAAAGAGCTACAAGCTATGACAGCTACTAGCTGCACTACTGATAAATAACGTTGAAAACAAGATATCACAATCCATATATTGATTAAACTCTCATAGCTTTCATTAAAAGACCGAGATATCTATCATATTTTCATTGTGTTTTTGAGCATGTGTTATAAGCATGGTAGATATGATCAAACAAAGTTTTCAATTTGAATCATTATATACCATCATACTGTTATAAGTTACCAAAAATATGAAAACTATACTGGAACTGAAAATATATTATGCAACGAACAATCAAAATGAAGGCAAATGGTTTCAAATGAACAAATGAATTTTAAAATGGATTATAAATGGATTATAAATGAATATATCAATATGTATAAAGAGCTGCAACTAGCTCCATGAATTTGTAAAACCATCTTTTATATATTATACTGATTTTTTGAGGATCTCAGAATAAATTTACGTTACACAAAACCAATGTTATAATTGATTCCAATATAATCAGCTGAGATCAACTTTAATTAGATGAATCACGCAGCGGCTAATCTATATGAACTTTAAAGTACTTGTGTAGCTTGAAATTATATTGAATTCAATAAGTCTATGTTGGAAACAAGCCTTGACCCAATTATTGATAAGCCCATGTATCAAATTCGATAAATATTCACTACAATAATCTTATTAAAAAGAATCAAACAATCATTCATTCAACTTATTATTCCTAGATCAAAAAGAATAAATTCAGCTTCAGTAATTGTAGATAAACTGTTATCCATGAATATGATGTTCTTTAAAACAAAACAAACCTTAAGCTGGATTAACTGACGAGCATATTATCAAAGAGTTGAGAGATCATAACAAAAGCTGTACATATCAAAAGGTGATAACAATTGAAAAAACGAATCTTAAATTTCAATCAATGATTAGCGTTAATTAATTTTCGTATATCATAAAGCAATTAACATCAAGAAAAATGTGAGAAATCATGTGTGAAATACAAAATTGATTTTTGGATGACAGCGGTTAATTGTAATACCACAAAGACATTAATGAGTGATCAAACTAGTACCTACTAATCAACTACAATTCATTAACTAAAGATAAGAAATCACGATATGTATTTAAAGAGATCTTGTGTCACAAAGATCATATTGATATTAAATTATCAACTGTGATTTGATAATAAGTATATATCTAAATATATATAGTATAAGATCAATAATATAACGATGTCTAGATATAGCTTTTTTTTGGATGTGAATTGCAATCAATTATAGAGGAACAGACTATAAGAAAGTAATTGAATTCACTAAAATAGTACTTTAGATCACCTAAACCACTGTCATCCATAAAAAGTTGAAAATATGTATGAGTTCAGCTCTGGAAACTCGAGTAAAGAGAGACATAGATGTGGATGAAGATATAAGAATGTTTAAACAATTGGAAAAATAATTTAAATATATAATACTAATTTATATACGTCGTAGTACAAAGATGATTGCTTAGCGGCTAATTTTTAGAATTATATGAATCCCATGTGATGAAGATTCCACTAATATAATAGATCAAGAGACAGATATTGAAAACAAGTACTACAAATGAATTATTGAAATGGGATATTATATGTATATTCAAAGATCAAGTCTTTTCAAACTCATCTAATTGTGATACATAATTGTTTAGTAAGGGTATAATATAGTTTTGAATTTGATAATGCAGTTTAAATCAACAAATCATTCATAACAATTCAACTATATGTATTTTCCATTGATCATGAAATATTATACTAGTAACGACGACGTCCAGTGCTGTTGAATCTTCAGTAAAATACATTTAAAAAATACCTGAAAGCACTCCTAGTTCAGCTGCATCAATTAATAGCTGTAAGTACTAACTGAATATTAAAATCTATAATAATTTTAAAAAATTGAATGATCATTGAATTAATTGAGAAAACTGGGAATTTGATCTCCTTTTATAATAATCCAATTTTCATCAGGGCGGCTAATTTTAAGTGATCTACAAAAAATTCAAATTTAAATGCAAACGTCATTCATAAATAATTTAATCTCTAATAATATTCTATAACTAATAAATAATTAATAAATAAACCCTTCCAATGATCATTTATCATATAATGTACCACTTTCTAAATCATGAACAACTTCAGTTCCACTTTTTTCATGATCAACTTCATCAACTTCATCTTCAAAATCTTTTAATCTTGGAGTTTCATAAATCAAACTTCCAATTAAACAACCAATAGTTATTAAAATCAAACAAACTCCATAAATACAACTAATAATTTTAAAAGTTTCATAATTCATTAATTTCCCTGTTAAATTTGTTGATATTGACATTGTACCTAGGGGGAAAGTCATTGCCCACCAACCTTTATGGAAATGTAAACCTTTTGATCTTGTAATTACTGAAACTATTGCAATGAAAGTCATGAAAAATCCAAATGTTTCCAAAAAAATTGCAACAAATATACATGTATATTTTATTGTAATACCAATCATTATTGATTCTGTTGAAGTTTCTGGAAAACCATATGAATCATGGAAATTTTTACCAAATAATTGAATTGCATAAGCACCTTGACCTAAAAATCCAATTGGTATAAAACTTGTGAAAATTGCTTGTTGATTTGGAATCTTGAAAATAAATAATTTATAAAAATAAATTGTTGTAATAATAAATGAAACAATCATTGAATTTGCCCATAATAAATAAGTAATGATTAAAGTCGATGGTTTTAGTACCTCAGGTAAATCATGATAAAAAATCCCACCTGATGATGCAACAACAGTTAATGAAACAATTGGTAATAATAATGTTGTAGAAATTTGTTCTAATGATAATTTATTTGATTTTTTAAAAATTATAAAGAAAAAAATTATCCATGATGTGAAAATTGACATTAAATTTCCGATCCACCATAATGTATAAATTAAAATCATACAATGATCCCCCAAGATATAATAAAGCATATTACACCAACTTGTAAATCCCATTGCATAACAACCCAAAAATACAGATTTATTAAAATCACAAATAAATTTGTTCCAGTTTTGATAAATTAATAAATTTAATATGAATAATATTGAAGTTGATAATAATAATAATGAATTTATACCAAACATTATTAATCCACAAATTTTTAACCATTGAGATTCATATGGGAAATTATAAAGTATTGCTGAAGTTATACCTGTTCCCATAATACTAACAAACCAAATTGGATTGAAATTTTGTATAAATATTTCTGATAATTTCCTTATAGTAATCATTGTGTGTATGTGTGTAACTAGCAGCAGCTTTTGATGAAAATGTGATTAGCTTATGTTGAAACTAAATTAAAGTTTAACGTTTGCCAAACTGTGGCATCTTTCTAATACTTATACTATTTTGACACATATTTTATGGATGTGTAAATTCCATTTTTACCAAATGATCTAGATAATTTTATGTAGAAATGACTAAAAATGGTGTTTGGTATACCTTGATGGAGTTTGAAAATATAGGCTTTTGGGCTTTGAAAAAAATAAAAGGAAATGGATTGACGATGAGATTATCTAGATGTTGGAGAACTTGGCGTTAATTAATTTCTTTGAAGATGAGAATTGGATTGATGATTAAAGAACTGAATACATCAATAAGTTGTGGATGTATTAGCCCTACAACACTCTTATTCATCGACTGTTATTCTGTTAAACTTATAAAATAGGAAAAATAGTCGGGGTTTGAAAATGAAAACTAATTACATAATACCTGACGTAAGCATAAAAATGGAGTTTGAAATTTTCTTTTTTCTAACGCTAATTTTTTTAATCTGGGGTTTGAAAAAAGGAGAATGAAGAATGAAATGATTTTAAATATAAATAGAATTGCCTTTGTTATGTATTGAGAAACAGGTAATTGATATGCTTGAAAGGGGGTTATGGGTATACCTTGTTAGTATAACAGATGTTGTGTGATAAGCTATACTACAATCAATTAGGTGTTAAAAGATTGGGATAAGCATGTATTTTAACAATATAAAGATAATATCATTAACCATGATTTATGTTTTTGCTTAAAGGTGTATCAAATGAATTTTTATTAGATCAATAAGAAAGTACCATTGATAACCAAGCGGTCTGCTATAAAATTAATCTTAAAACTCTAAAATCAAGATACTAATATAAAGATGAAGACATAAAGACGAAATCAGATTATTTTAATCCAATATTCAAATTAAAAACTTTATTGCTAAATAGTTGACCAGGATTTAATCTCTAGATCATGTTTAATTATGAAAAATAGATTATATGTTACTTTTGAGAAATAAAAAATGTGGATTTTAGTCAATATTTATAAACTTTTCAAATCACAGCGGTTAATTTTAATCTTCATCAGAATAATTGTAATGATACCAAGAGAGGACAGCGGCTAATGGCTAATACACTACAATGGATACTAAAGAAAGTTAAACATAATATGTATTAAACATTAATAGATATCAATTCTCGAGATCAATATTAACCATGTGTTTAAACAATTATGATTAATTAATGTGATTTACTGATCAACAATCAAATTTCAATTAAAATTAAGTATAACTAAATTATTGATTGATTGATTATAAAAAATGGGCCAAAACTAACCGCTAAGTAAATCTTTCAATGATGTCGACACATACCGCACAACTGCATGAAATAATAAAGTTATATATTGGAGTGAGGCGCTAGAATAAATAGACGTCCATAATTAAGTATAGAGTATAGATCGAAGATGTCTTGAGCAATATATATATATAAATCTGTCAAACATATGTTACACAAAAACAAAAGCATGTATAAACTGAGCGGCTAATTTAAAGATATGTCGACCAATTACAATTGCGCGTGAAGCAAAAAAAATCGATTTCTATAATTATTAATATTGATCAATATTGAAACAAATTTGTATATTCACATTAATCATAATCAGCTTTTAGTTATACACCAAAAGACATGATTAGACAATTTGAAATATTATATGTGATGTTATTCAATGAATAACGTATATGATCTAATCTTAATTGATGTAGTTAATGATATGATCGATCTTAATGGTAATTAGCTATACGCTATACGTCTCAAATAAATTAATAACACGACGTTGAAGAACAATAATTAAACCTTAAAAACTGAAGCACAAAACATCTTTTATTCCAAAGCCGTCATTTTATGGAAGCTATTAATACAATACCCAAATCTGAGCATATGATTAAATATTTCAAAAGTCCTTATCGTTTGATCGATACGTATATTTTTTGTAAATTTCAAATTCGAAGTGTTGTCGATTTACTATTTATTGGTAAGGGGCATATGGGATGAACCTTGACTTATGAATGTTTATTAGAAGTAGTACATCACATCAGCACGTAACTTAAATTGTAACCAAAAAGTTATCAAATCAATTAGATCAACTAAATCAAATTACAATTTAGAAGACTAGAGATTAAACTACATTCTATTCAACCCCAAACAATCATAATGTGCATTAAACAAACAATCACTAATTCAACATGTGTATATGATTGATATCATTCAACTCATTATTTTAAATAAACAATCATATAATATTGAATATTGAAGCTATGTACCAGGAATCATATAAGCCCCGTTTGTAAACAACATGATATGATATAAAGTCTTTCCAAAATGACATTGAGAACACAATAATAGAGACCTTTACAGAGACAATTGGACTGAGGTACAGTAAATAACACGTTGAAAGCTGCTCTAAAATCAAAATACATCGACCTGTTAGATTCATTGATCATAAGTTTATAAAGTCACTAGGTGTTCATTGAACTCAAGAGAAAAAGATTATTACTCATACTTATATATTACGTCTAATTAGAATTTTCAAATACTCAATAATTCAAATTAGAATTCGTACCACAAAACCAAAGAATTGTTGGCGGCTAATTACAGAGTTAAAGTTATATTTGTCGATCAATATATTGTTTCAGCAATTCACAACTACAAGCTGGACAATGGTATAAGGGATAATATAATGCAATTATCTGTCTGATTGAATAATAACTAATATTGTAATCACATTTATAGAATCTACATGAAGTGTATTTAAAAACTACTCAAATAATCATTCATTTCAATCTAATCATCTTTATTTAAAACAATGATCAAGATCCAAGTTGAAGATTATATAGAACTAAATAATGAAATCAATCATTGAAGCATAAACATGTATAGTAGCACCATTTCTGGATAAAACCATTGATGATTCTTTGATTTAATTTATAGAAGATCAGATTGACTTTAAGGTTATAACATAAAATGTTTTCATCCACGCTTTGTTGAAACTGTAATTCATAAGAATACTTATGGGAGTGAACAATATATATAAATGTTGAAAGAGACATGATCTTTCACACTTTAAATATAAATATTCAAAAATTAAGATGGGCGGCTAATTTTGATCATGGCAGAGTGTTTACAAATAGAAAAACCAATCTAGTTACTAGTTACTATCATGGGTAAACGCTGTAATGATATCAAATACTAAAAGATTATAGATACTACGATACTACATCAATCAATTGAAAAGTAAGTCACAACATTTATTAATCAGTATCAATATCATCATTTAAGATATATCTAATAACTGATAAAATCCTTTGTGTTTCAAAATGTATATCAATAATAGATCAAAGATCTGTAGATAGCCCTAAGAGACTATGATCCTTGATTATGCCATATTGATATATCTGTAATAAACAATATGAAAACTATAAGGTATAATTCATGGATTAGGAACACCATATAGATTAATGAACACTGATTTCGGCCATCCAATAAAAAACTTGAGGCTTTGGCATTGTCAAGTCACGCGTAACTGGTAATTAGCTTTAACTTCTCATGTGATAAAAGATATCCAAAAATTAAGATCTATTTAAATTATAGACGTTCAAATAAAAACGATCAAAGATCTCATGAAATTTTGAGTTACACAAAACCAAGTACGAGCTACCAGCGGCTAATTAATTTATAACAGCTACAAAACCAATGTAATTATTTGACCAGTTGTATAATTGAAATGATTATTATTGATTTAAAAATGTTTATTTCCAAAGTTAAATCATAATCAGCTTTTAGTTGTACACCAAAAGACATGATTAAATAATTTGAAATATTTGTGTATAGTGAATCTAGTCTTATGATTATGAATACTGATTAGTATAGAGACATTTCATAAATCTGTAGGACTGAACACCTTTTATTGACTAGCTGAAATCAGAAAATATAAAGCACCAAACATGACACCTATCCACGTAATAAATTAGGATCGGTTCTATTGTTTTAAATGATAGTTCTCTTAAAATTTAAAAGGAAATAAAATTTGACCAATTCTTCAATTGGCTTATGTAACACCATACGGTAAACGCCACATAATAGTGCAAAATTTGGATTCTAAATAGCCGGTTAGATAGAACATTAACAATTTATAATAAAGACGAATGAGCTTCATGCTTTTTCAATTGGCAACTTCATAATCATCTGAGCTTACAAGGAAACAAGTGCTGTTGATGAAGAAATCAAATACACTGACTAAGTGAAATCAGTTTATAAGCTTTGACTTAAATATGGAATTTAACTTGTCGACTGCGATGAAGCGAAGTTGAATCACACAGCTAGGCAAGTATAAAGATTTGAGTTTACACAATAACGATCGTCTAAGTTAACAAAGATAATCTAGTCTTGTATATAGTAGAAATTATTAAACACGTATCGATTCATCAAAAACAATGTTCTTCAAATTGGTATATTATAATCAGCTTATAGTTATTCACCACAAGACATGAGAATAAATCCAATGAGGTTGGTAAACTATATATATATATGAAATATATAGTCTTATATATCATTTTTTGAAACAATTTATAACGTCCAGTTCATGATACTTAATTGTATTCAAATCAGATATAAATTAAATCCAGGCCTAATAGGTGAGAGATGGGAGAATGTAAAAATATAGAATCAATGCATCGTTTGAAACCACATGATTATGTAATTGTAGATGTAATTGACCTTCATATAGTCGAGTTGTTTAATTTTTTTTAGCTTATAATGATGTCCTTTTATAATAAGAATTAGTAAATTTGAATGTATGACTTTTTTGGTAACAAAAAGAAATTCAATGCTAGTCAACCATAGAGCCGATTATATCCGGCCTTGGTGGTGTGATAATACTTATAGTAGTAACATGTTACTTATGCCAGTATGATCACGGATATATATGCTATTAGAAAAATTACTGGATGCTCTTAGACAAGTTATAGCTAGTAACTAGTAACTAACAAAAGTTGGGATCATGAGTGGGCTGAACGTTTGAAGTACTAGTTAATGAAAGGATACATTTAACGTATAACGTATGTACGGATGATCATATATTTCAGATCATATATAAATGTCGATAATGAAAAGACTATTGAATTTCCAATCTAGGAATCAATTGATCCCAGCATTTCATATAGATGTATAATATACTTGTATAATATATCGAAGGTCTTCATCATATAAATAACATTAACTTGTCCAGTCCATGTACCTTTATAATGATCAACCAGCTCTTAATTTGTATGAATCAGAAAATCACACAAGCTTAAAGCCAGTATTTCTTGAAATAATTATAAGCAACATATAATAGAATCCGGTACTAACAAGCAAATAGATTCAACGTCACGATCAATTAATAATATCAACTTTAAGGTACTCTAGAAGAAATTGTCACCATGACGAAGAATTTATTCAATATTTACTTGATCAAATATCAGTATAAAATATACTATATATAACATGGGACGAATTGCATGAAATATACATAGATATTAATAATTGATATTTTATTTACCGGCTACAATACGTAATGAATCAACATATATTTAACTTGTTTCAATTAATGACCATCACAATCAAGTCTACATATACAATTGGAAATAGATCTAGTATATAGACATGGATCTACAATTGTATGAACAACATAATTGAAAAACAGGAACTAGATCATATGTATTCATTTATATATATCTTGAATCAATTTCATATGAATATCATGAACTAGATCAATTGAAGATTGAAATATATCTCTTCATTATAATTTAGATCCATGATCTTTGATAACCTTGGATATATTGTATTGAATGAAAGAGTGTATAATCAAAATATTATCAGATCATTTAACTAAAAATTAACTCAGCTATTGGAAATTAATTTAATATTTGCTACCAAATTATGGATGAAGCCACTAATTAATTCACAATTTTAAACGAACTAATCTTGAATAAAGGTAATTTGGAACCAAAATAAAGATTATTATACTATTCAGTAAGATTGTCAAGTAAAAAATCGATCAGAGGAGAAAACAGGAATTTCGGGGGCTTTATATAGACAGAAATATCTCGGCGGCAAAAAATTAAAGTTGTTTGATCACGAAGTTGAATAAACTTTAATTTAATGAGTTGTAGATCACCAATTCATTAAAAGTTGGTCAATCACAGATGATACGATAATTATATCACGATCAAGTGTATAATGCTTTCCATTCATTGAAGGATACATTGACTTTAGCATACCACAGTTAAAGGATGAGTAAGCGTCTGTCGATCTTTACCAATTGGATTTCTCCCTTTAGGGTAAACCCCAGAATTTTGAACCCAATAAGGCCCGAGAGCCCTTGCTGATCAATAATTATATCATATTGGGGTTTTCATTATAAAGACCATGATATATCCTTCATTAAGTCTCCATCTATAGCTGTCAGATCATACGATCAATCATGATTTGGAATTCAATCATTTGGTTTACTTTAATACCCTCAATCTTTGCCTCATCAATTGTTCAACAAAGTCAACAACAACAAAACCCACCACAAGTTCAGATCCAAAATGGTACCATCTCAGGTAAATACTTGGAATCATTCAATCAAGATGCTTACTTAGGTATCCCATTTGCCGAACCACCAATCAATGAATTAAGATTTCAACCACCTAAAAGTTTCCAAACAAATTGGAATGGAACAAAAAATTTCACAGAATATGGTTATGCATGTTTTGCACAAGCTGGTACAGATTCTCAAAGATTATCACAATCTGAAGATTGTTTAACTTTAAACATCGTTAAACCTCATGGTGAATTTAATGATTCATTACCTGTGGCGATTTGGATTCATGGTGGTGGATTCACTGATGGATCAGGTTCAAGACCAAGTTATAATACTTCATGGATTGTTCAAAATTCAATTGAAATTGGGAAACCAATAATTGCCATCACTATAAATTATAGATTAGGCGGGTTTGGATTTTTATCCTCAAATCAAAACACTTTACAAAAATGGACAAATGTTGGATTAAGAGATCAAATTCAAGCTATAAAATGGGTTCATGAAAACATCGAGGGATTTGGTGGTAATCCAAATCATATTGTTTTATGGGGTGAATCTGCAGGATCTACTTCTATAGGGAGATTATTAACAAATGATAAATTATTAGGTTCATATATTAAAGGTGGTATAATGGAAAGTGGACCAAGTGTTTTCACAAATTATGAAATTGGTCAAACTAAAACCAATCAACAAGATTTTCAAAAATTATTAGAATATTTCCATTGTGATGAATCTGAAAATTATTTGGAATGTTTACAACAAGTTGATGGAGATGAATTACATAAAGTTTTCAATGTTACTAATGGTATATTGAAAAAAGGGTTTGGATATGCATATATAGATGGTGATATTGTTCAAGGGTCAGCTTATGATATCTTAGAGAGCGGTGAAGGATTCCTTAAAGTCCCTATTTTAATAGGTACAAATACAGATGAAGGTACAGGATTCATTAATCAAACTCTTAATACCACAGAAGAGGTCAAGGGATTCTTACAAAGTCGTTTCCCAAATTTAGGTTCCAAATCAGCTGATAACTTGATTGATTTATATTTCAATGGAAATGATACAGAATTATCAGCACCTTTAGATCCTACTTATAATTCAACACCAATTGTTTATCCTGAAGGTTTTGGTAAAGCTTATCCAAAATTATCAACTTTATGGGGTGATGTAAAATATATTGCAGGTAGTAAATTCACTGCAGAATTTTATTCTAATCAAAAAATCCCAGTTTATAAATATAGATTCAACATCCCAATTGCAGAAACCATTGATCAATTATATTTAGGAACTGCTCATTATGATGAAGTTGTCTATGTGTTTGATAACCAAGATCCACCAACTCATAGAGCTGATGGTACAACTATTTTCCCTCATGAGCAAAGTTCCAAGGTTGCAAATGCCATGTCAAAGCTATGGATATCATTCATTCATGATCTTGATCCAAATATCGAAAATGGAGATCATAAAGATAGTGGAGTCTTGGAAATTGATGTACCAAATTGGCCTGTTTATAAAGATGGTGGTGAACAAATTGTTTTCGATTTGAATGGGGTTTATATTGAAGAAGATACACAAAGGACTGAACAATTCGAGTATATCAGAAAGATTATTCATCAATTGGATGGTTGAGTGATATATGTATCTTTTATCTATGAAATATATCAATGTTAATCTTTTTTACTCATGAATTATACCATATTACGAAGATATCCGAATACCGCTACAAAACAGATCTATATCAAAACAAAAAATGTATCTATTTCACAATTATAATCATAATCAGCTTCTAGTTTTGCACCAAAAGACATGATTAGAAAATTTAGAATGCATGGTATATGATATAACTATAACTAATGACTCGATATTTGAGTATCAGCTAATCTTAATTGATGTAGTCCTTCATATTCAACACAGCTTAACAAACGCAAACCCAATAAGTAACAGGCTAAATAGATTAATTCAAATGATCTCATTAATCTATCTAGATTTCTATTATATTATTAGTATAGTTAAATCACAACATTAACATCCAACTAACGTTCAAATTACCAGTGCTTAAAAAAAAACAGAGATTATATCAAATAAAATCAATGCTATAGCTAGTCCAAGTTACGAACATTTCACAAAAATTAGTGATGTAAAAAATTTAACAGGATTTCAGCTATGAGGTTTAAAAATTGAGGTATTTCATATAAATGAACAAGGATACAAAGTTTTTCGCTAGAATGGTGCTTGATCTATGAAGGGTTAATGGTTAATGATAAGATTTATTGCTACAAAATTACGACGTTGATTTGAAAAAAAGAATTCGATCAAAGATAATTCGATCAAAGATGGTCAGGGAAAGGGTAATATTAGTAAAGGGCACATAAGATAACCAGTTGTAAATACTTGTTAATATCATGTAGTAATTTGTTGTGTTCAATTCATCAAATCGATTAATGAAATGAATCAGATTACAATGAATGGAACTAGAGGTTTCTCTACAATATTTTGAAAAACAATATGATCATAATCTGTATTAAATTAACAATCATTAAAGTCAACGTGTGTATAATATGATTGATATTATTCAACTCATTATGTTATAACATCATCATGATATATTAAGAATATCTTGAAGTTTTCTTGAAGATAATAAACCTCATTGATAGCCAACTGATGATATCTTTTACAAATATTCACATCGTTATACAACATCAATGAATAATCTTGAACTTAGATATCAAACAAAAATTTCAGATATAATTTACCCATGCAAGAACCACAAAAACTTGAGATAGAATTATATTAAATCTTCAACAAATATAGTCAATCTAGAGTATAGAGATTTGTTCATCAACAAATCATCAATTAGAACTAAGAATTCATTTGTAAATTTTTAAATGGGAATTTGTCACTACTTATACGAAGCAAAAATTGCTGGCGGCTAATCACAAAGTTGAATTTTGATTTTCTTCCCGGATAAATAAATTTGAATAACCGGAAGAAACTAATTAAGGAATTTATCACTAACAAGGAACAATTACAACTTTTATATGATGACATAAAAGTCAATGTTAGGATACACTTAAATCTTGAAATATTGTAAATAGATCGACACCTGTTGGGTTCGAGCTGCATATTTAGGACCCTTTTAGGACCCTTTGTTGATCTTAATCGCTTCAATATCTATGTTGGTGAATACTAATATGTGGCACTTCGGATCAGACATCATAAAGTAATACAAAAGAAAGGAACTACAGTTAATTTAGCTCATAAGTATCAATATTACGGTATTGTGGTTGTTACTTATTTTGTTTCTTTCAGACAACACACTTATGAAGTAACCAATCAAACCTGATGGTGAACTGCTTTTGGTGATTTAATGATCCACAGTTATGACAAAATTAAGGGTTTAAAAGATGGATGAAAGAAGCTGATCCCTTGTGAAACTGATATTTTATCAAAAGTACATCGAATATGACTACTATTACTGACCACGGTAATAATAAGGTGAAACATGGTGGTATTGTTCATGAATCTGAAGTTGGTGATAATGATATTGATTCATTAAATCAATCAAATATAGGACATGATGAAGATACTACAGCTGATAAATCATTTGATAGTTATAAAATCCCTTCAGATGTTAGATGGAAATTATTTTGGTCTTTTAAAACACCAAGATCTGTTAAGGAAAAAAAGCAAAAACTATTCTTATGGACCCCTCCAGGACAATCAAAATATGAAACAAGATTGGTTTTCAAATTAGACTGTATTATCTTAACTTACGTTTGCTTAAGTTTCTTTGTTAGGATGCTTGATGCTTCAAATGTTTCTAATGCTTATGTTTCCGGTATGAAGGAAGATTTAAATATGCATGGTACAATGTATAATTGGTTAACAAGATCTTTTTATCTTGCATACGCAGTTGCTGGTTTCCCAATTACTTTATTAGTTACCAAAATTAAACCCAGATTCTTATTACCCACTTTAGAATTACTATGGGGTGTATTTTGCCTACTAGTTATTACTTGTAAAGATTACAAGAGTCTAATGATTATTAGAGGTATCCAAGGTGCATTGGAAGGTGGTTGTTTCCCTATTTTACATGTTATATTGGGGACTTTTTATACAACTAATGAATTAAGTACAAGAACTGCACTTTTCATTGCATCAGGTAGTTGTGGTACAATGTTTGGTGGATATATTCAATCTGGTGTTTATAAAACTTTGAATGGTGCTGCAGGTATGCCAGGTTGGAGATGGATTTTTGTTATTGATTTCTTAATTACTATACCAGTAGCTATATTAGGTTATTTTATTATTCCAGATGCTCCATACGAGGCAAAACCAACAAGATTTTTATCACAAAAAGATATTGATTTTTGTAAAAAAAGAGTTCTTGTTGTTAAAAATGTTGAACAAGGTCATCAATTTGGTTTCAATGTTATTAAGAAAATTTTAACATCATGGCAATTTTATCTTTTCACATTTTTCTATACAGTTGGTCATATACCAGGTGATGTTGGATCATATTGGAATGTTGTTTTAAAAGAACAAGGTTATAATGTTTATCAAAGAAATAATTATCCAACTATTCAATCTGCTTTTGATGCTATTGGTTGTATCTTAGCTGGGATGTATGCAGATTCTACAGGGAGATTTTTAGATCCTTTAATAATATTACAAGGTATTTGGTTAATAGCAGTGGCATTAATTGTTAAATGGGATATTCCAACACCTTTATTATTCATATGTTTTGTTGTATGTGGTGCTTCTGGTGGTGTTAGTACACTTTGCTGTGCATGGGCTAATGATATGACAAGAGAGGATCATCAATTAAGAGCAGCAGTTATAGGATCATTAAATTTGATTTATCAGGGACCCCATACTGTTTTTTCAATTATGAATTATAATACTGATTTAGCTCCAAAATATGAAAGAGGTAATAGATATTCTTTGGGGATTTTAAGTATTTGTTTCTTGACAACTTTTGTTATATTTTGGTTTGATAGATATCAAAGAAGGAAAAGAGATTATATTGATGATTTGGTTAATAATGAACAAGATGATACACTCATTGAAGGGTGAGTAGACTAATATGTTATTATTAGTATACATTATATAATATATAATTTAGCTGTGTAATAGACTGATTAAGAAGTTGATAGAAGAAGTGTCTTAGATTGTAGATGAACCAATAAGCTTATTACAGAAATAATCAGAACCGACAACAAGACATAGCCAACTATTGCAAAGCACCATAATTACAAATCAAATCAACCCAACACCAAACAACCAATATCATAAATCCAAATACAAAACAAATCAATCAAATAATCTATATGATAATTACTCAATTTGGGTGTGCTTACGTAAAAAAGACCGTGGATTTAAGGGATCGTTTTAAAATGGAAATTAAACCATCGGGAATCCGTAAAGGCGGGAATAACTTTAAACTCCATCGTTAACTATGTGAATTCACCAGTATAACCAATCTATTGAAAGATCTTTAATTTGTAATCCATTGATGATGGCTATCATGTGAATGGGATGCTCTAGGGGTATATAAAGACCCATTGATTCCCACAAATTTTGAATCTTGGTTGTTGGAAGAAAGTATCAAACATTATTGAATTCAAATCAATATAACAACAACTATAATTAATCAACAATGAGTACTACTGAACAAACTGAACAAGCTGCTAAACAATTCGTCCCATGGAACAACTTGGGTAAATCTGGCTTGAAAATTTCCAATGTTATCGTTGGTGCAATGTCTTTTGGTTCAAAAGAATGGGCACCATGGGTTTTAGATGATGAAGAAAAAATTTTCAAAATTTTGAAAAAAGCTTATGATCATGGTATTAGAACTTTTGATACTGCTGATATTTATTCAAATGGGTTATCAGAAATTATTTTAGGTAAATTTTTGAAAAAATATAATATTAAGAGAGATAAAGTTGTTATTTTAACAAAAGTTTGGGGTCCAATTGATGAAGATTTAGGTCCAAGTTTCTTCTTCCCATTTATTAAAACTGATGAAGAACGTACAAATTTTGCAAATAATCAGGGTTTATCAAGAAGACATATCTTAGATGCTGCTAAGAATTCTGTTAGAAGATTAGGTACTTATATTGATGTTTATCAAGTTCATAGATTAGATCAAAACACTCCATATGAAGAAACTTTAAAAGCTTTAAATGATGTTGTTGAATCTGGGTTAGCAAGATATATTGGTGCTTCAACAATGAGAGCTGTTGATTTTGTTGAATTACAAAACATTGCTGAAAGAAATGGATGGCATAAATTTATCTCTGTTCAAAGTTATTATAATTTAACAAACAGAGAAGATGAAAATGAATTGAATTATTATGCTCAAAAAACAGGTGTTGGTATTATTCCATTTTCTCCATTAGCTGGTGGTATTTTAGCAAGAGAAATTGATTCCGGCTCTTCAGAATTAACAACAAGACAGCAATCATTTGGTCCAATTTCCTACGTTGTTAAAGATGATAATCCTGAACAAGCTGTTGAAATTGCCATCATTAAAAGAGTTGGTGAATTAGCTGCTAAGAAGAATGTTTCAAGAGCTGCTATTGCCACCGCTTGGTTGATTCATAAAGGTGCTAATCCAATTGTTGGTTTAAACTCTGAAAAAAGAATTGATGATTTGATTATTGGTGCTAATTTGAAATTAGATGATGATGAAGTCAAGTATTTAGAAGAACCTTATAAACCAAGACAAAGAGTCTTTGAATAGAGCGGTTGTGCTCAGTTCATATATTGAATTCAGGAAATACTTGATCAATGTTTTTTATATATCAATTTATCAATAACACCAGCTAAAACTATATTATACAATAGCTGTAGATTTCCTTTTAATATAACACAGCGGTTAAGAGCTACTTACATTCATGATTAATTGGTGTACCCAAAGTGACTTGCAAAACCATTTTATAGCTTACACCTAATCATGAAAATGAGAGTCTATAGCACTTGGGCACTACAAGTATATTAGAACTTTTAATAAAAAAAAAGAAGATCATAAGAATTGAACAGTCATATAAAATTATGAGTCCAAAAAATATAATATATGCTTTATGATTTTGTTTTTTGAATGATTAATTGAATCAATTACAAATATTGGTGCAGTAAAGCTATGTTTACCTTCCTCCTTTCTGATGAAGTGATTAATTTCTCAAAGTACAACCATGATTTTCATCCAATACAAAGTGAAATATACTGCGTTGTCATTTGGATGATCCCCAACATTTGCTCAAATGTTTCTATAGCTTTGTTAAGATACTTCATATATTGTTTGGGTTTTAAGGGGAAATCTTACTGATCATGAAAATGATTTTTGGTTTCTAGTGCAAATTAAAACTACTTTATTTTAGGTTGACTTCCTAATTAGGTAACAAACCAAATATATAACAGATACAAAATATATTAGAGATAGAATCACTTACTGTACTACGAATCTTGATTAGTTTTTCAAATGTAAATTAAATAAATAAGATAAATAAAAGTAAAATATAGAGAATTGAATAGAATTGGGGGATTTGAGGGGCTGGTAAGAGGAATTATTAAGAATTTGTTCGTTCTAATCACAGCTCCCTCAATATTAAATATAAAATATAAAATTGGTACTAATAATTCATGCGTGTACTCACACATATTAAAGCTTTGAGTGAATTATTATTAATTATCCATATGAAAAAATCAACGGTCTGATAACATATTCTCCAACCATTCATTTGAATTATCTTCAAAATAATCAAATCCTGTAGCTTGAAACTTTGCAATATTATCAAGAATCATTTCTTCAAAGTTAACTGGTGTGTCATTTGAGTTGGGGACTTCCACTGGCTTAAAAACTGTGTTCTTATCAACGTTACCTGAGATTTCAACTTCTGGTGTAGTTGATGCAGATGCACTACCTGAGCTTGAAAATGTAGGAGTCACATTAGTAGTTCTTGGAGTTGAATCATTTGATGAAGTGTTCGTTTGACTATCAGCTCTTGATTTTTCAAAATTTAGGGCTGCTTCATCCATTAATTTATCAAATTCAGGAATATCGATATCTTCAATGAAGTCTCCAATACTTTGCTGTTCCTCCAATAACTCTGGATCTGATTGAATTTGTACAGAGCGACCCTGAATCACAGTAGAATCTTCAGATACAACTCTTGATTCCAAAGCTTTTTGAGTCTTTGTTTTCTTTGCTGGTTTCGGCTTTGTAATTCTAAGTGTGTTTATAGTTCTTGTTTCAGAATTTGGTGATGTTGATGATTTTCTTGATCTTGAAACAGCATTATGACTTACAGATGGTTCTTCTTTGTCAGTTGGTAAAGCATAATCATAGCTATTATCAAGAACCAAAAGTTCACGATTCATTATTTGTTCGTCATCGTCCATATATTCAATTGTATCATTCCATCTACTATTCTTATGATTTTTCATCTGGTAAGCAATAGTTTCTTGATGAGCTAAGAAATGAATAGGGATAAATAAATTATCTGGTGTGACTATATGTTTCTGTGATTTTGAATTTGGTTTTGAAACTGATTGATTCACCGAAGGTACTGCATGATTTGGTTTGGTATCATGCTTTGAATGGAAATGTCTAAAATAAGCCTTGAAAGTATGATCATCCTTATCAAAAGCTTTCTTTTGATCAAACTCAAAAATTTCATTACAACCAACCCATCTATCATTCTCCCAATGTTGATGAGGACAAATAATTGCCAAATCATACATATTATTAAATTTTCTCAAACTTCTGCTAAATCCAACAAATGGTTGGGGCATAATTGAGCTTTTTAAAATCCCATGACAATCAGCTAAATGATGACAAAGTCCGGAAGAACCAGTATCATAAAATCCAAAGAATTTATTGGAATCAAGTTGACATAAGGTACCATCATCATTGACAACTTCAATCATATGTGGCTTGTATGTCATGGTTGGTGGTTCGAAAGGACAAAAAGGACAGAAACAATAAGTATTGTATTTCGGATACTTGTAAGGTTTAGCACCAACTTTGGAAGCTGTTTGTTTAAGTTGAAATATAATTCTTTTTGAGTTATAAAAACTATGAAGATCGGATTTCTCTGATAATTTTAATTGGGATTTGACAATGGATGGAAGAATGTTCTTGAATCCTGCTTCATATGCAGTGATGAACTGTCCAATGTCGCCTGTTTCACCAAATGGTGATGGTCTTATAGCACAAACTCTGGAAAAAATATCAGTCGAAGGAATCAATGGTGCTTTATCGTTCATTAATTGGAAAATAGCGGAAAAACGTTCTTTATTTGCCTTGATATAGGCTCTATGCTTTGGAGGTTGGTCTGGGTTCATTTTGATATATATTAATATTGTGATATTTAATAGTGCTGGAAATTTTGTTGTTAATTAGCAGTTATCAGAATATAAGTTATTATCAAAAGGTACTGAAGAAAGCAGAGGAAACAAATTGAAAATGAAAAAGATTATTGATACTTATATACATATCCTTCGAGTATAATGATGGTTGGTCTAATCGTTTTAACAGAGAAGTTTTACAATATAGCACTCATTTATTAACTTATTTTGTGCACACCTATAGAAAGAGCTATTTGAAAAATTTTCAATTAATTGAGCATTTTGATATCTAAATTTCAAATTGAACTTTATAAATTCAAGAGCAAGATTAATAAATACATCATATCAAATAACACATGCAAGATACTTGACTTATCAAGAGTTACATTATTGTGTATATAAGATTATTAACTTTGTTTTCAATTTTGAGCTAAGTCGACACCCTTGTAGCTCACTACTAATGTATGACAAGAAACATAGATTCCATGAAATCTAATTAGATTCTTTGGAAACAGACAATCCCAAGGTCGAAAATTTTTGGGTTGAAATTTTCAGGTACCAGCTTCTCGTTTAATTTTCGCCCCAAATAAACTTAATTTTAATCAATCACCCTGGTAACTGAAATTCCTCTCCATTTCAATACTCATATAATTTGTGAAACAAAGCATAAATGTGTCATAAATCATGAGTTAGTTTTGTGAGATATCATGAGTTTATAAACTGAGAATTTTCGGATTTAGACGGACAGTTGAATTATGTTGATAGATGGTGATTACATAATTGATTACTCATGTATATCGTGTTTTCGGCGCTTTCCCGAATAGGTAAGCGATTGTAAATTCAAAAAAGATGGAGATAACAATCTATTACGTATTGATATCAACATGAGTACTGATATGGATAAACACCAAGGGGGGAATAAGTTTACGAGATAGGAAATCAATGAGCTGAATGATAAGGGATAGGACCCTCTCTTGATCTACAATCAGCTGGTATAAATACAGCATCAAATCACCCATAATTTAAACTGTTCTTTACTACAAGGGTGACAAAAGGTTGCTGGTTTAGATCCATATAAAAAAGATGAGTTCAAGATCTATATCAAATGATTCCAAAAAGATTGATACATCAAGTGATAAAGATCAAGATATAACTACAGGTGAAGTCATAACTTCTTTCATCTCACCATTAAACAATACAAAAGATATAGAGAAGAATGCAGATGAAGCTCTTACGCTTGCCTTAGCAAATCAAGATAGACATATTGAACTTGACCCCAAAGCAACCAAAAGATTGATTAGAAAAGTTGATTTTTGTATCTTACCAATGATTGGGATTTTATATGCATGTCAATTTATGGATAAAATCACACATTCTTATGCTGCTGTTATGGGTCTCAAGATTGATTTAGGAATGAAAGGTGATATGTATGCATGGACTGCTACAATTTTTTGGCTTGGTTATTTAATATTTGAATTTCCTGCAAGTTATATGCTTCAAAAATTTCCCTTATCTAAAATGACTTCAATTTTTATATTTATTTGGGGTGTTATATTATGTTTACATGCTGTTCCAAATTATGCTGGATTTTTAACATTGAGATTTCTTTTAGGTGTTTTTGAAAGTTCAATTTCACCAGCAATGGTTATATTAACTAGTCAATGGTATCCTAAAGAATTACATTTCCAAAGAACTTGTTTTTGGTTTGCTTGTAATGGGATTGGTATTATGATGGGTGGTGCAATTGCTTATGGATGTGCTATAAATGCCGAATCATATCCATTTGAAGCATGGAAACTTTTATTCATTGTTACAGGTTTAATGACTATTGTTTTATCTTTCCTTTTCGCTTTACATATCCCTGATACACCGGCAAAAGCATGGTTCTTATCATCTGATGAAAAATTATTGATTGTGGAAATTATTAGAAATAATCAACAAGGTTTTGGTAATAAACATTTTAAAAAATATCAATTCATTGAAACCATGAAAGATCCATTAACTTGGATGTATTTTTGGTTTGCATTAATAAGTAATATACCAAATGGTTCATTAACAAATTTTGGTAGTATTTTATTATCAGAAGATTTTGGTTATGATGCTAAATCAAGTCTTTTAATGAATATGCCATGTGGTGCTGTTGAGTTTGTTGGATGTATTAGTATTTCAATGTTGGCTTATAAGATTAAAAGAACTTTTGTATCAATGTTTGCAATGGTTTTAGCATTATTGGCATCATGTCTTTTAGCATTTCCTGAGAATAATAATAATGCAAGATTAGCAGGTTATTATCTAGAGTATATTTTCCCATTATCTATGATGTGTGCATTGTCTTTAATTGCATCTAATACAGCGGGTCATACAAAGAAAATCACCACTACTGCAATATATTTCATTGGGTTATGTACTGGGAATCTTATTGGACCTCAAACTTTCACAGGGGCTCCTTATACAGGTGGGAAGATTGTCATTGTTGCTTGTAATGTTATAACTTTGATCATCATCATTATGACTTATTTTTATTATAAGTATTTGAATAAGAAGAAACAAGAGAATCTAGCAAAGATGAGTGAAGAAGAGTTGAAAGCTTTTGAAAATACAGAATTTGCTGATTTAACTGATAGAGAAAATCCAAATTTTAAATATAGTTTATAGATTATACACATATATGATACTTAACTTAGTGATATCAGTAGCTAAACTAAAGTCTTGATAGATCATATGTATGGGAAAATGATTTAAAAATGAGATTCAGCGGCAAAATAACTACAATGAGGTATAAACAAACAAGATTGGAAACATTTCATTAAATACACAATATCAATCTCTGATCTTGAAAGGGAATCAATTGCTCAATTATAATGTTGTTTCCTATATAAAATACAATTGTAACATTAATATAGCTCATTGCTTAATCTGATGAAGAATAAAACACATGAGCTTCAAATGGATTAATAAAAAAAAACTGAAAAAAATTCTGGATAATAATACTGGGTACAGAAATACGGAAACAACTATGACTTCTGGTTACCAATTTAACATTAAACTAGCTTTATACTTTTCTAGGATATGGTTTGGTGTATCAACTTTACAATTTATGTTATAGGTTGGAAGTATTACAAAGAAAGAAAAAAATGTTTAAAGATTTCGAGTTTTTTATATAGGAAAATATTCTGATGGCGCTTTTGGAAATTACAACTTTTACCAATTTGATTCCACAGCGGCTAATTTTAAAATGTTGACCATTAACCGCCATCATCAGAATTCTCTACAACAAAGATTTATATAGCTTAGAGTGATCTCTCAATGTTCTATTGATTCAATACTGTTACACTTTCTTTAGTTAATCACGGCGTTGTATATCATTAATTCCTTTGATTTGTTAATGGAGATCAAACTGGATCAACTAATTGACACAAATAATCATCGAATAAACAAGATCCTGATTCTAGTATCGAGATATGAGGATATTTCACAAGAATATAATATGAAATTGTGGACATCTAAAAAATCAAAGGGTCCTTGAAACCTGCATACAATTACGCTTTTCAAATGAGGTTGGATCTTCTATTCAATTGAACTTTAAATCACGAAAATTTTCGAAAATTTTTCATAGCAAAATAGATCACAGTTTGCCACTAGTTCTAAAGGCTTCAATATTATATTTCTTGAAATAATAAACTTCTGCGTCAAAGTATAAAGATTAATTTTAAGATTTGAAATTGATGATCTCTTTGTTTTCCAATTCTAAGCGAGATCATGGCGCCTGTGGGAACTTTTCTATTGACAAATCATGTAAGTAACTTGATCAGAGTATAGACAAACAAGTATCCATTATGTTTGATGTAAATACTAGTAAGCAATTGATTTGAGTCAGCTCATCATTGTGAAAGAAATCTTCTGAAGTAATACTAAATTAACTGCAAGTTCAAAAATCATCAACGCCATTCTCGAAAAAAAACAAAATTTGTGCAACAAAATCTTATTCTAATTTACGTACATTCTATTCACTTCTATTAAACAAGATATATTGTATCACCAAGTACAAGCAATTTCAATCTCCAATTTAAATTCAATGCTGTAATATTATTATTCACCAAGTGATTTACAACTCTTACAACCGTCCTTTCATGATGCTAATTGGTGACTTTATTTACACCATATATTGATCATTGTTCAAATTAAATGGTGGAGATTTGAGTAAACGTGATGGTTTATAGTTGGGAAAGGGGTTCATCGAAGCTTGGATAATGACAAATTAAATATCAAGGCGGATATTTTTAATCATTCAAGATGGTCAGATCTGGGGAGTTGAATAAATTATTGTGCAAACGTGTGTTTTAAGGAAACTATTACAAATTTATTATTTCAAGGTGATTTTTGTTTTCAAATATATATATATCATTTGTTTTTATCCAAAAACCCACATTTGAATAGATTATACTCAGAAAAATCATCAACAGAACTTCCAAGATGTGGATCTCATTAACATCAATCACAATCCTGATACAAGTTGCATTAGCCGCTTCATCATCTTATATTGTTCAATTATAAGAAGATAAATCACCAGATGATTTCTTTGCAGAATCAATTGCAAGTTTATTAAACATTGAAAAAAAAGAAGATAATACAGTGGAAATTGGGAAATTTAAAGCTATTATTACTGATATTCAAGATGATTTATTATCTCAATTGATTGATAATCCATCAGTTATTAATATTTTCCCTGATGTTGATGTTAAACTATTTGATAATGATCATCAATATCCAAAAGGTGTTATTAGAAAGTCTTTAGAATCTACTGATTCCTTTTCAAAATTTGTTAAAAGAGATGATATCACTGTTCAACAAAATGCACCAAGACATCTTTCAAGATTATCTAAAAGAGAAGGTATTTGGGATCAATCAGGTCCATATGAAGATCAATACGATTCTACAGGTGAAGGTGTTACCGCTTATGTCTTGGATACAGGTATTGCCACTACCAATAGAGATTTTGAAGGAAGAGCAAAATTTGGAGTTAGTTATGTTCTTTTCGGTATACCAGGTGATTTTAATGGTCATGGAACTCATGTTGCTGGTATTATTGGATCTAAAACTTATGGTGTTGCTAAAAAAGTTGATATTGTTGATGTTAAAATCTTGGGTGCATTAGGTTCAGGTTCTCTTTCAAGTATTATTAGAGGTATTGAATGGGCAAATAATGATCGTAAAAAGAAGAATGTTAAAGCAGTTGCTAATTTATCATTAGGTTCTAGTTTTAATAATGCTTTAAATCAAGCTGTGGATGCCGCTGTTGATGATGGACTTGTTATTGTTGTTGCTGCTGGTAATGAAAATCAAAATGTAAGTGGAACTTCACCAGCAAGTTCATCAAAAGCAATCACTGTAGGTGCATTAGATGATAGATCTGATACAATTGCATTATTTTCAAATTGGGGTCCTTCAGTTGATATTTTTGCACCAGGTGTTGCAGTCACTTCATTAAGTAATTCTATATTTGGTGGTACAAATACATTTTCAGGTACTTCACAAGCTTCACCTGTTGTTGCAGGATTAGTGGCAATTTTATTAGGAAAAGGTATTGAAGTTGCTGATATTAAAAATGAATTGATTAGATTATCAACCAAGAATGCTATTAGTGCTCCAACTTTTGAAAATAATGATGATTATTCTGATACTGTTAATAGAGTTGCTTATAATGGTGTTGTTGATTCACCTGATACTATTGAAAATCCATCAACTGCTGAACCAGATGAAAGTTTACGTCCTAGAACTGGATGGCCATTCCAATCATCTTTTAATGGTGCTTAAAGGGTTTAACTACCTTATCGCTGTTGCTAATAAACTCAAATTATACAATCTGCTCTTATAATATGATATGATCTATGAAAATACACATCATGGTACGAAATCTACTGTAGTTTAAATTAAAAGATCTTTAAAGATGAGAAGAACATGTATTTATGAGCGATAATCTTTCCTTTCTTTAGAAGATCATCTGTATTATAAATATTACTCTTCTAGGCTTGTGAGTACTCAAACCTGATACTTTTTGAAACTTCAATTGTTAATATAAACCAATTTAAGTGATCAAATAGTATCATGGTACTCTGTATCAAAGCAATACCAAAAAAACAAATTACCTAGGTATATGAAAGCTACAACTGAAGCAAAAAGCTAGTTGACTCAATATACTTGTATCTGATAGGAAACATCATACTTAGATTCACACACTGCATGAAGATATTATTAACGAGCTAGGGTGTAATATGTAAACATAAAGAACAAAACATGATCAGATTTGGGATTTCAAGTTCTTTAAATACAATTTTTGAAATGACGGCGGCTAATATCAGAAATTATTTCAATTAAGATTGGTTGGAGTAAAACTAAATATTCTGTTTGTGATATTTCTGATCACCAAATGTATAATGATCACTTTATGTAGTATTGACGTTCCTGATAGAATCATAGCGCTTATATAGTTACTACAAAATGTAATATTATAACAAGTATTTCAAAGTGGATCAGGTGTATTCATATATTTATGATTAATGATTATGGAAGGAAATCATCAGCTCTATAATATTATAATACTCTGTAATACTCAGGTAATCTCTATTTCATGTCCATAAACAAATGTTATATGGATCAGTTAAAGTTCCTATTCTTAATAATCTATCAAGTAGCTATAATTCCTAGATTCTTTTGACACAAAGTCGAATAGGTTTGTCATAGGGTCTGGCACGAAAACACAGTTATTTCTAGCATGCAATTAAAGTATTTCATGAATCCATTAATTAAGTTCTTGAACCATTTTTTGATTATAGCTTAATAATCTATTGTAGAAGAAGGAAGAACAAATTGTAAAGTTATTTTTATTTATTATTGATGGCGCCTAATATTTCATTAATTGTTATATTTCATGTACACAAAACCAAAAATCAAGACCAATATAAGTTATGAATTCAAGTGACGTTAGTTTGCAGGGGATTTTAGATATACCGCTGAATGAATTATATAAGATGTTCAATTTATTGAATTTGTAATATACCAATTATTACAGGGCGGTCAACTATTACCATGTTAAAGCATGGAAGCAAAGATTTCATGAATTGGGCCAATATAGCTTCATCCTATTTCTTTCACATCTACACGTTTACTTAACTATCCCGTTGAATTTATATTGGTGTACTATAGAAGTATACTGTATCTTGGATTTCGATCAATTGGGAAACTAGCGAGGGGTTGGCGCATTGAAAAAAATCACTTGAGTGGTTAAATATCAACATTATAAATTTAATCAGTTTGTTGTCTATTCAGTTAACCATGGACCCTGCATTAGATAAGATCAATCAAAAATCAACACATTGATGATAGTATGTTCAAACTTCAGCATACTCAACACATCTATTGAATTGTGATCAGCTGTACCACCATATAATAAGCCATCAATCCAACATGTACTATGGAAAGTCAATTGTATTCCTTTTCTTCCCAGACTCCACATGTTTTACTTGGTATATTTATAAACTCTTGGTAATATTTATAAGACAGTACACACTTGTTACGTAATCACAGCGGCTATTATCAAAAACAAATTATTAGGGGGTAAATTTTAATAGACAAGAGAAAGAAAAGAAGTTACTTGAACTTATTGATATGGATCTACAATATATCCTTAAAAGAAGAAACCTAGAGTAATAAGAGCGCTCTCATCTCATTGGGAAATGAAGTATTTAGATCGGTAAAGCATTTTTGTGGGTTTGATCAGGTTTTCAAGCGCCGTTACTATTGTTTTATTACCATCACCATTATGCACAGTAATCGAAACGAATATCCACACGAGGTTGATCAATTAATTCAAGCAGCCACTATTTGAGATACTTATGAGAATCACAATGGTACTGGATATTGTTTTTTTGGGAAATCAATGACCCACATGTACTGACCTATTGAATGCCTTACTTCATATTCGTTCCAGGTATAAAAAGCCATTAGAATATCTAGATCTACAATGTCATTGTTTTGAAGCTTTGAGACCCATAACACAAAGTATAATATATCTCTTCGCTATACTATGAGATTACCAACTGTTGTTCTACACTTATTATTTGCTGCTATAATTGCCGCTTTACCAATCAAATATGATACCAAAAAAAATGTTATCTTTTTAGTTTCTGATGGGTTAGGTCAAACAGGTATCACTGCTGCTAGACAATTTAAACAAACTAGAGACAATTTAACTAATGAAGAAGCACTTTTATTCTTGGAAAATTATCAAGTTGGCTCTGTTAGAACTAAATCTGCTTCTCAATTAATCACAGATTCTGCTGCTGCTGGTACTGCTTTTGCCGCTGGTCATAAAACTTATAATGGTGCTATCTCTGTTGATGCAGATGGTAAACCAATTGGAACTTTTTATGAAGGTGCTAAATTGAAAAATTATAAAACTGGTATTGTCTCCACTACATTTGTTCAAGATGCAACCATTTGTACACCAAATACTCATGTTAAGACAAGACGTTCATTAGATTTAGTCGCGGAACAACAATTAGGTTATGGTCATCCTTTAGGTCAAGTTATTGATATTGTCATTGGTGGTGGTCGTCAAAACTTGCATGGTTCTGAACAAACCCAATATGGTACCAAAGGTACAAGAAAAGATGGTGTTGATTTGATTGCTAAAGCTCAAGAAGATGGTTGGACTTATATTGGTAATAGATCTGATTTTGATTCTTATAATTTAGGTAATGAAGCTGTACCAAAATTACCATTATTAGGGATTTTCGGTGAAAGTAGTTTACCTTATGAAATTGATAGAAATCCTGAAGAAGTTCCAAGTTTAAGGGAAACTGCATTATTAGCTTTAAATACTTTAATTGAAGCTACAGAAGATCAAGATGAAGGTTTTGTTTTATTATTAGAAGGTGCAAGAATTGATCATGCAGGCCATGCAAATGATCCAGTTACTCATGCAAGAGATACTATTGAATTTGATGAAACTTTTAAAGCAGTTATTGATAGAGTTTCTTCATTAGATACTGAAACCATTGTTGTTTCTACTTCAGATCATGAAACTGGTGGTTATGGATTAGGTATTGGTGATGTTTATGATTATTATCCTGAAAATTTATTAAATGCTACAATTTCTACAGAACAAGCTGTTAAATTATTAGATGCTTATGAAGGAGATGATAAACCTTCATATTTGAAAAATGAAATCTTGGCTAATCAATTAAAATTAACAAACGTTACAGATGATGAAATTAATCAATTAATTGAATCTGATCAAACTCAAGTTGATATTGCTACAATTATTTCAAATCAAGCAGGTGTTGGTTGGAACACCGTGGCACATTCTGCTCTTGATGTCCCAATTTTTGCATGGGCAAATACTAAAGAAGCTTATAATGAAATTTTAGCAAATCTAGGTTCATCTGTGGAAAATACTGAAATTCCAAGATTTTTCGCAAAATTTATTGGTGTTGATTTAGATGAAGTTACTGAAAAAATTCAAGAGATTAAAACTGAACCTGATAACTGATCAAAACAACTCATAATCATTATTGTAATGATCCTTTTTCAATTCTTTTCACGTTATAGGGATATATTCACTTCTTTTTATCTCAAATTCTTTGGTTTGATTTATTGATCAACCACTTTTTTATACCATTTTTTATATATAGATGACTTTGGTTTGAATTTAATGTATAATTGATATATACATCTTGAACTACCATTGGTGCAATTGTACTTTTACTTCTTTGATCTTGCGTTGGCAGAGTAAGTATCTGACTAGCCTCTATTTCAAACTGGCAAGATCTATTCACTATACACTGCTATTCACCATCCCAAATGTTTAGAATGTATTAGGTGTTATCGCATATTAGCACTTATATAATACATGTCATAGATCACCTCAACTATATGAATATTGTGTTAAACTCAATTGATAATCAAATATATCTTCATCATGCATGACCTCATAAGTTTGACACATTCAATTGAACAATACTAAAATTTAATCTGACGTTAATCTTCTCGGTGCTTGTTCCCAATTAGGCAATGATCCGGAATGATTTTGGTGATAACGAGATAATCTAACGTTCTTTATTGTTAAAGTATACGTTAAGCTAATTGTAGTGTTCTCAGCTTGACCTGATGATCATTAACAGGTCATAATGATGGAAAAAGTATATAAGGAAGCGTTATTGTCCTAGTATTTATTGAAAAATCATGATTACTTGAGTTCAAATCACAGAAGACTTAACAAAGATGCATTTCAAGTTTTTGATTCCAATTACACTGGCTACAATATTAGCTTTCAAGGGTGCAGTACAATTTGCACCTGTTCCACAGAATGTTTCTCAAAGTATTATCGGTGAAAATACTCCAGCTGTTAGCAATGCTAGTACAATTTCAAATCAGACAATTGAGGAAACAGCTGCACCTGTTAGTTCGTTGTTGGATGATGAAAACTCTCATGATATCGATACTGTTGAAAAAGATAACAGCGACACTAAAAAGACAAAAAAAAAATCAAAAGGTATGAACGGTTTTATAATATTTTGCATAGCTTTCCCAGTTTCTGCTATTGGTATCGGACTCTATGTTTGTTTTATTGCTTTATCAAAAAAAATATGCCAGAAAGCAGTATAAGAATTTTTTTGAAATGACCAAGTACATCGAAGGAAATGTCAAGGAAAAGGGACAATCATGGTTTACTTAATTAAAAAGAGTTATCTTCAATTGGAAAACTTTAGGTATTCTCATTATTGGCTTTCCTTATATACCGTGAGTATTAACTCAAAAGATTAATCATTAGATGCATTTTCCAGAATTACTAACTTTTCAATAATATCTGCAGAATTGGTATACTTTATGTTTTAGAATATTTTTTCCGTTCTTTGGCGTTGTTGATAATTAATTTCATTTATTATTTAATTGTTTGGCCAATTAAGGCATTCTTTAACTTGTGCTTTGTTAAACGATTCTTCGCTACACTTGCAACTCCATTCATAATCAAAGAATACCCACCACGTCATGAGTCAAACAATGGAAACAACTCCAATGAAAAAGCTATAGTTAATTGTTCAGGTGAAGAAGAAGGTACCACTGTCAAAAGATCACAAGTTGAACAATATATGTTTGATGAAAGAAAGTTACACGAAATAGCAAATAGTGTTTTTTCACCAGAGCTCCAATGTTGTGCAGAGTTTATTCGAGATGATTTATATGCAGCACACCCAGAACATTTGTTGAGGCTACACCCATGTTCTATCTGTCTTGAGCACTTTCTTTATGAAGACATTTTGCTGTTATTACCTTGTGATCATGTTATCCATCTTGATTGTTTACATGATTTTAAAAGAGCTTCATTAACACCAAATTCAAATCAAGTTGCTATGGTTAGATGTCCTACATGTCAATTGAATCTTGTCAGGTTGTATCAATATTATATTGACCATGGTTTGGACTTCAAAGAGGTTAAGTTTGACAATAGAGCATGAATAAATTGAACACTCTTCCGTTATATTTGATCATTCTCCCTTAACACTAGTTACATTTTTATTGAACAAACATCTTTGTAAACCAGTTTATATTTGATCTTTTCATTAATACTAAAGTTCTGAATTGACTTTATATAATATTCGTAGTCCAGAAACTTGATATATGCTTTTTATTCGTGCATAATAGGCTTTGATACTATACTACATCTCCACAATTTCTTAAAAAACATATCTAACACAGAGAGCCGAATTCAGCTTCTATGAAAACTTCATTAATGATAAACACATTAAAAAAACAATGTTGCCATAACAAGATCCTAAAGACCTGTATATGACCAGCTTTTGAGAGAAACAAATGTGAAAAAAAAATGCACTCTATCGTACATAATTCATCATTCAAGTTAAGAAAGGATGAAAAGAAAAAAAGAAACATGTCCATAAAATAAAATTCAATAAAAGAATAAAAAAACATCACATGGGTATATATGATAAATGAAATGAATAAATTGTTGTTTAAGGAATGATTTAAAAATGGGTATCACCGGTGATTAGATCATAACAATAAGGCAAAAGAAGTTGCTAGTAAGGTAATAAACCAGCTACCACTTAATTTGTAACCAGCAGCATCATAGGTTGAAACTGAAGCTGCACCATCACCACCGGTAGAAGTAGATTGCCCATCAGCTGGGTTTGAACCAGCATCACCACTTTGTTGAGCATCTGGAGCTGAACCATCACCACCTGAAGAATCTGAGCCTGAGCCTGGAGCACCTGAAGCTTCTGATCCTGGAGCACCTGCAGTACCTGAAGCTTCTGAACCTGAACCTTGAGCACCTGTGGCATCTGAACCTGGAGCAGCACCAGTTGGGTTACCTTGAGCATCAGTGCCAGTAGCACCTTGACCTGGAGCACCTGAGTCTGATCCCGATCCTGGAGCACCTGGAGCGGTGGTTGGATTACCTTGGGCATCTGTACCTGTTGATGGTTGACCTGGAGCTGGAGCATCGGTACCAGTAGCACCTGGAGCACCACCTGTTGGGTTACCTTGAGCATCTGTGCCAGTAGCGCCTGGAGCACCACCTGTTGGGTTACCTTGAGCATCTGTACCTGGAGTATCACCTTGACCTGAATCTCCTGAACCTCCTGAACCTGAATCTGGAGCACCTGGAGCAGTAGTTGGATTACCTTGAGCATCTGTACCTGTTGATGGTTGACCTGGTTGTGGAGCTGGAGCAGCAGTTGGTTGATCTGGTTGAGGAGCTGGAGCATCTGTAGCAGTTGGTTGATCTGGTTGAGGAGCTGGAGCATCTGTAGCAGTTGGTTGAGGAGCTGGACCTGGGCCTTCAGTTGAAGTAATAGTGGTGGTGATTGGACAATAAGTTGTGTAAGAGGTAACAACACCATCTTTTGTTTCTGTTGTAACAGTCAAACCTGTAGTGATTGGAATTTCAGTACAACCATTATCAGCACATGAAGTTGTAGTAATCACAGTGGTTGAATCATCTTCTTTGGTTGAAGTTGAAGTGATGATAGTACCTGATGAGTCTGGAGCTTCTGATGAGCTGGTAATACCTGAAGATCCTGATGGTTCAACGGATGAGGATGGTTCATCAGAGGAAGAAGGTTCAATAGATGAGGAAGGATCAACAGATGAGGAAGGATCAACAGATGAGGAAGGATCAACAGATGAGGAAGGATCAACAGATGAGGAAGGATCAACAGATGATGATGGTTCAATAGATGATGATGGTTCAATTGAAGAACTGAAGGAGCTTGGCTCAGCTGAAGATGAAGGTTCTGGAGCATCTGGATCAATGGTAAAGCCTAAATTGTATGTGGAATATGTATCTCTCTTAACAAGTTTCTTGAAATTCTCAGGTTCATTATCTTGATTGATGACTGTTAATTCAACATTAAGTGTGTATGGGCCATCACCGACAGCAGTACCAACAACAATATAAATGAAACCATCTTCTGGAACAGCAGTTGTACCACTTGAAGTAAATGAAGTTTCACCAACAGTTTGTTCAAGACCGCCATATGGTCTACCATCTTCATAGGTAGCATCAACATAGTTGAAAGTGTATTGTTCACCATCGGTTTTACCAGCTAAACGAACTTCAGTCCATGAAGTTAATTCTTTTGGAATAACGATTTGCCATTTTGGTTGACTATCTTCTAAGCTACCTGTAATGTATGGAACTGCAGTGGAAGAAGGTTGAGATGTTGATGAGCTTGATAGTTCAGAAGATGAGCTTGGTAATTCAGATGATGAACTTGGTAATTCAGATGATGAACTTTGAGCAGGAACATTACAACTGAGCATAAAACCAATCAATTCTTCACATTCCCAGTTGATACTAGCTGTTTGAATTGAAGCTGCAACACTAGCTTCATCTTGGGAATCACCGGCAATCCAGATCAAATAATCATCTTCATTAGAATCAAAGCCTTGTTGGAAAACAGCAGCGGCGAAGAGACCGTTACATAATGGTGGAATAATACTGTCCAAATCTTGATCGAATGGAACATCAATTCCAAAAGTAAGGACGAAAGTACCGTCATGCAAATTGACTTTACCACTTTTGAGTGTAGCATCACGATATTGATCAAGTCTAAAGGATGCAGCATATAATGGGTTTGAAAATTTGAAGAACCAAGTTGCTTGGAAAGAACGTCTACCATTTAATAACCCTTCTTCATTTGGATCAACACTAACAGTATAAGCATATTCATAGGTTTTACCATTTTGGAAAGCACCATTACCTTGAGTTGTAGTACATTCAGTATCACCATCACCTGGAGCATTGAGTTCGGTGGACACGGTTTCAACTGGACCTGGTGGTGTTGTTGATGTTGATGTTGATGTTGTTTCTGGTTCTGGTTCTGGTTCTGGTTCTGGTTCTGGTTCTGGTTCTGGCTCTGGTTCTGGTTCTGGCTCTGGTTCCGGTTCTGGATCATCATTATCATTATCATCACCGTTGTCAGGATCATCATTGTCAGGATCCTCATCACCGATCGGTTGAGTAGTAGAGATTCAGCAGCAACAGCAACTTCAGTTGATTGAGTAGCAGCAGGAGCAGAAGTGACACTTAAAGCATTTTCAGAAGAGCTTTGGGTATTGACCAAGCTCAAAGCTGAACATAATGTTAACGCGATACGAGACAACCTCATATTAATCTTTCCTTTGTAAAAAATTAACGAGTGTCAAGTTTGATTAAACGATTGAATTTAATTCTTTTTCTTGATCAATCTTCAGTTCAGTTTAAATGGGATATAATCTCTTCTTATACTTTTGGAGGATAGTACAACTTTGTACAATCACATAATCAAATGTATTCTAAGAGGTTTAGACACAATACATATAGGTGATACTTCTGGTTCGAAATAATAAGAAATAAGCATATAAGACACAATGTTTAGCAATTTTCAATTTCCTAAAATAAGAAACAAGTGATTCATTCTAACTGATCAATTGATTTGAGTAACATAACGACCTTGATAATATAGACACCCGCCACCAAATCTGAAATTAATTTCTATTCAGACATTTGTCTAAACAAGAAAGTACGTTAATGACGAAGAGGCTAATTTAAACTAAATCTTCAAATTCACCCATTTGAGGTCTTATATCTATAATAAACAAACAATATATCAGATTTCTTGAGTTCAACCGAGACACTGGATCCTTATGACTTGGTTGATAATAGAGACCATCAAGATTTACCCCCAGAGTTCTTTGTATAATAGTATCAGAGCTCATTAACAATATAATCACCAAGGCAAAATGTAAGGTGCGTTGAACATGCCTAATCAACCATGGACCATCAGTGGAGATGAGCAATCCCATGATTGAATTGGAAGTGGGAATCCCCAAAGGGTCCCGTAGCATCAATCACCAGCAACACTTGTATGCATATAATACAGTACTTGATTCAAATGAGAAACAAAATCCTCTCCATCGAGTAAAGTTATCAATTTATGGATGGCAAAGTGTCTAACATTTCAAACAAAATGATGGAAAACAAAACAACTTTTAAACAAAAAAATTGGTAAGCGCGAAATAATAGAAAAAGTTCACCAAAAAAGGATTCTTTCCACTCTTGTCATTGTCACAACCGAAGAAGAGTAGGATTAGGATTCAGGAGGAGGGCTATTACCCAATGGAGCAAACAAATAGGGTGCACTTCGTGTACTAAGTAGTATGTGCTGTGAAGACTACTTTTGGAACTGCTCCGTTGACGATCATCAAGACACTGAAATTCTGAATGTTCATGGGGTCTTCGATTTATGAACGAGTGGAACAAATTTAGCACCACACACTTATCTAATAAACAAAAATGTCCTTATAAGGTGACTTCCTTTTAAAGAACCCCCTGATTGATATTGTCTATTCACAACCATGTTATTCTAGAATTGTGGGAGAATAATTATAGAATCCCAATCGGTCAAGATAAATATGAAAGTGAAGTTATTATGATCCTTGTATCCAGGGTAAAAGTTAAAACACATAGTATCTGAGCTATATGGATCTTTTATCAAGAGAAGTAAGTATCCTTTAGTGTTTGAATTGTGGTTCGAGCTGAAGAAAAGAACCTAATTTATAATAAATTGAATATATAGAAGTTGAAATTAATGCGTCGGAAATACAAGGCTTCGATTACACATGATAAAAACAGTACTAGTAATGGGTCACTACTGATTGAGCCTGTGAAAAGCATCAATATTAATTATCAGAACATGCTTAATTTGAAGTGGAGTGATCACCAAATGTAGAACCTGTAAGTTCCTAAATGCATTGTCGGTTGAATAACATATTATTTGTTAATAAGGAAGTCTAGTATTAAGTTATAAAGACTTAAACGAGTATGTCTGTGAAGTAGAATGTGCTTTAAGTGCTTTGGTAAGTTTTTTTCTCATATAAAAATATTTTTGAGAAGAATCAACGATAATGTAGATAGATAAATCGAAATCGCGCATTATTCAGATACTAAAATTTGGAATCCAACGTGCCACTACAATCAGATTATAGAGCAAAAATATGAATATTTTCGCTTGCTAATCATTAAGTAACGTTTCTTATAGCATTAGGGTGATTGTAATATTCTCCTCGAGCTTACCAAAGAAAAATGGCTCTTTTTTTCAGGAGCTCATTGATCGATTACTTTTAGAAATTGAGAAGATTAAATCTCAAAATCACAACATTTGTGAGCAAATTCGACAAATAAATGAAGCATAAACTCTGGGAATTTGAAATGAGTTTGTCTTCTTCTCAACTTGATCTAGTAACTCAATACAAGCTTGATTCACTCCCTTCAAACTGCAAATAACTAGTCAACATAAATTACAAACCATTTTCATACTGAATTAGACAAAATGACAAACGAAATATTACCAATTACTGAAGAGCTTTTGAGCAGTTATAGGTTGAGTCCTGATTTTAATAACTATAAAGACCCAGTACTTAGATCAAATCATTTGCCAATAATTGGTTTTGACAATGAAGAAATCTTAAGAAACCATAATACCGTTCCTGCTTTAAATGAACTACCACAAACTATCGTTGGGTATACCGGAAATCATGATGCCAAATATAGTAATAGCATTATCATCGGAGTTGGATATATTATTATAGCTATTATCTTCTATTATGAGTTTATTTTTTAGTACTCTCTTGGGTATGAGCTTATCATCTGATGCTAGTTACTTTTCTGTGGATTGGTATAAAATTTTATATGCATGATAATATTGATATTGATCGGCTGATTGGTTACTTTGTTTAATATGTGTTAATTATCAATTGAAGGGATAAATTGAAATGTAGTATGGCTTTCGCTAAATACGAGTTAATGTGGAAGTAAAGCTGTGTATTTCTGTGATCATATACTTTAGTAATATAATATCAAAGCTATCCTACTCTTCAATATATAGTCATTTCTTCTCTAATTTTTCGACACTTCAGTATCCGCATGAGCCTTCACACGAATTGAGCTTTTAAATATCATCACCAAATGAAATTCACTAGCTATACACCTAACTAATAGCTTTTCAATGCAACACCTTTTTCTCTGTGGATATTGTTTCCTGGGGTACTCAGTTGTGTCAATTGTGCGCGAAATTTATTGTTCTCGGCCGAAATCCATCCATGACATATACAGAAACTATAGTCATCAATACTGCCATAAATATAGCCATTAAGCACTCAAATAATATACAATATCTAATATTTGAAGCAGAAAATCACTCCCCTTGTCTGTTTTTGCTCGAATTCAAATTATAAATTTTGGTATTTTTAGGACTTTCTAGCAATTTGGAAAGTGTAAGAAATATTTTGAGGCTGATCATATTTTTTTGAAGATCAAAAATGTAATTTTCAAAACATCTTTAATTCTTTCAAAATCAACATAGACTAATATAGAAATACCGTTAAACTTTGATAGTACTCTTTTAAAAGTGTTTTAGTACTTTTTGTTACCTATAGAGAGATTTGAAAGCTCTTTGATTATGTAATCATATAATTAATTTTATCATATATATATTATAATTTATAATTCAAATAATATATGTCTAAGCACTATACAGCACACAAGAGATTCATAAGATCATCAGTACCAGTGGTAATAAAGTAATAAAATTATAAGAAATTCAATGACTCTATATTTATATATAGGCCGGTTGCTTGTACTGCAGCATTATTGATCATTTGGTGGATCAAAGTGGTACTGTGTACATCCTCATCCGATATTTGTGTAATCTTAGCTAGTTTCAACAGAAGTTTTGGGCATATATATATAGCGACGTGTTCGAGAGTGACCCTAAAATCATAATTTTTTCGGTAACCCTTAAGCTATCAGTGGACTATTGAAAGAATATTTTGAGAGCAAATATAGAACACGCAAAATTATATTGCCCGCACAAACATCTCAATGAGTCCGACATGGATACTACGGGATCCTTCTAAATAATTGCAACTCAATTAGAGACTCTAACAGTACTTTGAAGCTTGAATCTTTAATATATATATTATGCGGGATATAATGCGAAATACTATGCGTAATGCAAGAGTTCCAGCTGTATACTAGTCGATGTTAATTAGTTAATTTGAAAGTATGGACTCGAAGCAGCTTTAGTAGGATCCAATATATGTAAGATTCAATCAACTAAATAAAAATTGAAAAACATCAGTTAATCTTATTTTGAATTTGGGTTTCTCTAGACTCATGAATTATGATCTATATATTTACTATATTGTAATCTGATTGTTATTTAAGTCTGGCCGACCCGAGATCTGAGATAGCCGAGATCTCGCCTCGCCTGCGAAATCATGCAGCTGATAAAATAGATTGAGCGTACTTTAAAAGCTTCACAGAGTAAAATCTTGATTAATATTACCTATTATGCTCTAGATCTCTAAGCCTTTCACCACTGATATGCTTTTAAACCAATAATTTAGCAAAATTAGGATCACGTGAGCAACACAGTCATATATTAGTAATCAGCAAAAATCTTAAAGTCTAAAAAATAACTACTAGTTTAGTGGTTAAAACTCGAGAAATTGAGTCATAGAGCCGTGATAGTTTACAGCATTAGTGGTTTAGCGGTAAAATTCAAAGTTGCCATCTTTGAGCCCCCGGTTCGACTCCGGGCTAATGCAAGGACTCTTATTTTTTTGCTTTTTGGGGCTGTTTATGGCATATAATGTCCTACAATGTCTTTATTCTTTTTTTTAAAGTTCATAACTTTGTCTCCATTCCAAAACTTAAACCTTAAAGCTTAAGGTATACCCTTTTCTGAAGTATTTGAGATCTGGTCGGTTATATAAAAATTCTTTGTCGGAGTTGCGTCCAAAACTAGAAGCTGTTCTCCGAGCATTAGGTAATCCGTTAATCTAATTTCAAAGAACGTCTTGTCCATCAAATTAAAGAAATGTTACTATTGAATTAGTTTCGGAAATCAGTACAAGGATTCAACCTATAACTATTGACGTATTCTAACTTGGTGATTGTTAGCTGGTGGTTTCTTCAGATTCAAAACGTAATGACGGTTTCAAGATGTTTCTATATATAATAATTGGTTAATTTGTTGTTGGTTGTTGGTAATTTACACAAAGTCATTATTTTTTTTTGCAATGATCATGAAAGGGTTTGAAGAGTAAGCCATTAAAATACCGCAATATAAGATGGTATCTAGATGATGAAAGAACAACACACCTTGGCTCATTTGGTATAGATTTCGCACGTTATATTCACACCACAAAAGGTCATATCATTCAAGGTTATAATATTTTTTCCTTCAATTTTTACCGCTTCAGTTAGGTATTGGTCAAATATCATTTGGATTCAAAATATGTACCATTGGTTTAATGTTAACTCAAAATTGAAAAATTTCAGTCTACTTATGGTCATGTCAATACTAGTCCCAGGTTTATCTACACCCATACCCATTATTTCTCAATCCAAAGACTTTCAAATCAATGAATGCAATTCTAGTATAACCCACATGCAACAACTTGACGTTCCCTATCATAAAAATGGTACTTTGCTAAATTTCAATGAGACCAATTCCACAAACAACTGCTTATATTATGTTCCTGACTCAACTGTGCACAACAAAACCACAAAATCAAGATCAGATACTAATAGATTTGCAAGATTTAGTACTTGGTTATTGGTTATCTTATTTTCAATATTATCAACAGTGATTGCAATTGTATTTTGGCCAGTATTATCAGAGCAATGGGGTATTATAAGGCAGAAAGTACCTCGCATTATAAGGGATGGAAGGCAGAGAGGCCAAAGAAAGAGGTGGATAATTTGCAGAGTCATATTTCATTATAGAGTATTGGGATTTATTTTCTATTCGTTGGTCTACATAGTTCTATCTATACCTGGTGCTGTTGTCTTGCTGATTGTATATATGATTATTGGGATCTGCTATTTATTTGGATGTGATGTCACCGAAGGTAATGATACAAATCATAATGGCAATAATAACTCTAGCCCTGGTGACAATGACAGGGGCAATTACCAAATGCAAAATATGGATAATGGAAATAATGACCATATGTTTCGTGCTTCTCCATATAACAGAGTTTACCGACCATTAGATGGAATATTGGACTCAGTAAAATACTCAGGTCGATGTGTTAAAAGATCAGAACTTGATGCATATGAATTTGATGGGGAAGTATTGAAATTGGCTGCACTGAGTTTTTTCATTCCAGATGAAAATTTTTCCAAAAGAGCTTTCCATTATGATTTAACCTCTGAAGATTTCAAATTAGACCATCAAGATTCATGTTTAATATGTCTTGAAACTCTTCGACCTTATGATTTTTTAATTATATTACCATGTGATCACATAATACATTTTGGATGTTTAGTAAGATCAAGAACTACCCAATTGGAAAATGCATTACCTGAAGACACGATGATGAGATGTCCAACATGCCAGTTAAATTTCGTTAGACTTGTGCAATACTATAAAGAACATAGATATGATCCTAAAAAGGTTCCATTTTTCAATAGAGAATGAATATATCTAGTCACTATTAAGTATAAGATGGATCATGTCCTCAGAGTATATTCATGACTCAATAACTCTCATGATATATATAGTTCAAATTAATAATACTTTTTGTGTGAAAACTAGTACAAATTCGATCACCAAACGTAAACGTATGATACTACGATTGTATATCAAAGCCGAAGGTTTTTGGGTCTAATCAGTTTACTATATATTCATGAAGTATATAACCTTGTAAATATGATGATTAATATACTGATCAGGCTATCGATTTGACTGACTGTTGGGCGTAGTAGTGTTCTATGTGCTATTCCTATAATATCATTGATTTTTCTCGGTATTCCGAGATTGATTTTAAATATCTCATGAAAACCACTACATAATTTTATTCAACTCATTTGGTGTATAAGTGCACACTAAGTTGAGAAGAGATGAATTATTTCACTCAACTATTGGTTCACCCTGAATATTTGATTATTTCCTCACATTTATATTCCTTAATCAATCCACCTTCACTCAACTTGATATATAGCTTGATAATTTTACGTGAAGCTATACATTATACTCAATAGTAACAGCTTCAGCCAAATAGACGAACATGAGACGAAATTATTGCTTCATAGCCATTAGTGGCTGTATATTGATGCTGCTAATTAGTAGCTGTATATTGATTCTGCTAGGGAGAGTTAAGGTGGACTTATTACTATCAATTCAGGTGGGTGATAAAATTTCCTCACTTGAATCATCAAATGAGCTAGCTTCTAAAGAGCTACAGTATGATATCAGTGATCCCTGCCTTAATAAACGGTATATTTATCAGCCAGAAGAGCCAGAGAAATATTTCAAGCGATCTTACGATTACTCATACGAGGAAAGAACATCGGAGCCAAAAAACGAATCACTATTAAGGTTTATAGTTCTTGTTGGTGCTATCACATATCTTGTCTCTATTGGGGATCTAGAAGATATTGTTTCGTTATATCAAGAGTTTTATGAAAGAAAAGAATTGATTAAATTTAATGGGAAAGAAAGAAATGAGAGTGTGCTAAAGATTTGGGCAAAGATTATATTTACGAAGAAGTTGTCAAATTTGATACTTGCTGGGATTTTGCACTTACCGTGAGTATATTTTGAAATAATTATATCAACCAGCCAGTGAGGTTGACTAACTTAATTCTATTCAACAGAGCTATGATTCTTTTTAGTACCATATTACCAATTTGGTTGATAGGGGAGGGGGTTATAGAGTACACTGTTTTGAAACCTTTATACTTATTGGTGGATCAACTCATTTCTGGGGATTGTACTATTAAAGAAGCTGGTTTATTTTTACCAACACATCAAACAAATTTCAATGAAAAATCACAGTTGGATAGTTTACAAGAAGATAATGAATCAGAAATACCATGATAGCAGTATTCATATAGAGGAATTGCTTAGTTTAGCTACAAAATTTTCATTGGGATAAACCAAAACTATATTCTTATATAGTACGCCTAAAAATCATCCGACTAGTCAATAAGAGTTCATTATTAGCAGATGTGATGAAGAGAAGTTTTATAACCCAATAACGATGATATAACCTATCAGAAACTAGCATCATATACGAAAAATAACCATCATAAACTAAATTCCTCTCTCATTTTTCTAAACTTGTAATCCATTTCTCTTTCATATGATCTTGCATTTTGGATACTGTATTGATTAGCGGTATAAAGTGTAACAGGAACAGCGATCATACTTCCTAATATCATGCTACTGACCCAAGAAGTGAGAACAACCATGGTGAATTTAGTAGTGGTCCTTATATGTGATTTGATAATGGAACAATTGTACACTTGAAATATTTTGTAATTCAAATTATTAGCAGCTAGTCAGTTTTATATTTTTCAGTTATGTGTGATATAACTATTGGTTTGATAATATGAACTACCAGCCAATTGTACTTTGAAATAACGGGAGAGCCGCCTCCTTTCATACCTACTCTTATGAAGTTTCTCTGTGGTGGAAGTATTCATATATCATAGTTTGCTTATCTTTTTTCTAGCAGATTAAGCTTCTTAACTTATATTTATTCTTTGAAAAGCCCTTGTCTTTACCCCTTTTCATTATGATAAACATATTATTTGAATGAAAGTCTAGGTCTGAACTACTGAAAAACATCTACATGCAGTTGAGTGTAACAATAAAAACCTTATATGTCATTAATAAAAGAGCTTATACATTTCAAATTGCTGTTGTAGGCCCAGTTCAAAATACCTCATAGTAGACATCCAAAACCATCTCAATTTCTTCTTCTAGATTTAATCTTCATATCATAAAATAAATTATCCATTTCCCTGGCTGTATTTTCGTAGCTGCTACTAACCGTATTAGAAGAACCAAATAATCCATTGACCAGAATAGTGGTTGCAATACCACCACCAATACTATAAGCTAACCAACTTGTAATAACAACCATTTTCAAATAAAATAAAGAGTTAAAGCTGAAAAAAATACTAAAACACTATAATTTCTCCTTAGAGTTTCAAGGTTAGAATTCCTTTGGGATAAAGGCTGTCTTGTTCACTTTATATAGTTGTAGCTTGTAGCTTGCAGCTTGTAAACGTTTCTTGTGCAATTTAGCTTTCAAAATTTTGGAAGCTTAACATATTGCTGATGGTTTGTCAGTCCATATTAGCTACCCCTAATCATCCTTGTTTCATACAAATCCAATATGCAAACTTTGATATTATATAGTTTTGATATTGCAAATGTTGCATAGGGGAAGGCAATGATTCATGTTGGTTTACATTTCTGATCCATCATAATAAGCTCTTATCCACATACCCCTATTTCTCACACTAATTGTCGTTGTAGTAGCTTCCCATGAGCTATTTATCATCATTGAACTTTAAATCAAACAAGACGTTGAAGAATTCAAGATCAAATTTTCAATTGTGCATTATCTTTTGCGATACATACACGCAAAAGTTACCTAACTTCACTAAGTATGTATAAAGTTATTCCATTTGAAGTAAAAAACATACTTGAAGTTGAGGAACTAATAAGTTTTAGAGATGATGAAATATATCTTACGTATGAATTATATCTAAAAGAAATCAGTGAGCTGTATATTAAGAGGGGGCTTGTATATATTGCTTACACTCTTGATATTAACCCATAAATTTGCCTCAAGTGCATAAATTCATAATCTTGATTCTATCATGTTTCAAGTATCAAAGATGTATAAACTTTCAAGAGGTCTTTTATTAGCAGCCAAAAATTTGACAGCTTGGTGCGATTTCTGTGGAAATTAATAGATAAATTATATATGGCTTTTAGTTCAGTCCCTGATTCAATACAACCAATATGCCATTTTTAAAGAGGGAGTAAATATCCTGTCATATTGATCCTTTGTAATCCCTTAAACAAATACTGAACAGTAAAGAAGGAGTTGACTGAAACTACATATAAACAATATGGTTAAGTTAAGCATCGCGTAAAAAAAAGCTAGAACTCTCTTATATATATCTTGTTTGGTAGTGAAATTGTCAAAAGCGTGTGTCGTGTTATGAACAATGTCCTTGAATTTCCATCGAATTCCATAGTCTAACGTCAACGACTTATTAATCGAGGAAGAATTATTGTTTAGATAATGTTTATAATACCCGGTATGATTACACTTTATTCCAGTTCGATGAACAAATAAAATTAACTCTTTTTATTCATAATTGATGCAATATACTATGTAAAATAATTCATCAAGGACCTGCCCTTTTCATCCCACTGTTTTGTATTCTTTCCCGTTTTCAATCCATACATCAAAAGACTTATAAAATCTATTGATAATTACCAGAACCACCTAAAGTTTGAGAAACGTTAAATTGTTCTTTATCAGTAACAACATGTAATGATAAGTTATATTCAGTTTGATTACCAGAAGCTTGAGCAATGATGGTGAAAATTTGGGAAGGATCACTACCATCACCATCAAAACTTGCATTATTTGGAACTTTGAACCAAGCTTCATTATATTGTAAATCACCTGGTGGAGTTAATGATTCTAATTGTGGATGAGTTTGTATATTTGTAACTTGGAAACCTTCAACTTTTGAGTTTGGTTTTAATTTAAAAGTAGTAGCATCATGTTTATCTTTGATTAATAAATCCCATTGTAAGTTTGAACCTTCTTTGTTACCAACAAATTGATATGGTGCAGCTCTTCTATCGGTGACACCGTCTGGTTTATCAACAGCTGAAACTAATGAAGTAATGAATAATGTGTTTAAAATGGTTGTGAATTTCATTATGGGTATAGTTGGGTATAATAAAATGTATGGTACTTAGGTATGGAGTTTGTAGTGCATAGTTGAGAATGAGCCATATTGAAACCTTTTATACTTCTAGGAAATTTGAAATGTAAACATCAATGACTCTTGAGCAAACCGGACATGCTACTTGGTGTTACTTTGTGTGGAACGCACTAAAAAATGAATTCCCAGAGAGGACTCAGGAGTCTGTGTTTTCTAGGGTATTGTAGATCTTGAATTTTTGCTTTTGTTTTGTTTGTGAATGTTGAGATCGATTTGCACTTGAAGGTACTACAACGTAAACAAAAGAACTACAACCTATAACCTATAACCCATAACAACCATTCTTTTATGGTCTTTTGACTCTTCACAAATACTTTAAAGTTGACATATTTTTGGCTCAAACTTTAAATAAACTCCTCGAGATTGACCCCTGCGTTCACCATAAAAAGTTTCTGCACGACCAGATTCCAGAATTTGGCTATATTTAAACAAAGTTGCATTGAAGATCACTGGAAAAAAAATTCGCGTATACGTCGTGGATTTTGAGGAATTCACCAAAAGGAACTTGAAAAGTAAACAAAGAGCCTGAAAACGGTTGAAAGTGGGAGCTTCAAGAAAGTTTTTCAAGGGTCTAGTTCTCAGTATTCAGTTCGTATCAATCAGTGATCATTTTCATTGTCGACTAGTGTCTAGATCTGTTGATGTTTTGATAGTTGAAGTAAATCTGTGGTTTTAAAGTGTTATGTCTAAGTCAAATACCAAGGGAAGGATCTAGATCCAACTCTTAAGCTTTGACAATAACTACGAACTTTTATCCACTTGAAGTTTGAATGATTGGATGCTGGATTGAGCCACGCTGGGAAAGCCAATACTCTCTATCCACACAAGCTAGCTGATAACTTTTAAGGTGACATTATATAACTTCAATTTTCAATCTAACACCGGTAAATTAGATGAAATACAGCTAGTTCTTGAATAGATGAAATGTGGATCATAAATTCAGTTTTTGTATCAGTTAATTATTACTATGTCAATTGTTCAATTGAACATTAATATATATAGAGTCGACTGGGTACTCAAAAGCGCATATAAAATAACAAGATCTATTTGATGTAGATGATTTAACTTACATATGTGATTCTAAAACACTAATATTGTAGCACTGGAAGAGATTAATCGCAATGATACGACGTATTATAAAGTACAAAAAGTCAATATATAGTAATATGAAAAATGTATATTCATCAAAAGTAACAACCCATCCCAGAGTATCCAGTAAAGGAAATCATGGAGAATGACAATGTTTCTTGATGTGTCAAATGTATTCAGTTTTCAATTCAAATGATACATGATAACAATTTTGATGAATGTATATGATGATTTGGCGATTTTTAGTGGTAAATCGAATAAACCAGCTATATTCACGTCATCCATTCACACTTTGACTTGAACAATTATGAATTGATGATAAGTCAAAAAACTTCTAGTTCAGACATTTCTTTGAAGTACAGTGTAGTAATGAATCTATTATTTTAGACCATGAAGTCCACAGACGCAAGGATTAGTAGAAAGGGCCAACGGATTACTAAAAGGTAGCAATCAGTTTAAAAAAGTAATGGGTATAGGAATGATTTGATCAAACTTCAAATTTTTTTTTATTTCACAAGCATCGCGAAATGTGATTACATAATACAGCTCGCACATATTTCCGATAGTCTTTCATATTTCCTCATGAAATATCCTAAATTCTGACAGCTCTTGATCACGATTCGCATGTGTAACAGAGCAATACACTCCTTAAAGTGAATAGTATATCTCAATTTCAAACTAGCTTACTAGATTAATCGATGATAATGATCAACTAAGAGAACAGCTCCCGATTACCTATTGAACTTGTGAGCTAGCATTGAAGCTAATTCTTGCTTCTCCTAGCTTCAAACAACGTCTATACTAGCTGATCTGATATATAGAGATCAGTGTTCGATATATCTTCTATCAGTATTGAAATGTATTGAATAAGGCTACAAGTGAGTATATACACTCATTATGTTAGATCTTGGATTTCTAGAAACTTGAAGCTTATTGTTGACTTAATTAGATCGCTGGCATAAAAACCCGAAGTTGATTTCTTGGGGTAGAATTCGAAGCCTTGAAGATCTTCTCGCAAATATGAATTTTCTCACAATACAAATTAGACGTGAAATTACTTCATGATCTGGTTATAAAAGTATAACCTATATACCTTAGTCATTGATTGACACATCCAGTTTCTCCAGATTATATATAAACAGAACAATATCCCTCTTGAGCTCGCATCAGATCTTATCTAATTAGACTTCAAACATACAACAAACTCCAGATTTAATTAGACCTTATGAGCTCCAGCTTCAGTAGAATGAACACAGATCCATTTAGCCAAGTAAGTAACTAAACAGATCACTTATACACCGTTATAGGTCTCAATCACCATCTGGTACATCAATTTCATTGAACAATAATAGCTGACAATGATAATTAGCAACCAGAGCAAACTCAAAGACCATCAGAACCAAAATCTTACACATACAACAAGGAAACAGGTACTTCATCTGAAGGTGAAAAGAAACAATATGGTAAATATCAATCCCGTCCTCAACCTGCTTATTCTCAACAAATAGAACTTAAAAGGGAACAAGAAATTGGATGCGTAGGTTCGTTTTGTCAAATTTTATGTTGTGTTCCACTTTGGTCAAAGTGTCAAGGTCCTGGTACAACTTGTTGTGGTCTTGATTGGGATTCAAAAGGTCCTGATACTCGTCAAGGTTATGGTGCTGGGTTCATTTAACTTTTGAGTTGTTTTGTGGTGAGTCTGAAACGTTATATGTCGTCTCTTTAGGCCCCTGATCAATGTTTTGTGAAATTTAATCGACACTAATGATGTCTTTCATAGCTTGATTTACAATCAATCATATTGTGATTTATCCATGAGAACTTAACTGATCAATGGTTTTGATGTTTTCCAACTACTAATTATTTTTAAGAATAACCTATCTATAGGTTCAGAAGAATTTATATGCTTTTAATAACTTCAATAAGTGGCCAGTAGTACGTAATGACTAGCAGCTAACTATTTAAATACACCATACCTAGTGCTGATTACTAGTGCTAAATTTTTATTACACACATCAACACCTTACTCACTAAATGTACCTTATGTTAATGATAGAACAGGAATAAACTACATGTCCTTTGAATCAGAAGTATAAAAACTACGAGTTAAGCTTGTGCTTAAGCTCTGGCAAAAATAGTGTATATTTGAATACAAAAACTTCCCAGAGTATCCGAAGAAATCATGGAGAAAGTAATATAATGAATCAATATAATAGTTAGTTAGGGCGGTATAAGCATATACGAACCTTTTATGCATCAAATTGATGATGGTGTACCAACATAAAATAATTCAGTATTAATAGTAATACGTAGTACGCTTTAACATCAACATGATATATAGCTTTTGATCGATAACTCCTCCACAAAATATCTTTGATTTCATTCCAAGTTATTTATTTAATGGGTTCAACCAATTGAATATCGCAATCAATCAAGTATATCAATATAATTGAAACTCTTTTTTTTTTAATGGGATCGGATTCTTTATAAGGTATTTAAAGGCTGTTCTTTTGAGGCACACAATTATTCCCGATGAAACATCTCGCTAGTCACACTCACAATTCACCAAATTTGGTAAGCTCAAGAAAAGTACTATAATAGACTAAAATGACTAAAAAGTACAAATGTATAAATAATTATGAGTTCCTATTCGGGATTATTCAATACATAACTATGTTCGTAGAATAAACGAACGAATAGCATTAGATAAATAATCTTTTAGAATAAATGGTACAATACAGTTATAGCAGTCTTATATACACACCCTTAAGACAAACCACCCAAAATTTCAGCATCTTTACCTACCTTTTTCTCCAGTTTATTAAACAATAAATACAACATGTAATTTGGTTCACTAATTGGGAAACTTAATGGTGAACTATCAGATAACCAAAACATCTCATCTGGAAATTCATCTTCTTGCACTTCTAATAACTCAATTATTGAACCCCATTCTTCAAAAGTATATCTTTTCCTTGGTGACTCTTTAGCCTCAATCAATAACTCTTTAAGTTTTTTTATTAAATCCGATGTCTTAACTGGCTGTTTCACATCTTTATTTGATTCATTTAAAATTTCATCCACTGATCTTGAACTACCACCGTCATCCTCATTTTCATCATTAACATCATCAACCATATCAATATATTCCTCATGATGTCTTTTAGGTCTAGCGGAAAATAAAATCCTTAGCAATTTTAACGAAATTCCTGAAGATGCTAGTGAGTATAATGTATCACCAACATTTGAAATTAAAGCAGTCATTAATGGAACGGCAGCTATTGCCCAAACAATGAAGACTGGACGTCCCGCTGTACTGTATGGATGATAATCACCATACCCGATTGTTATAAGACAAAGAAAACAAAAATAAACAGCATCAAAGTATCTCCAATCTTCAGTATAATGGAAAACTAAAGCACCGATTAACCAAAATGTAACGAAAATAACCAATGTTAAGAAAGAACTGAATTGGGTCCTCGATTTTTTAACTTGTCTTCTGATAGACCTTATTAATTCAAATGATTCTTCAAATGTAACAGATCTATTCTCCTTTTTGAGTCTTCTAACTAATTTTTTTCTTTGAGTCTCAACTCTATTCCAAAAATATATTGGTGTTGATAAAGATACAATAACACCTCTTATCATAGCAATAATTAACCCCAAGATAATAACTCCTGTTAAAGAGTAAAATAATGATAATGCTTTTGTAACATCAGACTCAGGGACTATATCACCTAGACCAATAGTCAATAATGAAATTGTACAATAATACATTGCATTACCAAATGATAAATCATTCATGATATTGGAAAACATTGCTGCACCCCATAAGAACCAAATAGCTAATAATAATGTATATGCAATCAAACCTCTTTCTGCAAAGCTCAAATTGAAAACTGGTGGATATTTACCTAATAAATAACCTGAAAAATTGATCAAACAAGATATCCCACAAAATGCATATAATATAACAGTAATAACACCAAACCAAAAACCTTCAGATTTTGAATAATTTTCATTATCAGTATGAACAAAATATTGGAAATGAGCAATTAATAAAGCAACTGTCAATATTATTGAACCACCAATAAAGCAAATGATACTAATAAATTGAGAAATCTTGTAATGTAATCTTTCACTAAAATTTAAAACTAAACTTATATTTGCCAAACATCCCATAGCTAAAGATAATGAATTCAAAGTTATAACAGGAATTGAATCATTTATTGCCACTCCATCAACATTAATTCTCCATTTATCAACCAACGCGGCTATTGAAATCATATTTGCTAAAGGACCAATACAAGCTGTGAAAACAGGTAATTCACTTGATACAAAAAACCACCATATAAACTCCATACTACCAGGTTCAATATTTAATAAACCAATTTTAGATTTTGACATCATTAATGTGTTTTGTGGTATTTTGGAATCAATCTTGGTTAATTTTCTATGAACTCCAAAGTTTATTGGTTGAGTTGTTTTGGATGTTGTTATACTGGGTATATCATCTTGTGGTTGATAGTTATCTGGATCTGACATTATGATACTGCATCGTTGATAAATATCCCGTTATTCCTGACTCACAGATATCAATTTGATTTTAATTATAATATTTAGCCGTTGTCTCTTGAAGATGTAATTGTTGTTTTGTTTTTGTTGATGGTCAAGAATTTTAAAAGCTCATCGGGATTAAAAAATTATGCGACAAAACTAAACAACAATTCATTGACAATTTAAATTCACCTCTCTCTATCCCAAATTAAGACTTGTGTATAAAAAAAGCTATACATGCTCATAAAGTCATCCTTACCACTTCAATAATGCTAAAATGAGCAAAAAAATAACGGTTTAAAGCTCAAAAAGCAAAAATTATGGACGCGACCGGAGTCGAACCGATGACCTCATGCTTGCAAGGCATGCGCGCTACCAACTGCGCCACGCGCCCTAATTTAAAATTTGAAAATATATGCTGAATAGCCGCATTCACATATGCGACAACACGTGACTCAAATGTCCGGTTAGGGCAGAATTTGTATATCATCAGATAGAAAATCTCGAAGAATGGTTCTAATCAATAACCACTGATGTTTAAAGATCATAAGCCTAATTATCAATTCATATATTAAAAGATTGTGGAATATGACTGAAATTAATACTGATGAGAACAAATTACGTGTTTTCTTTGTTAGACATGGACAAACAGATTATAACGTTGCAAAGATTCTTCAAGGTCATTTGTGAGTATTACATTCAGAATTCAAAGAGATAAGAGGAAATTAAGTATTAACGGGATCGTGACTTATAGAGATACTGATCTAAATCAAGAAGGTATTGATCAAGCCAAATTAGCTGCTGAAAAACTTAAAGATTATCCATTTGATGCATTTTATTCATCAGATTTAAAACGTTGTCGTGATACAGCAAATACAATTCATAAAAGTTTAACCAAACAAGTTGATATTCAATTCAGTTCTAATCTTAGAGAAAGAAATATGGGTGAAATTGAAGGTATGAAAATTTCAGATGCTGTAGAGAAAGCTGCTAAAGATGGTAAAGAATCTTATAGAGAATATGGTGAAAAACCTATTGATTTAGTTAATAGGGTTAAAAAACAATTAGATGAAATACTTGAACTTAATAAACAAAATAAAAATATAATTATTTGTTCACATGGTGGTACCATAAGAACTATATTGAAGATATTAGGTTTTAAAGAAAATTTAATTGTTTATAATACCAGTATAACAACTGTTGATTTTAATCATAATGATTTTAATGATTTTAAAATTGTTACTGTGAGTGATACTAAACATCTTGGTGGTGATTTTAAAGTGGCAGATACAAGAGTGAGATAGGTTATGATCCTAGCTCCACTTTTAAGGCTAGAAGTATATAATATAAAGTATAGATCTATATACATATGATGATGAAATTTGTGGAGATTTTAAATTCGATCTAGATTCAAGATTTTAGACTGATCTAAAAGCGAATTCTGATATGAATCAACTATCATGAAAGTATGGAATCTGTTAGTCTATAGGAAACATTCATTATTTTATGATCTCCTGGTGCAATTTGTATATTCTTTTCAAGGAAAGCTCTTGAGATTTTCATTTTACCGTACAGATCAAAATTATGCCTATGAAAAAAAGTCGTTTATCCGCTATGAAAATCACCGAGTAATAAATATCCACAACTTGAACCAAAACCACACCAAAAATCTCAAATCAAATACATAAAGCAAGGAGAAGAACCCAAAAGAACATGTTTACCGGGATAGTAGAACACATAGGAACAGTGGAGGAATTCAAAGAATTAGATACTTCAGAATCAGGAGGCAATGGAGTTTCATTATTAATCAAAGATGCTACTTCAATATTAGGTGATTGTCATATTGGTGATTCAATATCAATTAATGGTACTTGTTTAACTGTTACAGAGTTTGATGAAAATACTTTCAAAGTTGGATTAGCACCTGAAACATTAAGAAGAACAAATTTGGGTTCATTAAAATCAGGTTCAAAAGTTAATTTAGAAAGAGCTATTGGTGGTGATGTTAGATTTGGTGGACATTATGTTCAAGGTCATGTTGATACAGTGGCAAGTATTGAAAAGATTGATAAAGATGGTAATGCATTGAATTTTACATTCAAATTAAAAGATTTACAATATATTAATTATATTGTGGAAAAGGGGTTTATAGCAATTGATGGTACTTCATTAACAATTACACATGTTGATCATAAACAAGGTACATTTGGAATTTCAATGATTGAACATACACAAAAAAATGTTATTATGACATTGAAGCATATTGATGATTTTGTTAATATTGAAGTTGATTTAACTGGGAAATTAATTGAAAAACAAGTTGAATTACAATTATCAAGTCAAATTTCAAATGAAGAAAGTCCATTAGTTTCATTGATTCATAAAATTGTTGAAGAAAAATTATCAAAAATTACAAAATAGACATGTTTGGAAATTATGTATATTTAATGAAATATCCCATATATGTATTCCATTTCTCTTAAAGGTAGCAAAATTCACTGACCAGCAGCATAACCTCTTAATTAATCCCAATTGACTCATAATACCGTTTCTAACCCATTCTTATTCATAAATTCTTTATAACCTCTATAATCAATACCACTTTTGATACCTTCATACCTTGTCAATTGAATACTACCAAAATCAACTTTTTTAGCATCCCCACCAGCTTTAGCAATCAGATTAATAATAGTCCAATCCTTAGTCCAACCTTGATCAACAGCAACTGAAGGTAAATAAGTCCCACTCTTAACAGATCCTTTATAATTAAAATGAATACGAATACCATGTTTACCTAATTCCCAATCTAAGGCATCTTCTCCTCTAGTAAAATTTTGTAATAATGTTATATCAACTGATAATTTTGAGAATTCTGCAGGGGAAATTGCATCAAATCTTGGATCTTGAAATGCTGAAATTTCAGCATATTCTTTTATACCTTTTTCCAATGGTTGATCTGCAAATGTTCCAATACAACCTCTTAATGAATTTTCACCATTTTTTTCAATATCCCATGTAACAAATAAAGGTGAATCAGTATCACCATCTTTACCCCCTGAAGAGCTGGTAAGATTTTTGAAAAGTTGTAAAGGGTATTTCACACTATGGCTTAACAATCTGGATTCCAATACGTGGAATGCGTACAATGGATATGGTGAGATGCTCATTGTTGATTGCTTGATGGTTGTTTTAGTAGGTTGCCACTGGTTTGATCGTCTTGTTTTTTGTTTTTGTTCGTATGTTTTTGGATTTTTGTGCCACTAAATGCACCTTCAAGAAAAAAATTAACGGTTGTGAAAAAAATTCAACAATAGAAAACGAAATTTGATTACAAAAGCTTTGAAGAGATCTTCTGATATCAACACAGAGATACAAGATGGTCACAGTGTCAGCCAATATCAAGTTTGATCAAGAAAAAGACAGTGTAATCACATTAGCAGGTGGTTGTTTTTGGGGGACAGAAAGACTCTTTAGATCACATTTCTCAGGTAGAATAACAGATTTAAGAGTTGGTTATGCAAATGGATTAGATAAATTTGAAGAATTAAGTTATGAGCAGGTTTGTTCTGGTGAAACTGAATTCACTGAAGTTTTACAAATAACATATCCAAAGGAAAATTCAGAAACTTTTAAAAATTTAATACAATTTTTCTTTAAAGTTCATGATCCAACAACTTTTGATAAACAAGGTGAAGATGATGTTGGGAAACAATATCGTTCTGCTATTTTTTATCATGATGATTCTCAAATAGATATAATAAACCAAGTGATTGAAGAGTTCAATCCTAAATGGGATAATAAGATTGTCACAGTGGTGGAAAAGATTAATAATTGGTTTGATGCTGAAGATTATCATCAAAATTATTATGAAACTGATTTGGCAAATGAAAGGAATTGGGCCCCATGTTCCACTCATTTCGTTAGAGATATATAATTTATGGTACTAGATGCATTGTATTATAAAACATTAATATAGAAATATAGAGTAAAAGGTGTGTTCATTTTGACTTCAAATTGATGATTTCTGTCGTAGTTAATTTTTTTTTCACTGTCGGTATTAAAAAAATGATTTTCAGGTCCAACAAAATTAAACACCTAAGCAACAAAATTTATAAGCGAACAGGAAAAGATCAATAAAGAACAACTTGAGGCCCACATTCTATCCATTTATTGACAAAAATGAAGTTCACCACTGTGTTCAGCGCATTGACTTTACCTTTCTTGGTTTCTGCTCAAGCTCAAGGTTTATATTCCAAAGATTTAAACGTGTTTGAATTAGATACAACAAATTTTAATCAAGTTGTTATGGAATCTAATCAAACAACAATTGTTGAGTTCTATGCACCATGGTGTGGTCATTGTCGTCAATTAAAACCTCATTATTCCAAAGCAGCAAAGCAATTGAAAGATATTGTTCAAGTTGGTGCTGTTAATTGTGATTATGCAAAGAATAAAAATCTTTGTTCAAAATATAAAATTGAAGGTTATCCAACAATCATGGGGTTTAGACCACCAAAAGTTAATTTAGATAAAGTTGAAAATTTAAAATATACTCATGCAACAGAAAAATATTCAGGTGCAAGAACTGCAAAAGGTATAGTAGATTTTGGTCTTGGTAGAATTAAAAATTATGTTAAAAGAATTGCAACAGAGGATAAATTAAATGAATGGTTAAATAAATCATCTCCAAGACCTAAAACCGTGGTTTTCACAAGAAAGGATAAATTAGCACCATTATTAAAATCAATTGCTATTGATTTATTAGGTATTGTAGATATTGCTTATTTCCCATTGAGAGATCGTGAAGTTGGAATTTTTGAAAAATATGATATTGATCCAAAAGGTGATAAAGCTGTTGTTTTCTATTTTGATTCAAAGACAAATGAACCAATAAGAAATACTTCAGGATTGAGTAAATTAGAATTATTCAAATTTTATCAACAATTTAATGAAATTCAATCACAATTAGATGAAGTTTTAGAAAAATCTGAATATTTGAATAAAGTTCAAAAAGGTGAGAAAATCACTAAGAAATCTAAAAAAAATGGTAAGAAAAGTAAATCAGATACTTTAGATCATGATGAATTATGAATTATATAGGGTATATATACACAGGAATGTACAAGATATTAAAATATTGATTATAGTTGTGCTTATATGCTAATTCTTCAACACCGGGTAAAATTCGCGCATAGTAATTTTCATAACTTTTCCCAACTAAATCAAAAGATCTTAAAGAGATCAACAAATTGAAAAGTTGAATAAGCTGATATATTTATTGTGAACTACTGCTTGTTGCTCATCTATAACCATATTTCATAATGATCACCAGATTTTTCTCAAAAGTTGTTGTTAAATTCAATCCTCTAGATAAAGGTGGTAAGTATAATTGAAAAAAAACATTAAACATAAAAATAAGAATGATTATATTAACAAGAGAAAACAGGTAAAAATGGTAGATTATTCTTGTCACAAATACCACCATCTCTCAAAGGTTCTTGTGGTATAGATCATGAGTTATTAACTCCACTTTCTAAAAATTCACCAATAATTAAAGTTACATTTAGTAAGTGTAATCATATTATTGAAATTTATGAAAACCCATGGTTTGATTGATTTTTCAAGACAATGTTACCTTTTGAATTTGTTTACTAACAACTGACTACCAATAGAAGATAAAAAAACATTAGAAATAGATCCAGCAAAAGGTTCAATCAATGAAATTGGTGCATTTTTCGATCGTCATTCAAGACAATTAGCATTCAAAGAAAGTATTGAAAAATAAGATTTATTTGTGTGATTCAATCAAGGAGATAAAATTTGTATAATAGAAGATTAAGAAATGACTTGTAAATATTGGGTTAAGATTTTGGGTTGTAGTTGGTTTTGTGATCAATTTTTTTTTTTGGAGTTGGTAAATACCCTAACTTTAGAGCTATATCTTCGAAGAAAAAAAGACATATATCATTTGAGATACGAAGACTTTCCGTATCCACTCCTTAACCTTTCTTTTCCATGAAAATACCTGACTCGTAGGTTTCTGTAATTGTGATTAGTTCAAGTACGTAGTGAAAATAATCGCCTAATAGTGGCCCTTACCAAAAATATAGATGAGCTACAAAAAAAAATTATATAGCTATAGTAAAACAAGTATTAAGGTAATTCTTTGACACATAAGTTATCACAACTTAGTTGATATAAAACTTCATTCAAGATGGCCAGACCAAGACCAGTATTTGAAGGCTCTGATATAGAACAAGATGAACTAGAAGATATTTTAAGAGCTGATAAAGGGAATCAAAATTCAGATGAAGATAGTGATGATGATTTTGATAAATTATCATTTGGTGCTTTAAAAAATGCTCAAGATAAAATGGATAAAGAAGATGGTAAAACAAAAAAGAAGAGTAATAATAATAGATCTTTTGATATAGTGGATCCAAGAGTTGCTGGTCTTCAGAAGAAATCAAATAAATCAACAAAAAGAGATGCTATAAAAGAAACGAGGTATAATGATAGTGATAGTGAAAGTGAACAAGAACAAGGTGGATTTTTTGAAGAAGAAGATAGTGAAGCAAGTGATAATGAAAATGAATCAAGATCACATGGAAAAGGAAAGAAAAAGAATAAACATGCACCAACTGAAACTTCTTCAAAGAAGAAAGTTTCAAGAGTAAGACAAGTTCCTGGGTTAGATAATCCAAAATATAAAACATTATATCAAGATATTAGATTTGATACTGCATTAGGTAAAGCTGATTTAAATAAAATTAGAAAAGATTATAAATTTTTGGATGAATATAGAGAAAATGAAATCAATCAAATAAATTCTATATTAAAGAATCCAAAAGTTAAGAATAAAATGAGTCAAAAAGAGATTAATGATTTAGAATATGAAGCAAAATCATTAAAATCAAGATTAGATTCTTTAAAAAATAAAGATTTACAACAAGAAGTTCTTTCTAAATATAAACAAGAAAATAAAGGTAAGAATGGTGGTAAATTTTATTTAAAGAAATCTGAACAAAGAAAAATCATTCAAAAACACAAATTTGAAAATATGAAAACTTCACAAAGAGAAAAGGTTGTTGAAAGAAAGAGAAAAAGAAGATTGGGTAAAGAATTCAAAGAATTGGAATTCAATCGTCCAAGAAATTAGAAGCTTAGCACTACTACTGGTTTCAATGAGTTTTATGTAGTTGTATATTAACATATTAAATTAATTCTGATAATTTGCATTATAAAAGAATTTCAAAACATGAGGTGTAGAAAATTATATATATAAGATGTTGAAAAATTTATAGGGAAGAAATATTTGTGGTCAAATGGAACTTATTTCTTGATTTGATCTGGATTATTTATATCAATACCTTCATGTTTAACCCAATCTTCAATACTACCAACATAGTTACCTAATTTATCATAACCAAAGATTTGAGCTAATTCAGTTGCTGCACTTGATCTAACACCTGCAAGACAATAAAAAATCAATTCTTTTTCTTTATCAGGTTTTTCAAATTTGAAAACATCTTCAAATTCTTCAGGTGAAAGATCTAAAGCACCTGGTGATGATTTATATGGAATATTTATTGAAGTTGGAATTGCATATTGTTGAAATTCATGTGGTTCACGAACATCCACAAGAATTTTAGTTGGATCTGGATTTGTAATTAAATTTTTAATATCTTGATAAGTATAAATTTTAGCTGGTGTATCTTGACCTAATTTTTCACGAACATCTTCAGTTAAAGTTGATGCTTTATCTTTTGATTGTGATGAATTAAATCTATAAAAAGTGGCTAAATTTGGTTTTGAAATTAATTGTGGTTGTGAATTTGATAAATTTAATGATGATCTTAGGGCAATTGATGGAGCAAATTTAGCACCTGAGATTTGTCTCCAGACTGATTGTCTGGTTGCTCTTGAAATGATTGAAGTCATTCTGAGTTGTATATATCTTTTATCTCACAATATTTCTATATAAAATTGAAATCCCCTTTACTGAATTGATTGTTTTCTTAATAAAAATTAAATTCAGAAAAAGATTCTAAATGTCCTAAAACAGTAATTACTATAAATGGCTAATAAGAACCAAATACAAAAGATTTTATCTTTAATTACCCAATTAGGAAGTCAAACAACACCCAATAAAAAATCTCGAAAATATAAAAAATTGGAAAATTCAATACATTTTAATAAAATCAAAGAAAAAGTCAATTCAACATACGATTAACTTGTTCAAACCCCGTCACGTTATCTTAATATTCAATTAAAATGTTCCCATCTGCTATCAGACAATTCTCAAGATCCCAAGCCCGTTTAAGTGGTGCCACTCCAACCGGTAGACAAGCTGCTGTCAAATGGGTTGTTTACTTCTTTGGTATCACCGGTTTCTTCGCTGCTCTTGGTGGTGTTTTCTATTACCAAGCTCAAGATTCAACTATTAGAAAAGCTTTATTAAAGAAAAGAGCTGCTGATGAAGCCCACAGAAAAAGAAACACTGAAGCTGTTAAAGCTGCTGCTGAATCTGAATAAATTTAATTATATTTATTTATAATAGGTGATACTTGATTGATTCAAGTTTTTATTTAAATATTTTTTGGGTTTATAAATAAAAAAGGTGATATGTGAATATAATTATTGTGGAATAGAAGAAAAGAAGTAAAAAAAAGATAAATAATATGCATGTAAGATATTGAGGAAAGTTATGAGGCAAAAAGAAATCATTGAACAAAAATAATTTGGAGAAATATTAATATATCATCTTTTTTTTTCTTGGTTGTTTTGGTTTTAAGTATGATGTTTTGATTGTTTCATTTTCTGTATTGGTATCTAATAACAAATAGTCATTTAATATGAAGATACGTTTTTTAGTTAAATATTCAAGATTTTTGATTTCTGTAAGTTTGCTGTGAAGTATTGAAATTGTGGGATGCTTATATATCAATTTAAATCTAATTAATAACACAGCGTTCCGCTTTATTGGTTCTAATGAACATCGAAAAACAATATGACGTGAAAATCGATTAAATCGTGGTACAATTTTGTCGATAGAAGATCTACATTAAATATTGTGTTTCGTTAGTACCCGCGAATTTCGACCAAATACGTAAATGGAGATCTATATTTATTATCACCTGCTATCAAGATCTATTAATTAGTTTATAAATATCGTATATACAACCTTAACAGCCTGGCATACTAAATTAAACTGACTCCAAATCATCAACTTTCTTAGATTCTTCATCGAATGGTTCATGAACTTCTTCAACTTTATCATCCATATCAAACCCAGCATATTTAGATCTTGCTCTTAATTTTGGTCCATTAAGATAAAATAAAACTGGGATTGCAATCATACCAGCAGTGCAAAATCCAAGAATAGTTGAACCCCATCCAACTGGAAACCTTTTACTACCTAAATTATTAAACATAAAATGCCCAAATAATGCTAAAACACCACTAATTATTGATCTCATACATGCATTACCAGAAAATGCTGATGCCATATATCTTGGGAATGATAATCCTAAATAATTGAATAAACATTGGAAAACCATAAACCCTCCAATATTGAAAATTGCAACACCAATCATTGGTGGGAACCAATTTATATCTGGTGATGAAGTCCATGCAAATATGAAAATCCCCACTGGCATAAAAATAGAACCAACTATAGTCATTGGTAAGAAAATTTCAGGTTGAACTTCTTGATTAACAATTGCCTTTCTTGTATGAATCTTATAAGTCCAAGGTAAATAAATCATTGCACCAATCATATTACCAATAAATGAACTTAAATATGCAAGACCCATAGTGACTAATGTGAAATGTTTTGTTTGTTGGAAAACAATTGGGAAAGCTTCAAACCACAAGTACATGATTGCATACATCAATGAAATATACATATGAATCAATAGAACAACTGGTTCTTTCATAGTCATTTCAATAGGTCTCCATAATGTATCTTTAATCACTTCAATTCTATTCATTTCACTTAATTCAATTTCACCTCTTGATGTGATGTTTTCATTACCAGTTTTTGTTTTAAGAATCATTGCCTTTTTGTAAAATAAAGCTTTTTCATAAGATTCTGGGAAGAAAAAAGTCATACATAATAAAGTGAACCCATTTAAAATCAATAAAAACCAAAAGCCCCATCTCCAGCTTTCCTTGACAGTTAAGACTGATCCAATGATTGGACCAAAAGCAGGTCCACCAACAGCTGAAATTGACCAAAATCCTATACCAATTGGACCATATGGAATAGTTAAAACATCACAAATAGCTGCTGGACCAATACCAATCGGAGCTGCTGCAAAGAATCCAGCAAGAAATCTTAAAATACAAAAGCCAGTAATGTTTTTAACTAATGCTGTAGGAATTTGTAAAATCATAAAGATAAATGTTGTACCGAAATAAACTGGCATTCTACCAATTTTTGGATTTTCAGTTAATGGACCAAATAATAATGGACCTGTACCATAACCAACAACGAAAAGAGCTAATGGTAATGTTGCAACTGTAGTATTCACGTTTAAATCTTTTTTAACCATTTCAATACCAGGTGTATAAATAGCAGATGCAATATAAACTGAAAAACAAATGAATGATGCTAAAAATGCAAAGAATAATTTTAATGGTAATGGCCAATTTCTTGGATTTTGTAAATCATCTTCACCATCCCAATCAACTAATACTGGTTCTTGAGCATTCAAGTATTTACTGGGTATTTCATAATCTTCATATTCTTCATTAGTTTTGAAAAACTTTCCTCTTGATGTATAATGAACTAGTTTACCAAACACTGTATTCCTTAGAAACACTTCAAACTTGTTATATGACATGATGTGATTATTTTTAATAGAAGGAAAAGTCTTCAGGACTAGATGTCAAACCTTAGAGCACTGAAATGAACGTGGAACCTTTATCACAAAGTTGAGGTCATTTTTAAAGATTTCTATAAGATCTATGCACTGTACCAAAGAAAAAATTTATCGGTATTCCTAAAAAACATTCGGTAAATATCCAAATTGGGAAGTATACCGTTTCAGGTGTCCGGTTAATAGCGTGCTAGAATTTAGGGTCCATTATCAGCTGGGGGTTTTCATTGAATTCCAACAAGTTTTGCTTCTTCTCATTTCTATATTAAAAATTTATAAGTTCAGGCCACTAGAAGCTCACTCCAATCACTAATTATAACGCTGGATGTAATAGGTGACAATTGATTGATCACAACTATTACCACTATCTAAATTTTAGATCAACGGATTTGATCTAGAAAATTCCGACGACTGAGTGAACCTCAAACCAGTTCCACGACATCAAATATATTTAACCATACTGAAATATTATCAGACTACCGTCAATTGGAGTTCATAGTCATCAACTCACAGGCCAGCTCTTTAAACCATGTGGATCAATCAAATGGTGCTCAAATATGATGAGCTAAAAGCTAGAAAAATTCCAATTCATAGATCAACACCAGGTTTTAGAACTCAAACTCCAGAAGCCAGACAATTCATAGCATCACAACCAGCATATACCACAGAGATCAATGAATGGGTTGAGACTATCCCACCAGCTAATCCAAGACAGCACAGAAAAGGTATTTATTCAATTGATTGTGAAACTGTTTGGACTACTACAGGTACACAAGTTGGTAGTATAACAATAATAGATTGGAGAAATTATGAAGTATTGAATGTGAAAGTTAGACCAAGTAGTCGAGTGCTAAACTATAATGGAATGGTCAGTGGTCTTGATGGGAAACAATTGTTCCAAGCACCAGGTTTATGGACCCAAGGTCAAGTTCAAGCTTTCATTGTGGATAAAATCAAAACTACAGATATTATAGTTGGCATGCAATTGAAAATGATTTGAAAGCTTTGAAATTATTACATACAAGAATCATTGATACATCTGCTCTATATCATTATATGGCTGATAATGGTAGACCAAGTTTGAAGAAATTGTCTAAACGTGTATTGAGAAAAACAATTCAAAAGGGTGTACATGATTCTGAAGAAGATGCTAAAGCCACAATGGATCTTGTTAAGAAAAAAAGATATGGTAGAAGCTTTAGAATGTTCAAGATAAGATATACAGGTGAAGAACCTCAAAAGATCAAACTAGCAAATGATCCACAAAGGTATCTTGCGGGGCGTTATGCTTTGATTGATGGAGTTAAAAGTTTTCAAAATAACTATATTAATAATTGGTAAATCTGACATTAATTTTCATAGAAAAGGTATATTATTAGTACTCAAAATGAATTGAAAAATATATTATAGATGGATTAATGAGCTATATGGCTCACAAAATCACCAAAAAAAGCAACAAAAGGGTTTTCAACTCCTCTTTATAGATGTATCTAAATAATGAACAGTACAGAAAAGTTAGAACAATACAATTTGCATTAGGGTAAAACCAACATGATTCTGTAGAAGCCGCACCAAATATTGGGTGTCATATTTGACTCCTAATTCATAAACTCATCAAAGTCTCCTAAGTAAATATCATCGTCACTTTCAGTAATTAAATCAGTAAACAGCATTGTACCACACAGTTCTATGAAATCTTCTATTTCGATGTCTGGATCTGCAGGTCCTGGAATTTTAAAATCATCAATCATTGGATGTTTATAGTTATCATTTGAATTATAATCCGCTTGTTTTGGTGGGCCAGAAATATGACTGGATTCTTGATAGCTAAGTTCAATTGGTTCTTCATTTGTGGGAAATTCATGTAATGAATCACTTTTATTGAAACCACCTGTTAGACTTTCTGATATATTCTGAGCAGTGGGAGCAGCAGCTAAACAATTTTCAAAATATTGAACATCTATTTCTTTGTAAACAATAAAATCCTCCTTTTCGTGGTTTAAATAATATAGATTTGGGGAGCTGCTTGTGCCTGTAGAGCCGTGTGGAGTTTCTGGGGTGTCTTTAACATCTAATTCATCAATAAAAGACTCTTCATCATCAGATAGTGCATCATTGGGATTGGCTTGCTGAAGTGCTAAGTGTTGAAGAATTAATCTTCTTGTATCCAAACGTAATTCGTTCATAACCAGCTGATATAGCTTAAACCCTTCAAATGGAAAAACTTCATTAAGACATATAACGAGTGGTTCAGCGATCGATTTGTTGATGATCAGATAGTATTGGAAGAGCCAGTATGGACTGCGTGTTGATACACCTTCATAAGTTGAAGATATCTCATCATGGCTATCTTGGCTTGATACGTCAGCTTCTTCACTTTCTTGTTGGTGGGTATCCATAACTAATATTCAAATAATCTAACAATCAAACAAATGCAGCAAAAAATAAGCAATACTGAAACACCAGCTCTTTTGATATTATTGAAATAGCTTTATGTCATTCTGAAGTATTATTCGGTAATCATTAAACGATTTATTTGACCTGATTTCCTACTGAATAATAACTTTTGACACAAAAACTGAAAAGTAAACAAACAGCTTTATACACTTTGGGTCGCGCAAAAAAAAATTCGCGACCATATAATGAAAAATCCAACGCGCTTTTCAATATTGAACTACTACTTGAGCATGAGCATAGTACAAGTACTTATACTTTGAAGAATATCATAATCATGCCACAAGTGGGACCAATTGAACCAGGTCCTGATACTATACGGATTTTGATTACTACTGATAATCATGTCGGTTATAATGAAAATGATCCAGTACGAGGTGATGACGCTTGGAGAACATTTGAAGAAATCATGTACATAGCTAGAGATAAAGATGTTGATATGGTCTTACAAGCTGGTGATCTTTTCCATATTAATAAACCATCAAAGAAATCATTGTATCATGTTATTAAGACTTTAAGAAGAACATGTTTTGGAGATCGTCCTTGTGAATTAGAATTGCTTAGTGATCCATCTTTAGTATTTGATGATGGGTTTAATAGTGTTAATTATGAAGATCCAAATTTGAATATTTCCATTCCAGTGTTTAGTATAAGTGGTAATCATGATGATGCTTCAGGTCAAGGATTATTATCACCATTAGATTTATTGAATGTTAGTGGGTTGATTAATCATTTTGGTAGAGTTACTCAAAGTGATAATATCAATATAAAACCATTATTACTGCAAAAAGGTTTAACTAAATTATCATTATTTGGTTTAGCAAGTGTTAGAGATGAACGTTTATTCAAAACTTTTAGAGATGGGAAAGTTAAATTCAGTTTACCTTCAGTTCAAACAGATGAATGGTTTAATTTAATGTGTGTTCATCAAAACCATGCCGCTCATACAAATACTGCTTATTTACCAGAGCATTTCCTTCCAAGTTTCTTGGATTTGGTTATTTGGGGTCATGAACATGAATGTATTCCATATACAGTGCCCAATACCGCTACCGGATTTGAAACATTACAACCAGGTTCATCAGTGGCAACTTCATTATGTGAAGGTGAAGCAATTGAAAAAAAAGTCTTTATATTGAATGTTAATCAAAAAGATTATAATTTAGAATCTATTAAATTGAAAACAGTACGACCATTTCATATGTTAGAAATTTCACTATCAAAATGTCAAGGAATTAGAGCAGGTTTAGCATATAAGAATGAAGTTACACAATTCTTGATTGAAATAGTTGAAAATTTGATTAAAGACGCACATGATGAATATAAAATTGAAAATCCAGATGATGAACAAATGCCATTACCTCTTATTAGATTAAGAGTTGATTATTCTGGTGGGTATGAAGTGGAAAATCCAAGAAGATTTAGTAATAGATTTGTTGGTAAAGTGGCAAATGTTAATTCAGTTGTTCAATTCCATAAAAAGGATAAAAATATCGCTGGTTTAGATTCAAAAGTTTCCAAAATTTCATTATCAAATAATCCAAATGATGAAGGTGAAGGTCCAGATACTATTCATGTTGAAACTTTGATCAATGCATTTTTAAAAGAAGCTGAATTATCATTATTACCTGAAAAAGGATTGAATGATGCTATAAGACAATTTGTTGATAAAGAAGACAAAAGCGCTTTAAAAGAGTTTGTTGATTCAGAAATGAAGAGTGAAGTTAAACAATTTTTACAAAATAATGATTTAAATTTCGATGATGATATTAAGAGCATTTTGAAAAAAATCAAAAAGGAAAGAGGTATAAATACACCAGATTCTGGTTCAAGAGAAGGTACTGCTGCACCTGCTGCAACATCCAGAGCAGCTACCTCTTCAAAATCTAAAACACAAAAAAAGGCTAAATCTGATGATTTCGTCGTGGATTCAGATGAAGATCTGGATCTAGGTGATGAACCTGTACCTAAACCAGCACCAAGATCATCTAGAACTGCTAAAAGACCAACTGCTAAAAGATCATATGCAGTGAATTCAGATGATGATGAAGATGATGATTTCAATGGTGCAGAAGTTAATTCTGATAGTGATGGTGATTATAATGAAAATAATAAGCAAAAGAATAATGAAGTGCAAGTCATAGATTCAGAAGATGAAGATGACAATGTTCAAGTTATAAAGACACCATCTCCCCCAAGAAAATCTACTAGAGGTCGTGGCGGTGGTGGTAGAGGATCCAGAGGTGGGAGAGGTTCTAGAGGTGGATCAACCAAAGAAAGTAGTGGTAGAGGTAAGAGCAAATCTAGTAAAGCTGCTGATACACCTGTTACTGATATGATTTCTAGTTTACTATCTAGAAAGAAGAAATAGAATTTATTGCATAGATATATTTAATTCATAATATATATTATGATAGCATTTCAATTTGAAGGTCAATTCACAATATCACTTGCTTCTCGTATATGAAGGATCACATGTAGACGTACAATATATATTCACTTATAAGCTTAGCTCAAAACACTGGTGTAAATATTGTTCTTTAACTTCTCTATATGTTCCCAATCTAGAAATTGTAGTGACTATTCTCTAATTCAAATCTAGTTCTTAGTTCATAGAATAATTTCAGAAAATAACATATATGATAGTAAATTGTAATTAACTATTAGGAACATCGTGTATATTCGTGCAGGGCAAAAGAACAGTAAATAGGAATCGCTTTTTTTGCGTTCTATTTACTACCTTTTCTCGAAGAAAATTCAAAAGTGACTATTTTCTATCCTTAAAAAGTAAGAATTTTAGCTTTGACATCACAACAAGCGACTATTGAGATGGACTTGCAATACAAATAGTGTTCAGTAATTCATATTACATCATTTTCTGGTGCTTATTATATACCATCTCAATTCTGAAGATTTACTACATCCTATTCAAATATTAGTGAGTCCTTTGAAATCTGTAAGTCCATTTTTCAGCTTCAACCAATTAATTCTTCAATTCCTGACCGAATATTTACCTTAAAACTCTATCAGAATCAAACCTCAATGCCAAAGATTAGACTGGTTTACTTTCAGCTCTGCTATCCAACCATAAGACATTGTATTTTGTAGTAATATTGCACAAGCTATGTTTGAGGCCCAAATCATCAACTGTCATTGAGACTCGGGTCTGAACAATATGAAAAATTCAGATTCTTGATGGACGTTATTAACAACATTCATTATTCAAAAAGACATCTTTTAGATCCCTAGCTCAATAGACAACTAATACTCAAGATGGATCCAAACATGAAGATTAATATGCAGGTTGATCCTGATGAGGACACCGAATGGAATGATATCTTAAGAAAACACGGTGTGATACCCGAAAGACCACCATCACCAACTGAACAATTGGAAGAAGCATTACAAGAAGCTGTTGTTAAACAATATGAACATAGATTAGATGGTAAAGATCTTGAAGAATTAGAAGAATTAGAGGATGAAGAAGATGAAGAATTTTTAGAAGAGTATAAAAATAAAAGATTAAAAGAATTACAACAATTGAATCAAGTATCAAAATTTGGTTCAGTCTATCCAATTACTAAACCTGAATATAAAACTGAAATCACTGATGCTTCAAAAGAAAATACGTTTGTATGGGCTCACATGTCATTACAAAGTAGTTTACAATCAAGATTGTTATCATCATTATTTGTCACTTTGGCTTCAAAATTTAAAGAAATTAAATTTGTTGAAATTCCAGGTTCAAGAGCCGTGGAGAACTATCCAGATTCAAATTGTCCAACTATCTTAATATATTTCAATGGTGATGTTGTAAAACAATATATAACTTTAACAGAACTAGGTGGTAATGCTACAACTGTTAGAGATTTAGAAAAAGTTTTAGTTGATATAAAAGCTGTTAAAGATAGTGATAAAAGATTACTTATCAATCAAGAAGATGAAGACTTGGAAGAAGCACATAGACTAAGGTTTGCAAAGAAGTCAATCAGAGGTAGAGTCAACGATGATGATGACGATGATGATTTCTTTGACTGAACAAAATAAAAAAATTCTTATATCTACATACAAACTTTTTACTATGTAGTGTGCTATTACCGAATCCAATTTCCATCATATAAACAAACTAAAAATAATTTTTTTTAAAAACACAGCTTACACAAAACCATCAAAGATTAGCCGCTGACTTTGAGAATTGGTGGCAAAATGGTTTCAAGATGGGTTTTGTTCTTCTTTTGTGATGCTTAGCTTGGTTCACTCAGAAGTTATTCTTCAAGGCGGTTGATTCTGATTAGGTTAATTGGGTCTCCACTGGTACTTTATATCAAGTCTTAATTTTGTTTTGACAACTATAGTGCTTTTTTGTGATGAAGTTACAGGTTTTATTAGGTGTTTTAGGTGCTGTTTCAACTGTCTTAGGTGCTGTTTCAAAGGGAGCTGAGAAGTCAAAAGTCTGTGCAAACTCTCTGAATCAAGATGATTTATCTTTTACTGGTTTTAAATTTGAAATGGTTCTCAATCCAATTCCACTTTCTGAGGTTGATAAAATAGGTGAAGATAAAAGATTCAGTTTCAATTTACATTTGTGCTCTAATGGTTATATCTCATCAACAATTGTTACTTATTTTTATGAAAGGTTAAACTCTAAGGATCTGACTACATTAGTGCCATTTAACAAAACACTTTCATTACGCACAGGCGAAGGAATCGATACAAAAGCAATCCACTTGAAAATGGCTAGAAATAAAAGAAGTTCTACCATGCCAATTTTAGCCCAGAATAAACAAGATGGTTCAATTGGTGGTATTTTCGGTAGCATTGATGGTTCCTTGTCAAATTCTACTGATATTGAATCTTATTTCCCTGTTGCTGAATTATTTTTTGATCCACATCTGTCTTGGGTGGAGAAAACATCTGACAACTTATCGTTCACACATTTTCCAATCTACACAGGGATCTTGGGTATTTCAGAATCACCACAAAAAGCTGTGACAAACCTGAACGGTCATACTTTGAGATTTAACCCAAATTGGTATGAATCTGTCTCTGTCACTGAAACTTATGATTTTACAAAAGACGAAAGAGATTTTTCTGCTAAGGTTAAGGATGAACTAGCGAAGGCTACATTTACAATTTTGCAGAAAACTTATAGGGGTCTGTTCAGATTTCATAAGCATCAAATTGATAAATACCAAGGTGTGAAACAATCATCAAAGCAAAGATTATTTAGTAAAGTCAGTGGAATGTTCAAGTCGTCTACATCAAATGATTTTGATCCTAAAAATAGTGGAACTTTAGAACTTGAAGCACTTGTTTTATCTAAACTAGGACCAAAGAAAAGTGTTAATGCATACAGTGAAGCAGCTCAAAAGGCATTTTCCCAACTTGCATTCCCAGAACAAGTTTTCAAGTATAATAAAAGTGAAAAGATATTAAAATTGATTGGAATCAAATGATCATGAACATTTATTTTTCTATATACCAATCTATAATTGAATTGTTTAAATCTATTTGAGGTCTTTTAGCTCTAGATGATAATTGTTTTGACCAATCATTTGTAGATCTCCATGCCCATTTATCTTTCAAGACTTGATCTTTTTCAGTTCCTTGAATTATACCAGAGATATATTTCCCGATGTTTGGTAAGAATTTATAACCATGACCAGAATCACCACAAGCTACAAATACATTTTCCAATCCTGGAACTTTATCAATTAAGAAATTTGAATCTGTAGTATCACTAATCCAACAAACTTTACTCTTTATCAAATCATGATTTTGTAATTCAGGTAAAAGTTTCTTTAATAACAATTTTACATGATATTCACCATCTTTAGGGAATGTATCATTTTGATATTCTTCTCTATATCTTGGTAATGATTGTCTATTTGAAGAATCAAATGGATCTTGTATTGAATTTCTGGCATCACTGAACGTCATTGCAATTTTTAATTGATGATTAATGGGATCAGGGGGAAAGAAATAACCTAATTCTGCACTGAAAAAGATTGGTATAGATTTATATTTCTCATATTCCTCTGATGTTAATTGTATATGAGTTACAAACAATCCAGTTGCCTTTATTTGATTTTGAAGATTGATTAAAAAACCTGTTGATGCACCTGCTGAAATCAAGATCTTATCTACCGTGTATACTTCACCAGATTCGACTTTAATTGAATTTTGATTGATGATTTCCTTCACATGTCCCTGGGATCCAAATATAAATTGAACTCCTAACCTTTTAGATTCTTCATATACTTTGATTAAAGATTTAGAAGCATGTCCATATCCTGTATTTGGATTATATCTAGCATTAATAGAACCCAATTCATTATCTTTAAAACCTGGGAACATTAAGCCAATCTCCTCACCAGTTGTTAAATGCTTGATATCTGATACATCAACACCTAATTCTTTTAAATTTTCAAAACCTTGATCTTCAAATCTTAGTCGATGTTGATTTTCAATTGATGAAGGTGATAATGTAATTCTTCCACTTTTCGTATAAACATCTTGGTATAATGGATCATTCTCCCATGATTTCAATGCCTCAACTGCTAGCTGAGCATAAAACTTATCAGAATATTCTGTTCTTATAATCTTATTCAAATCATTGGCTGCTGACCATTTTGAAGGGATTGGGTATAAATCAAGTGCAGTAACTTTATGACCTTGTTTAGCTAGCTCAAGGGCTGTGGAAAGTCCAAAGACACCACATCCAACAATCAAGAATGTTTCAGGCATTAGATTGACGCTATAACGTTTACTCTATCATGTCGTTGTTGGATTTGAAGCTTTGATTAACATGAGGTTTTGTAAAAGTTTAGTTTATCGACGTTATCTTGAACTCACAATTGAGTTCGGATATATTTCCAAAATGGGAAATTCTGCGGATTACATCGAGGGTTTTTATATCAATTATTTATTAAGTGTCTTCTTATATATCTATTATCAAAATATTCACAATGCAAGAGGTTATGTCTAAATCTATATACACCAATGCTTATCATTCAAAACTAATAATTAGCATAAGTTGCTAATGCCTTGAGTGTTCTTAAACTCATCCCACCAATTGTTCTATTTAAATCAATAGTTGATTGTTTTTGGAATTTATTTGGTGATTCATCATTATCATCTTCATCTTCACGGGATCTTTTATTTGACTTATTTGATGGTTGAACTGATTGTTGTGCAAAATAATTATTGCTATCACTCCAAGAATCATCACGGTTGAATTCAATTTCATAATTTGAAGCTAAAATTTCATTTTCAGTAGCTTTTAAATTTGAAGCATCCAGGTGTAAAATATCATTCAAATCAAAACTTTCAATGTCTAACTGTGGTTGATAATGAGCATGTTTTTTATTAATTTGACGATAGATTTCATCAGCTTCTGATATTTTATGATTGTTAACAACTCTTTCTGGTCTGACAATTCTTGCTTCACCATTTGGGATGTTCAAGTAAGCATGGTCTGGATGATCATCATTTGATAAATTATAATGTAGTAATTCATTAGAAACAAGTTCGCCATCATCATCTGACGAGTCTAATGGTTCACCATCTTCATTCCTAAGATCAACAAAGTTAGAACGTGATTTATCATAAAATTCAATTGGTAATTCTTTATAATCAATTGGAACACCATGATTCAAAACATCATTTGAATTTCTAACATGTTGAGATTTTGAAACTCTATAGAAAACACATTTACTTTCATCAATATATAATTCCTTAGTCTTTAAATTTTCACAACATGATTGTTTACAATTATATTTAAAATCATTGGAAATGTCACAAAAACTATTCAGACCTTTCAACAATTTATAACCAGCCAAATAAAATTTATCATTTGTGACATTCAATCTATAAAACAAAGGATCACTCTCTTTACAACCTGGACTTGGACTTCTTGATTTAGGTCTACCTCTATTTTGCATCACTTCTAAAACACTTTTGTATGAATCACTATATGATTTATCATTTGAATTTAAAGCATCAGCGTGAAAACAACCCTTAGCTCTATGTCCCTTAAGACAAGAAGCACAAGAAATCTGTGTATGTTTACCTTTAATTGTCATATTTCTAGTCTTATTATTATGTGTTGTTATACTTTTAGTTGAATGAAAATTATATGTTAAGCTTTGATAGTATCCGTATAACTAAAGAAAAAAAATGATATTCTTGGAAATTGACCTTGATTTATATATTTTCTTCAAAATATCTCTCTTTATTCAAGCTCAAAACTCTCTAAATTATTGATTTTATCCTAAATGAGCTCTTTATTAAACAGAAAATATCAAATTAATAAAACCCGCTAGAAAAAGACTCAATTAATAAATGAGCAAAATGGATAGGAATAATAAAGTTTAGCTGGGATAATTCCACGAGAGGAAGCAACATCATCATAAAAGCACACACCATTGTTCAGAAAAGCCCCAGCTTATACCTCTTTTTTCTATAATTTTTTGATGTAAATTGGTTTTGTGTAACATTGATGAAAATATAATATAGCATGTTATCAACAAAAATTTCGCGCATACAAAAAACCGCATAGTATTATTAAACTTTTTGAATAATGTATTGCAAAATCTATAAACCAATTAACCACGAAACTCCTAAAGCATAGACACATTAAACTCATGTAAATGTTGCTGTAGTCTCAAAGATTTGAATATGTTTGAATTTTTCATCTTGATAATATTCAATCCCTCTATTATAAGCTTCATCACTTCTATCTAATAATTCATTCAATTCCAATTCAGATAATTTTGAATCATTTATAGTATAACCACTATCTTTAAATCTATTATCATCTAATAAAGCTGCAAGTTCTTGAGCCAATTGATTTTCTTCTTTATTTGTTTCCTTCTTTTGTGAAAAAGTATATTGATTATCATGTTTCATTAATTTTTTCAATGATTCAAATTTACCCAATTGAATAACTAATTTTTCCAATTTTCTTTTAGAATCTGCCTTGGCTAATATAATTTGTTCGATTGTGTTTTTAATAACTAATCTATAAACAACAATTGGTTTTGTTTGTCCAATTCTATGAACACGATCCATAGCTTGTAAATCAACTTGTGGATTCCAATCACTATCAAATATAATAACACTATCAGCTTTTGTTAAATTTAAACCTAACCCACCAGCTCTAGTACTTAATAAGAAAATTTTAACTTCTTCATTATTATTAAAATTTTGAATTTCAATTTCACGATCTTCTTGACTAACTGATCCATCTAATCTACTAACTTGTAAATTTTTCAATTCTAAATAATCTTCAATTAAATCAAGCATTTTGGTAAATTGTGAGAAAATTAAAACTTTATGACCCTTATTTAATAATTTTGGTAATAATTGATCCAAGATTTGTAATTTTGATGAATTTGATAATAATCTTTCTAAATCAATATATGATTCATCTTCCCATGGGAAATAAAATAAATGAGTTGAAAGACAAATTTGACGTAATTGCATTAATAAATTTTGTAAATTTTTAGTATCAACCCATTTATTAACTAAATTCCATGATTTTTGTAAAAGTTTATCATTTTTAGTTAATTTTGTCTTGGATGTTTTCAATTTCAATAATTCTTGTTTTTCAGATCTTAATAATCTATCATCAGCGGTTATTTCATCTTGTGATTCTAAATAAGATGAATCCATCTTGGTAAATAAAAATCCATCAATTTCTTCTTTGGTTAATTTTAAATTATTAACACCAATATGTTCTTCAAGGGCAAATTTCAAAATTGATTTTTTTAAAGATTTAAATAATGCATGTTTATAAAGTTCTGATTGTTTTGAAGTAAGTGAACCATATACGATATATTCTCTTTTTGGTGGCAAATTTTTGATAACATCTTTTTTCAATCTTCTTAATAAGAATGGTTTCAAGATTGTATGTAAATTATTAACTAAACTTTCTTGAATTTTGGAATCAATTAATTTTTTGGTTTGATCATCTTTAACATTTTGTTGTAATGAATTTAATGAACTAAAATCAAACCATTTTTGAAATAATTCTAAATCATGGAAAATATCAGGTAATATAAAATTTAATAATGACCATAATTCATTCAAATTATTTTGTAATGGTGTACCAGTGATTAATAATCTATTACTAGTTTTCAATTTCTTTAAATTTTTGATTAATTTACAATTTAAATTTTTTAAACGATGACCTTCATCAACAATCAAAAATTTCCAATTAATCTTATTCAAAAATTCTAAATCCCTAAGAACAATTTCATAACTTGTAACAATAATGGAACAATTTTGGAAATTATCCTCTCTTAATAATTTTCTATCATCTTTTAATCCAACATAACCTAAAACAGGTAATGATGGTGCAAATCTAGCAAATTCTTTAACCCAATTCCCTACTGTTGATAATGGTGCAGTAATAAGGAAAGGTCCTTTAATACCTTGTTCATACAAGAATGCTAACAATGCAATAGATTGAATAGTTTTACCTAATCCCATTTCATCTGCTAATATCCCATTTAGACCATTTTCATATAATGTAATTAACCATTCTGTACCTTCTAATTGATAATCTCTCATCTCAGTACCTGATACTAATGAAGGTTGTTTAATAGTAGAGTTGTTATTAGATTGGGATTGTTCTAATTTGGATTTAGTTAATTTTGTCTCATCTGATACAGAAGTTGAATAGAAATCCAAGATTTGTGATTGATTTTTAGCTTCTTTTGAAGATTTTCTACCCCTTTTAGACTTTTTCTTTGGAGGTTCATCATGAACTCTCACATCATTTGTCTCTTGTTTCACTTTTTCTTCTTCTCTTGCCTTTCTCTTGGATAAACTATTTTCTAATAATGTATCGCTAATAATACTTGAGAAAACTTGACTTTGTTTCACCAAATTTTGTAATCTTTCTAGTTTAAAATCCACAGATAACTCATTGAAATCCATGAGCTCCTTATCATCTTTCAACTCTGTCTTTTCACCTTCTTCAATGATCTGATTAACCACTTGATCTTCATCTTCAGCTTTGATTTGCTCTTCCACAGTCATTATGTAACCTATTGAACTCAGAATTTCACCAAAATAACCACAGAATTAACCAAAAAAACTCAGCACAATATAACCAACAGTACCAGCTAATACCAACTAAGCAATAACCAGTTCAAACAACGCACTCACAGCTCTTTCCAAACCAAATCTTTCCAAAACGCGTTAAATCTATTTAATTTGACTTTATAATAGTACTGAAAAAGACGCGACACTGTGTAAATCTGAGAACTGAAACACATAGTTAAGCTCCTGATTCTCACTGTGTAATTCTGAGCACTAACTAATTCATTTTTGATTTCTTCGCGAATTTATTTGATTTCGTGATTTTTTGATGGTTTTTTAGTTTTTTAAATTGGAAAACAAAATTCAAAACATTGAAATTGAAAGGAAACAGACAGAATTCAAATCAAATCAACAATTGGATAGATCTGGCTGGTATTGATATTGGTATCATATTGTTTAGTCTCAGAAGTATATCAGTGTGTTTTTTTAGAAAGAAATTAGCTTTAAAATGTCTACTCCTGAAGAAAAAGAAGAGACACCAGATCAAATTGAACAAGATCAACAACAAAATGAACAACAACATGAACAACAAGATCACGAAATGAATGATGCTGAAGATGGTACTCAAGGTACATCTACACCTACACCACACCCAGTCGAAGAACCTATAGTGGATTATGCTGAAGAATCAAGAAAAATTGAAGAAAAAGCGAAAACTTATTTAGCACGTCAAACAAAACCAATAATTATACCATCATTTGCTTCATGGTTTGAATTTGATTCAATTCATGAAATTGAAAAAAAATCATTACCAGAATTCTTCAATAATAATTCAAGATTTAAAACATCAAAATCTTATCAAGATATTAGAAATTTTATGATTCATACTTATAGATTAAATCCAAATGAATATTTAACCGTGACGGCAACAAGAAGAAATATTGCAGCAGATGTTGCTTCAATCATTAGATTACATGCTTTTTTAGAAACATGGGGTTTAATTAATTATCAAATTGATCCAAAGACAAAACCTTCATTAATTGGTCCTCAATATACTGGACATTTCCAAATAATATTAGATACTCCAGATGGATTAAAACCTTTCATTCCTGAAAATGCCAAAATTGTTAATATTGATCAAGAAGAAGCTATAAAAGTCAATGGTGGTACAACTAGTACTAATCATGATGAACCAAAAGATATTAATGTTCCAATTAATTTAGAATTAAGACGTAATGTTTATGATTCTTCAAATGATGCAATTGCATTGAATGAACAAGAAAAATTGAACTTAAATACAAAACAATTCACATGTTATGTTACCGGGAATGATACAACTGATGTTAAATATCATAATTTAAGAACTAAGAATTCTATTTCAGCAAGAGCTTTTAAAGAAGGTCATTTTGGTTCAAATTTCCATAGTTCAGATTTCATTAGATTAGAAAATTTACAAAATCATGGTGATGCATCACCATGGACAGATCAAGAAGTTTTATTATTATTAGAAGGTGTTGAAATTTTTGATAATGATTGGGAAAAAATTTCAAATCATGTTGGTTCAAGAAATAAAGAACAATGTATTGGGAAATTTATTCAATTACCAATTGAAGATAGATTCCTAAGTTCTAAAGATAAAGTCTTAAAGAGTCAACCTAAAGATAATACAAATGATTCAGTATTGAAAACTATTAAATTTTTGATTAAAAATCTTGATCCTGAACTAGCTTCAAAAGATTTATTAGAAAAAGATGAAGATGTTCAAAAATCTATAAAATTGACCCTTGGTTCATTAATTGGTTCATCAGAATTTGAAAAAACTGAAATTAAAAAAGAATCTTCAGGATTAATTGAAAATCTTGTTGATTTAGAAATTAATAAATTAGAATTAAAATTAAATAAATTATCAATCTTGGAAAAACAATTAAATCAAGAAAAAGCAGAATTAGCTCAACAAAGGAAAGATATTTTATTAGATAGATTATCATTGAAAAAACAATCAGTCTCAGTACGTAATAAATTACAACAAGCTACAAAACCAAATATTACACCAGAAGAAGGTGTTAAATTATCTCAAGAAGCTTTAGAATTAGCTATAAAATCACCAAGAACTATAATAATAAATCAACAATCTTCAACAACTAATGGAAATGAAATTAATAATGAATTAAATTCAAATGAAAAACAATCAATTGAAGAAGATGATTCAAAATTAAATCCAATTTCAGTGGAAATTCCTGAAAAATATCAATTTTGGAAGTTATAGTCCTGTCCTTTAGATTTTGGGGAATGATTTGTTATGGATAGAATGTAAAGAATGTATTTGTATAATTAATAAACATGGAATGTTTGGAATGAAAATTGTAAGTACTACAGAATATAGTATGAATAGTTAAAAAAGATCATTAGGATTCTTGATATAAAGGAAATTTTCTTGTGCAAAAAATTATCAACTTGTATATGGAATCCTAACTGTATATATTATATTATGGTTTAAATATATATATGATGATCAAATCAACTTTGGATAATTGATCATGTTTGATATATACTTAATCATATAACGATGGTTAGATTAACTTAGCGATTACGACTTCCAGATTCAGTACATTAAAGCCGGAGCAAAACACAATGCAGCCGACGCCCTAAGTTGAATACTTATAACCACAAAATAATTGCTGATCTTAACAAACATAATTCAGTGCAAACAGACAGTTAGACAAACCATCTAACGTTGATTCCCGTTTGAAATACTTAAAACTTTTAAAAGCGCAGCAAGTAGTTTTCAACAAATTTCTGAAAAATCATACGCGAATTGATTCTCGAAATACTAGTGATATCAATTATACGATCCACAGCTCAACAAGATATATACTTATAGATGGTGATTGTAATATTTAGATAATATTGTATATATATGGTTAATTGTATTAAACTATATAATGGATGGATTTGATTTATATATATGCGGAATTTAATGACGTGGGTTGAATTATATTAATTTCAAACTAATTATAATAATATTAATTAATGTATTGATCTGATCTTGACTAGTCGATATTACAAATATTATTAATTAGACGTACAGCTACATACTACATAGTATATAACTGATCTGAGCTCAAAGAAGTTCATTAGGATTAAATCTGTATAAAGGAAATCTTCTTTTGCAAAAGATTATCAACTATTATATAAAATCCTAGTGTTGTTTGTATTTTATATGGTAAATTGTAATACATATAAAATAATCAAATATTATAATGATATGACTGACTATGAATTAGATCTTGTGGCCAGTTATTAAAAACAAAAATTCCAAAGCTTCTTGAAATGCAAAATTTGCTAATGTGGCCAGCTCTCCAAGAAGAAAGACACTCATATAGAGGAAAAATTGCAAGCTGACATTAATCAGTTATACATGGGAGGTATGAAATATTCCAACCAAAACATCAATTGGAAGGTGAAGATCGTTCATGTAGTTTAAAGACATCATAACTTATCTAGTAAAGTTTTATCTTCCATGTTCAATTTTCATAAATTTTGTTTAAATTTTGTCGAACGCGAATTAGATTATGTAACTCTTATCATTTATACCGCGATACTATTATGATCATGATCATGCTCATGACAGCTTGTACTCTTATATCCCAGTAGATATTAAGTAGACTGAGAAGTCGAGGGCAAAGCCGGTGTGTATTTATATTAAATAGTCATTTTAATTTCTTTAAAATAAAACATTATACTGGAGATAATACTTCCATGATTGATCATTGATGTTGGAATGTTGGAATGAAGATAGAGTTCATTAGGTGAATTTGTGAGATAGTTTGGAGCTGTATTAAAACCATCAATAAATAATTAATCATGTATCTAAATTGAAACAATTATTAAATTAAATATTGTAGATCAGTTATATAAATGACTATCTACTACATATGAATGAATTAAAATTGAAGAATAACCGGTTAATTTCATATATCCATGAACTTGGTATAGCATTTATAGCATTTAAAAAAATAGCCACAGCTGTGGACCAAATACATGCCTGAAAGACTGATAGTACATGATTACAGTATATATATATATATATAATGTAAATCAAAAAAAAATCATTAGAATTCTTATATAAAGGAAATTTTCTTTTGCAAAAAATTATCAACTTGTATACAAAATCCTAACTGTTTATATTATTAGCTGATGGTTTATATTCTATATTATAACACTCGTCAGCTCAGCTTTTGAGAGTGACACATTATTGTTGGATAAGACCCGCGTGATGATAACTAAAAAACCAAAATTAAGTAAACAACAGGATTATTATAGCTCTAAATGAATTTTAAGTCAATATTTCATCTCAATGCTAAATTTATAAGGCAACCTGCGATAACTCTATGTTCTCAAGAAAAACAAAAATATACCGAGTGGATAAGTAAAATAAAACCTGATGGATCGATAAAGTTAAACAATAACTAGTAATGCTCGTTGTTCAGTGTGGTTAAGTTCACACTAAAAAATTTTCAAACTTCAAACGCGAATTTACACAACTAGATTATGTAACTCTTCTCCTTTATAACTGCAATATAATGATCATACTGTTGAAATTTTTTACTCTTATATTCCATTAGATATTAAGTGGACTGGAAAGTCAGGGGCAAAGGGTGTGTATTTATATTAAATAGTCATTTTTTTTTTAAATAAATGATATACTGGAGATAACTATGAATGCAATTGATGTTGGTATGAAGTTAGAGATATAGATATTAGAGACCTTTAGAAAAATTTGCAGGAATGTATCTGTATTGAAACAATTAATGAAATGTGCAAATCATTGAGACATTGAGGAATACCCGGTTAATTTCATTATTCTGCATGAACTTGGACGTATATCTTGAAAAAAAAGCCACAGCTATGGGAATTCATCATATCTGAAATATTGAATATTTTAGTACGTCAGTCAGTACAAGTCAAACTAGATCTATCTTCAAGCTCGTAGTATTAACAAAACTACGTACTAGTGAAATATTCTAATCATGAATATACAATTTGAAACAGCGCTACATCATGTTTCAATGTAAAAAGTAAAGCGAAATTAAGATCATTAAGATTCATTTATATAATGGAAACTTTCTTTATCAAAACATTATCAACATTTATATGAAATCCTAATATTGTTTGTATTATGGTATCAATATATAACATAATAATGCAATTTTCATGCATGAAACTTGATTATATTTTGATAATATATAATGAAATTGAAATCAATACGTTGGTACAAATCATTATGAATATTAACAAATTTTATTAAATATGAAAATTCAATATGATTTCATGATCATATAAGATCACTGATCTAATAGATATCAACCAAATTAAGATTGGGTTATATTTTTAGCTGCACAACTTCTATCTTTATTCTGATTTATTTCATTTTACTTCATTTGACGTACGAAAAAAGCTCTCGACATCAACGTTGAATTTTGAACTTTGAACTTTTTTTTTAAGGGCCGGTTGTTTTGTTCACCGCGAATTCATTTGTTTTATATCACTGATTACCAATTATACACCAGAAAATGTAGTGCTTTAAGATGATATTATAAAGCATCATGCTATGCAATAGATGAGTTAAACCAATAGTGATATTCTGATGTTGGTAAATGAGTAATGACAATGTGATAACTACATCTAGTGTATCAATATGAGCTCAAAAAAAGATCATTAGGACTCTTATATAAAGGAAATCTCTTTGTGCAAAAAATTATCAACTTGTATATGAATCCTAACGGTATATATATTATGATTTAGATATATATAATAATCAAATCAACTTGAAAAAATTGATTATATTTGATTATATTTGATATATAGTTAATCATACGATGGTTAGATTAACTTAGCGATTACCACTTAGCTGAAATCAAGTATAAAGTACATAAAAGGTTCCAAAAACACAGGTGCTGACATCTTAAGTCGATTTGTCCCACAACATACACAAGCTTTCATATCCTATCCACGAAAGGGAATCTAAATAAACCATTTAATGTTTTAAGAGTGGACCATTGTGGTTATTTTAGAACTAATGTTTCGAAATATTTAAAATATTGTAAAGCTCATCATGAAAGATTTTCTTTGAAATTTGTTGTATAAAACGCGAATTGGTTTTGAACGCGATCAAATATATATAAGTAGCAATTTGGATTACACGATTAACAGCTAGCTTGACCTCTTTGAGTGTTAATGTAGAAATTATCTATGATATTATATACGGCGTCCCGGTGCACGCCGGTATCGATATTACAATATTTTCAACTACATAGTATATTACTCTGAGCTCAAAAATGATCATTAGGATTTTCTATATAAAGGAAACTTTCTTTTGCAGAAACTTATCAACAATCTAATAGAAATCCTAATAGTGTGACATTATGATATTCTAATATATAATAATCAAAGTCATTAAACGACTGATTATATTTTATTAAATATATCATAAAGTATTAGATCTAAATTCCAAATTTAAATCAATTAAAAGAAAAGTCAACAATTATGTACCATAGACTTTATATGATGAACAACCTACCAACCCATAACGAAGAAAATTTCAACTCAAGATTCATTCAAATATCAAATATCAGAAAGCTGGAAATGAACTCATTAAGAGCACCCTATCATGATCAAAAAAAATGAAACTGAATATTCAGTTATTATGGATTAAATATTCAATTCACTATTCAAGCTTAAAAATATCATGAAGATATACAAGAAGAAACAAGAGACAACCCCAAACAATGTTATGAGCAAGTCAATATCGAAGTATAATTTGGTTCAATTTTCAATTTTTGATCTCCTTTAAAAAATGTTTTGTCGAACGCGAATTAGATTATGTAACTCTTGAATGTAATGGTGATCGACTATTCTCTAATACGATGATAACTTGTACATAAATAACAATGAAATAACTAATATATTAACCATTAATATCAAATATCTTTATTAATTTGATAATATAGTCAATCAATTGGCTAATTTTGTTTATAAGTAGATAATATTTTGATTGAGTGATATTCACAATGACATAATGTAGAGTGTATACGATAACATATTAATTGTAACATTGTAACTACATTCAAACCAATCTGAGTGATCAATAAAATATTATTAGGATTCTGGAATATAAAGGAAATTCTCTTTTGCAAAAGAATTATCAACTTTAATATGTAAATCCTAATTGTACTGTATTATATGATATATATAAAATAATCAAATGATCATCTAGAAACAACTGATACCGATTTGATATATTTCCACGAATACTTAGCAGAGTTTATTTTAAATATTCCGTATACCTGAAAAAATCATATCAATGCTGTTGCTGTTTGTGCTTTACGCTTTACCCCTATGCCAGTACTGAGTATACGTTTCATTGATAATTTAGAAACACCCACAAATATCTAATTTAGCCCAGACGAAACGAAAGAAATTGAATATATATCTTCCCCTGGATGAAAATCTTCCTTAAACTGTAAAATTTCTTCATATTAAGCTTCATTAAAATTCAGTGTTATATAAAATACAAAATTGTAAATTGTAATGAATTCTGAAAAATTTCAAAAAGGTGTTTTCAAACGCGAATGTTATTTTTTTTTTTTGATTCGGAGATGAAATATAACAACACATCAGAAAAAGATAAATAAACACCATCAATTGTATCACCAATCATATTCATAGAGCTGTATCACAATGAAGTCAATTGGAATCATCACGTTAGCACTGCTAACCACCTTATCACTAGGTCATGCTACTCACCCAAAAAATCCAATTTCAAATGGTGATGAACCACAACCTTTATACTATGATAATGGTGATTTAAATTTAGATTCCCTTTCATCAAATTTAGAATCATGTTCAATCGTAAAGGAACTTAATGCTCAAAAATTAAAAGAATTCGAACATGAACAAGAATCATGGATCCAATATGTCTTTTCTAAATTATTTCCATTTGAAAATCCAGGTTTTAATGCTATTTTAGCTACAACTTATATCTCTGGACCACCAAATTTAATCCTAAGTTTTATACCTGCTTCAATTAATCCAGCAAAATTATCCTTATTGGTTAGTTTTGCCATTGGTGGTTTATTAGGTGATGTTTTCTTGCATTTATTACCACAAACTTTTGTTGGTGAACCTGTTGATCATACAAAACATTCATTTGTACTTGTTGATGAAAAAAGAAATACTATTTTGGGATTATTTATATTTATTGGATTTATTTCATTTTTTATTATTGATAAAGGTTTAAGAATTTTACAACATCAACAAGGTGAAAAATCTAATGGTCATAGTCATAGTCATGCTTCTTCATCAGTTGAACAAAAGGAATCAGATCTTCAATTAAGACAACATAAAAAAACTGATGGTGATCAACCCCAAGATGAACCAATAATTTCAAATCCAAATTCAAGTATAAAAGCAAGTGCCTACTTAAACCTAATCTCAGACTTTACACATAACATCACAGATGGTTTAGCGATTTCCGCATCATTTTATATAAGTAAAAATGTTGGTTCAACAACATGTCTTGCAGTATTTTTCCATGAAATTCCTCATGAAGTTGGTGATTTTGCTCTATTGATCCAGGGGGGTTTTACAAAATGGCAAGCTATGAATTCACAATTTGTTACTGCTATTGGTGCTTATTTGGGTACTTTCTTGGGGATTTTCATTCAAAATTTAGGTCAAAGTAGTTCATCAGTTGGTGAAAAAGTTTTGGGGAATGTTTCACCTGGTTTGTTTGGTACTAGTGTTACTACAGGTGATTTAACATTACCTTTTACCGCGGGTGGGTTTTTATATATTGCAACTGTTGGGGTTATACCTGAAGTTTTAGAATTACAAATTGAAAATTCAAGAAAAAAAGAATTGATTAATGGGGTATTACAATTGATCTTTGTATTTATTGGTATTTCATTGATGTTTTTAATTTCATGGTTTGAATGAATAAAACTAAATTATATAAAAAACAAGTACATATTACAAATATACATATCTTACAAAATATTCAATAAAATTGTAATCTATATTAAAAGGTATTATTTAATTAGGAATCTCTTGTTCTGGTGCACTATCAGCTTCTAATTCTAACCTCTTTCTATGAATGTTCTTCTGTTGTGACAAGATATATCCAATCAAACTAGTACCAAAAACAACAGTCAATGAAACCAATAAAAGATTAATTGGAATTGGATTTGAATTTTCATAACGTTGAGTTATAAAATCTAAAATAGTTTGAGCGTAATTAAAAATCCCACTAATACACATCATTAATCCATAAACTGTACCAAATGTTGTAAAACCAAATACTTTTGCACTATAATCACTAACCGCGGTATAATAAAAAGGTCTATAAACAACAAGTAAAAAAATACCAATTAAATTTATGGAAAAATTTTGTAAAACACCACAAATACCAATGAAAATTGATGTAATTAATAAAATTGTTAAGACATTAACTGTTTTATTATTATCTAATATAATACCAATGAATGGAATTGCCACAATACCACCTAATGGTAATGCAATATCAAAAATTTCATTAATTTTTTGACCTAATTCTTCACCAATTAACCAAGTTTCTTGGGATCTAATAGTAGCAACAAAATAATTAATTCTAATCATTTGAATCGTAGTGAATGCACACATTAATATGAAAAATGGACTTTTCAATTGATTTGCAATGGATTCACCATCTAATATACCAAAAATATTTCCTGATTTATGTGTTATTTCATCTTCAATAATTTCTTCATAAATTGATTTACGTCTTGTTCCATCATTTGTATATGAAGTTCCTCTTGGTCTACCTTGTTCTCCGCCTTGTGGTGCTGATAATAATGAAGTTCTTTCATCGGTTTCCACTGCGAAATTTGCACCATCATCACCTTCAATTAAATTCCCATTTTCATCAAGTCCTTCAATACCTAATTTTTGAACAGTTCCAATAGTTTTATAACTTGAATTTGGCATGATGAAAACCTGACACAGAAAAATGAAAACAGGTATAATTAAATAAATTCCAAAAAAGATATTTAATGGAATTTTTTCAATTTTTTGATAAATTAATCTATAACATAAAAAAACAGCACTTGAAGTATCAAAAGCACCAGTTAATAAAGCCAAGATCATACCACTATATTTTGGGAAACTATTAGCTAATTGGAAACTTGAAATGAAGACAAATGGACCACCTAATGCTAAGAATACATAACCTGTTAAATATGGATCTAAAGGTATCCATTTCAAAAAACTTGATAATTCTAAAGCACCAATAGCAATTAAAATTGACCCAATAATACCACAAATTCTTGGACCATAATTATCCAAAATATGACCCACTATCAAAGCAGTAGCATTTGTAACAACAGCACCAATGGTGAACATCTTATTTAATTTTAAATCTTGTTCAACACATGCTTTTGTTGATGATGATGATGCTGCTGTGGAGCAAACTTCATGATAAACACCCTGGTCAATTAAGATTGGTTTTAAAGCTGCAAATCCAAATATAGGACCAGCTGCGAATAAACACCAAATTATGGCACATGTTACTTGAATTATCCTTGTCCTTGATGATGGTAATGACATGTTGATATAATTAATACCCAATCAGTGGCTGCCACAAATAAACAATAAGCAAAGGGTCTAAAAGAATATATATATAAGATCAGCAAAAGTATTTTCTAAAGCAAATAGAATTAATAAAGTAGACGCCGTGATCTTCAAATTGTATTCCTTAATAATGTCAATCAAAATTAAATAATGGCTGCCTCTTGTCTTATCAATATCGGGTATTTCATTCAAAACATGGTTAAATTTTTTGGTACCCAAAATTCGAGAAAGTATTTTAGATAACGGAAAAGGCGATGATTATGTCATCTTTGTGGTGGGGATTATGTAAGCGAAGAATAATGTACTTATAATGAATAAATGAGTAAAGAGTATATTTTTAGGTGTGATATATATTTTCTATGAATTCAGGGTTTATTCTTGTATATTTATTTTATCTGTATTCGAAGTTTGAAATTTTGATGATTTTGAGCTTGTGTGAATTTAAAGTAAAGTATTCAAACATGTAGTTGACATTTTTCAAAACTTCAAAAAATTCAAATTTTTAACAAAGTAGTTCAATTCAATTAACTATACATTTATACGAAAGCCAGTATTGATTTCACTATTACTACACATTTTAATCATTATGTTTTCATACAAATTTATTTCAATATTTAACATATTTCATTTCATCACGTGACTTTCCCTTAATTCTTTGTCATACCTTATCAAGAATTTATCACATACAGAAATTCAGAAATTTTATACGATGCACAAAAAATTTTAGGAATTTGCCGAAGAAAAAAAGTTTGACACAAAATTTGATTGCATTTGATTACTTTTGAAAAATTTATAAGATTTTAGTTTTAAAGTTGAGGATTTTAGATTTTAAATTATGGATTTGACCGGGTACTTAGGATTAAGTTTATAATATACTACAAGATCTGATTATTACATGAAGTGAATACAAAAACAAAAAGAGAGAACGATTTGTTTACCGTATACTATCAAACAATGTTATAGCCAAAAATCATTCTAATGGAACTTGCAACACACCGAGAGATTAATCAGATTCTACATATTATGAAATCTTGAAAAAACTTTGAGGTCAAATTTTTCAATATTGGTTGGAACTTGGTATATTAACGTATACACATTAATCAACACTTGAAAAATCCATAATCAATTCCAAACATCCACCAAAAAAAAACACAAAATTTATATGAATAAATCATAAAAATATTAAACATTCATCAGTACAATCAACGTGTTAATCCCTATAGATTCAATCCTTTTCATTAATTATTTGTTTATTCATAGTACTTTGTTAACTACTTGATATTATCTGGTGCTGGTATTTACACTGTGTTTTCATTCCCAAAGTGTAAATCTGGGAACCAAAACACCCTCTGAGAATGGGATTTTGAATTCTCACACACATAGTTAACTCCCAAATTACTATGTCAACTCCCCTCTGCAAATGCAACTCCACACACAATAATCGCGAATTCCAGAATTTCATGAAAATTTTCACAGTCACTAAGCAGTCTCAAATACCTGAAAACGTAAACATCAACACATCCAAACCCGTTGATTATCAAAACGTAAACAAAAGGTAAACAAAGAAGCTTATCTTGCATATCTAACAGACAGATCTAAAGGCATAATAAAACAGAGAATAACACAGTTGAAGAAACTCTGTAATTGCTATTGTACCCCATCATAACAAGAAACATTTTGAATTACTGTTGTTAGGCTTCTTGCCACAACAATTGGTTGTGTACAATTACTTATAATTATAATTGTGTCATTTATATATATAAAAGATGTCACAAGATCAGAATCAAGATGATGATTTAGCATTGGTGGTTCAACAAGCTATGGAAGGATTCCAAGATGAATTTGGTCAAGTTGATAATAATAATGGTGTCACTGGTGAATTAGAGAATGTTGATCAAAATCAAAATAACAATGAAACCGCGTCTACTGAATATCATCAACATGAACATAATGATCAAGAACAAGGACAACATCCTATCCAAGAAGCATTTAATGAGGCTGATGATTTTGAAGCTGAAATTCAAAGACAATTGGAACAACAATTCCAATCAATGACCGAGGGGACTAATGAAGAGTATAATAATGATCAATCTCAACAACAACATATTGAAACAAATATTGAATCACAAGTTGATCAGAATCAAGTTGAAGAAGAGGATGATTTTGCAAAAGAAGTTGAAAGACAATTACAAGAACAATTTAATCAACAACAAAATTATCAAGAGTCAGAACAACCAGTCCATCAAGAACAAGAACAACAGCAACAGCAACATGAAGATCAACAAGTTGATCAAAATGATGATTATTTACAAAATCATATCGAGGATCAAATACGACAACAGTTGAATATTGATGATAAAGAATCTGATCCTTCTCATGTGGAAAAATCAATTGATCAAGTTGAAGAATATCAACCACAACATCAACCACATCAACCTCAAGAACAAGAACAGCCTCAGGCTCAAGAACAAGTACAAGAACAAATACAGGAACAATCTCAAGTACAACCACAAGAAGTACAAGAAGAACAACACGTTGATTATGAAAAAGAACTACAAAAACAAATTATGGATGCATTAGGAGAATCTGAACCAATTGATAATAATGTTGAACAATCACAACAACATGAACAAGATTTAAGGCATGAACAAGTTGAATCAATTCAATCAACAAATCAAGATGATAATCAAGAAGAGAATGATTTTGAAAAAGATTTACAAAAACAAATTATGGATGTTTTCGAAAATCAAGGTCAAGATGAACGTGAACCTCAATCAGAAGTTCATACTCAAGATCAATCACAAATTGAATCACAAAATCAACCTCAAAATGAAGATGATTTTGAATTGGAATTACAAAATTCAATCATGCAAGCTTTTAATGATGCTCAAGAAACTTCACAACCTCAATATCAATCACAATCACAACTTGAACCAAAAGTTCAACCTCAACCTCAACCTCAAGTTCCTGCACCTGCACCTGCACCAGTGGTAGCACCAGTTGTAGCACCAGCTCCTGTACCAGCACCACCACCAGTTCAACAACCTTCAAAACCACCAGCAAAGTCAAAAGCTAAATCAGCTTCAAAGAAGAAATCACAAAGTTCTTTGAAACAACATCAAAATCAATTTCAAGTTCAACAACCTCAACAACCACCTGTGCAACAGGTACCAACTCAACAATCTCAACTTCAAGCTCAACCTCAATTACATCAACCTTTACCTATAAAACCTGTACAACCAGTTCCACCACAACAACTTCAAGATCAATCGCAAACTGATGTAAATGATGATGATTATGATCAAGAATTACAAAATCAAATCTTGAGTGCATTTGCAGAATCAGAAAATCAATATAATCAACAAATGGCTCAATTACAACAATTACAACAATTGCAACAATTACAACAACAACAACAACAATTACAAAATCAACAACAACAACAACCAATCCCACAATATACTGATGAAATTGATCCATTTAGAGATGCATTAGAACAATTGGTACAAAATGTTATTGATGCTCAAGTTGAACCTGAAAATAAATCACAACCTTTACCACAACAATCTAATCAACACCAATCAGGTAATCAAAATCAACAAGATGATGAAATTGATATGAATCAAATTATGCAAAATGCATTAGCTATGGCTGTGGAAAATCCAAATTTATTATTACAAAATATGAATTTAGGTAATTCACAAGATTCTTCACAATTGATTAATCAATTGATTAATCAAGCTTCTTCAAATTTAACTCCTCAAGTTGTTCCTTCAACTTCAACTGCAACTACATCAACTACAACAACTGGTAAAAAGAAAACTCCAGCTAAACCAAAGGAGAAAAAACCACCAAAAGAGAAGAAGCCAAGAGCTCCAAGGAAGACTCAACCAAAGAAGAAGAAAGATGCAAAAGCTACAACAACAACAACAGCAACCCCTGCTGCTACTAGTGCTTCATCATCAACGGATCCTTCATGGATTGGTCTTGGTCGTTCAGCTACTTCAAGTGGAGTACTATTACTTCCTATTGAAGGTTTACGTGAAGCTTTAAGACCACAATTATCAAAACCAATTCCTCAACCTTCACAAACTACTGTTCAAACTTCTCAACCTCAAACAATTGTTCCTCCAGCTCAACAGAAGACTACTCAACCATTACCTTCAGTTCCATCACAAGATCAATCAAAACAATTACCAAAACCACCATCATCATCATCATCATCATCAACTGCTGCTCCAATTTCAACTCCAAAAGAGTCAACTTCAATTGGTCCAAAACAACCAAAACCTGCACCTGCACATTCAATTCTGGATTCTGTTAAAAGTACACCTTTATTATTATTATCTAAAGATAAATCAATTGATTTACAAAATAATTTAGTTTCAGAACAACGTAAAAAGCAAAATTTGTCAATTGCTGAAACTTTAGCATTAAGTAGATCTGGTATAACAAGTGGTAAATTTACAAAATTACATGAAGGTTCATTGATTAAACCACAACAACAAATTGGTGATAATGGTAAAGAAATTGTTAATGATGATAAATTAAAAGGAATTGAATCACAAACTTCAACTCCAACTTCTGGACAAGTTCCAACAACTCAACAAAATGATTCAAATCAAGTTGATACTAATCAAGTTGGAACTTCTATTTCAACATTATCAAATTATGAACAAAATGATATTCAAAAGGATAATGAAAATAATAGTGTGGAAAATGCATTAATTATGGCTAAACAATATTTGACTAAAGATGATGGTAGATCAAGTGATTCAACAGCTCCAAGTTCTAGTGGTCCAGGTAAAAATGCTAATACAACATCTAAACCTTCATCATCATCAGGATCTTTAACTTCTTCATTTGGTCAATTATCTGCAATTCCAAGTTCTCAAGGAAATGTATTATTAAATAATATTGGTTCATTATTACCAAATTTACCTTCAAATTTAACAAATATGATTTCTTCTGCAATTACTACAGCTGTTAGTCAGGGGAAAATTTCATTAAATGAACAAAATTCTACAATTATTCAAGAAAATCAATTTTCTAAAGAATCAACTCCAGGTTTAACTACTATGGGATTGGAAAGTACAGTTACACCTAAAACTACTAAAAAAGTTAAACCTGATAGAAATGAAACTCCTGAACAACAAAGAGAAAGAATTAAGATTGAAAATAGAGAACGTAAGAAAAGATGGAGAGATGCAAATAAATTAAAAAATCAAAATAATGATTTAAGAGCTCGTTTAAAGAAGCGAGCTTCACAATTATTTGGTATTGAAGATACACCAAAGAAAAAAGAATGGATTGAAACAGAATTTGAAAAAAGAACAAATAGAAGAATTATTAAAGCTGCAAATTTAGAAGATTTAGCTTCATTAATTAATGAAACTTTATCAAAAGTTGATATTAATACATTAAATCAAGATTCATTAACTCAAATAATTTCACAAATTGTTACAACTTCATTATCAAGTTCTCAATCAAATGTTTCAAACATTGGTGGTATTTTAGGTTCAATTAATAATACTAATACTAATAACACTGGTAATAATTATATTACAACTACACAAAGAGAATTATCACCAGGTGAAGTTGAAGATCTTGCAGGTTTACCAAAAGGTACAGTTAGTACATTCCATGTTGATCAATCAATTCCACGATCTCAACCTGATCAATCTAATCAACAAAGATCCACTGTGGAAATTAAAGAACCATCAAAGAAACCGGATTTAGAATTAAGTTCATTAGTCGGTAATAGACAATTTCAACAACAACAACAACAACAACCAGGTTCAAGTTCTCAACAACAATTTCGTAAAACTTCAATTCCACAACATCCACCAAGAATTCATAAACCAATTCCAGCTCCTGCACCACCATTAAAGAGGAAAAATGATGCATTAGCAAATTTTGAATTGAAAAAACCAAGATTTTCCATACCTTTAATTCCAACAAGTATGAAATTTGATGATGGTCAAGATAAACAAAAGGATAAAGATGTTTCAATTACAAAAGAAGTTGTTAGAGTTGAAGATTCAAATAAAATGGATATTGATTCAAATATTGATGATGCTTTGAAATCATATGATGAAGGTCATTCAAATAAAAATCAATCTAATTCAAAACCAGTGGAAGTTACTAAAGTTATTGAACGTGTTAATTTAGATGATGGTAAATCTAAATCTAAACCAATTGAAAAGACTAAACTTTCAATACCAAAGCCTGTTTCACAAATTCCATTACAATTACAAAGACCAATTAAAATTCCATCATTTAAAAGACCTGATTTATCTAATTCAGATTCTAATAAAAATGTTCCAGAATCAATTGTTGTTGAAGATAAAGAACCAACAACAACATCATCAAATACAGATAAAGAAGTTTCAAAAGCACCAATTAAAGTGGAAAGATCAACACCACCAGTATCAAATACTAGTGTTAATACTACAAAACAACCATCACCACCAGCAACAAATACCACCACATCAACATCATCAACAACAGCTTCAACTTCAAAAGTTTCAAGTGCACCTAAATTACAAAGACCAAAATTTCAAACTGGTTTAAGAAAACCACCAGCATTTCAAGGTTTAAGAAAACCTGGTGCATTCCAAAGACCACCAGATAGAGATAAAAGAAAAGGATTAATTCAATGAATGATCCAAAATTGTACAATATATTAACATTCCTATAAACCATGGAATAAATAAAGAGAGAGAAAGATACCAATGGATACCAATGTACTATATATAACTGATTTTTACAATTGTTTTTTTTTAATTAAATTTTATTAAGATTTAATTATGTATCATAGATGGGTTAAATGATTAAAGAGATGAGATAAGTAAGGGGGATATAAATATGTTTTAAGTTATATAATGGGTAAATTATTATGATATTATTGATTTTTTATATGCTGAATATTATCATCTGATAATTCATCGTAGTTTTATGTAATTCATTTAGTATAGGTAATGCTAACCGATTTTGATGATTTTTTGTGGAAACAGTCCCAAATTTTGAGTTAAAACCTCACTAGATACTAGTAAAAACACTCTTCATCTCCTCCATCATCACATATATCGAATAATCTCCCAATTGATTCAATTAATGTTTAAAATAAGTTTTGACATTTTGACAGCTATTTATTATTGATAGTCGGAATTCAAAGTGCCTATCAGGTGACCCCAAATTACCATATTAGGTAATTTCACACCCCTCGGAACTCCCCAGTGTTTATGAAATTGTCAAAATCCCTGAATTGATAAAAAGCGAATTGAAGCTGCTGAAGGCAAAAACTTGAACAACCAATTGATTTAGTTTTCAAAAGGTTATCAAAAGATCAATTGATTAGAGATAGTTTCATACCATTTTACACAAATCAATTGAAGATGTCCTTGCCAAAAGATTATATCAATGAATTGAATGAATTGAATAAAGAAGTGCAACGTAAGAATCCTCAAGATATCTTACAATTTTGTTTTAATTATTTCCAATCACGTTTAGAAGATCAACGGAAACAATTATGGATTCAAGAACCTAAAGCAAGAGCTGCTGGGATTAGTTTATTTCCAGGTGGTAAATTAACTAATATTGCTGAAGAAGAACCATTCCAAAGACAACCATTATTTAGAAATTCATTTAGCAATGATGATCCACATTCAACAGATTTAGTTGATCCACATCATAATGGTTCTGATGATCAAGGTCCTGGTTCAAATGATATTTTTAAAAGTGGATTCCATGTTGGTGAATCAAATAAATCAAATATAGCAAATGCAGTGGATCCTCATTCTTCAGGTCCAAATTCAGGTTCAGGTTCATCAGAAAGTCCATCAAATTTCCCAACAAGAAGAATTTCTCATGTTACACCTGGAGCTCATCATCAATCAGTTCCTCAACAACCACAACAACAAGGACAATATTCACAATCATCACCACAATCACAACAACAAGTACATCAACAAAGTCCTGGTCCTCAACAGGCTTCATCTAGTTATGCAGGTGGATTTCATAATTTACCAACAACTTTTAATGCTAATAGACGTACATCAGTTAGTGCAGAAACTTTCAATCCAAAATCAATTAAAGATGATTGGAAACCACCAATTATTCCAAAAACTCAAGAACAATTAACAAGATTAAGTAATTCAGTTGTTAAAAATTTCTTATTTAGTTCATTAGATGAAGATTCTTTTAAAACTGTTATAAATGCATTAGAAGAAGCTAAATATCCAGCAGGTACTGAAGTTATTAGACAAGGTGATGAAGGTGATTTTTTCTATGTTGTGGAAACTGGTTATGTTCAATTCTTTGTTGATGGTAAAAATGTTAATAGATTTGGTGCAGGTGCAAGTTTTGGTGAATTAGCATTAATGTATAATTCTCCAAGGGCTGCTACCGCGGTTGCTGAAAGTGATTTAGTCTTGTGGGTCTTGGATCGTGTTACATTTAGACGTATTTTATTAGCTAAAACTTCTAAAAAGAGACAATTATATGAATCTTTCTTAAAAGAAGTTCCAGTATTAAGTCGTTTATCATTATTTGAAAGATCAAAATTAGCAGATGCATTAGAAACTGAAAGTTATAAATCTGGTGATGTTATTATTAAAGAAGGTGAAGTTGGTGAAAATTTTTATCTAGTTGAAAATGGTGAAGCTGATGTTATTAAAAATCAAGGAGGATTAATTGGTCATGTTAAAAGAGGTGATTATTTTGGTGAAGTTGCATTATTAAATGATACACCAAGACAAGCTAGTATTGTTGCTAAAACTGATGTTCAAGTTGCAACTTTAGATAAACGTGGTTTCCAAAGATTGTTAGGTCCTGCAGTTGAAGTTTTAAAACGTCAAGATCCAACAAAACATTAGATTTTAAATTTTTTTATCTTTTTTTGACCTTGTCTTTTTATTTCGGTTTTTTTTTTGTCTCCTTTTCATTTCAGTTCAATATTAAACACAAAAAAAAACAACACATTATAATGTCAAAGTTTGTTAATGTCCATATATATTAAACGTTTTTTCCACTTACAGAACTTATATACTTTTTACGAGAAATATATAAACTTATAACGTATATTCTATGATGTAAGCTCTAAGCTAAACTTGTATAATAATCTTTTTGTAAAGTCATCCAAACAATTGTTGAAGTTGCAACAATTAAAGGACCTAATAAACCTTTACCAAATTTAGCAGTTTTGAAAATCAACCATTCAGAAACAAAATGAACAAATGCAATTAAATAAGAAGCTAAAGTAATTTGATAAATTTGAGGATTTGTTAAATAATAAGCACCATAAAATCTAATAACTGCGGATACAAAAGTCCAAGTACCAAAAGTTCTAGCTGAAAGATCAGTAGTTTGTTGAGGTTTATTTTCATAGACTCTTCTTGTTAATTCTAAACCTGATAGATAAGTTTGAGCTGAATTAAACACTGAAACAATTGAAATCTGTGAAAAATATTTTGGTTAGTTGATTATCTGGGGGTTAAAGAGTTAATTAATACTCACGAATAATAACCATTTTGGTAAGATACCTGGTGTAGTTGGGATATAAGGACCGACGAAGTCAATGAAACTGGACATTTTAACAAAGAATCAATAATTAAAGAGTTAATTGAGTATAATTTCAAAAAGATTAAGTAAAAATGTTTGACTAAATTCCCAAGGTTTTAAATTTTTTGATTATTCGTTTATTATTCCGGTTTCCACACGACAATTTTGATGATTTTGGAAATTGAACTCCTTAAAAATGGAAATGTTCAAAAAATGAAGTTGATGGTGATTATAAGGGTTTAAAAGTGACATTGATAGTTAGAATTGAGTTGAAATAATATAATGGTGAGTTTTGTGAGGTTTAGTATACCCTATTTTGTCTTTTTCCGTGAGTCGCTAACGTTCAATCCCAGTCTGAAGAATCTTATGATGCTGCGTTGGATCTTTTAAGAAGATTAGATCCAAAGAATATTTCTACAAATTTACAAAAAATCACAAGATTGAATCCAGATTTAACAGAAGAATTACTTTCCTCGGTGGATGTTCCATTAAGTATTTCTAGAGACGAAGAAGATGGAAGAAAATTCTTGATTTGTGATTATAATAGAGATTTAGATTCTTATAGATCACCATGGTCAAATAAATATTATCCCAAATTAGATGATGAAGATGAAAGTCCATTCCCATCTGATAAATTAAGACAATTAGAAATCTATGCAAATGATTCATTTGATGTTTATAGAGATTTATATTATGAAGGTGGTGTTTCAAGTGTTTATTTTTGGGATCAAGAAGATGAAGAAGATTCAACAAATGATTCAAATTTCGCAGGTGTTGTATTATTGAAAAAATCTACTGATAATGAACAAGGTTCATGGGATTCAATTCATGTTTTGGAAGTACTTGTTCAAGGTTCCTCGAAGGCTACATATAAATTAACTTCCACAATTATATTAGATTTATCAAATGATCCAAAATCAACTTCATTATCTGGTAATCTAATTAGACAAACCGAGAAAACTTTACCAATAACAGATGATCAATCTCATATAGTTAACATAGGTACTCTTGTTGAAGAAATTGAATCTAAATTAAGAAACTTGTTACAAGAAGTTTATTTTGGTAAAACTCGTGATATTGTTGGTGATATTAGATCTTTACAAGGTATATCTTCAAGTGAGAATGATAAGCTAAAACACTCGGAATTGGTCAAGGGGTTACAGGGGATTTAAAGTAACTTCATAGGAATATATCAAACCATTAAATAAACAAATACCATCTTTCTTTGCAACTTCTTTGTATATTTTAATTAAAAATAGTTTTATTTAGGCTAAATGAGTATTTAAACATCCAAACACCACCCGCGAATTCATTTTTTTGCCTTCAAAATTTTTTTGCTTTAAACCACAATAAAAAAAGTATTAAGAAATTGATAAATTTTGACATTTTGATATTTTGACAGGTTGTTGAAAAGTTGATTTATTATATTTACTGGTTGGTTTTTAATATTACAATTGGTCAATTGTGGGTGTTGAGCTAATAAGGAGAAACAAGAAACAAGAAGAAATAGAAATAGAAACAATACAATATGACTGATAGATCAATATCTGTTGCAAAAGTATATGCAAATGCAAATCAACAAAAATCTCAATCATATTGGGATTATGAAAATGTTAGTATTGTATGGCAAACTCAAGAAAATTATGAAATTGTTAAAAAATTAGGTCGTGGAAAATATTCAGAAGTTTTTGAAGGTATATCATTAAATAATCATGAAAAAGTTGTTATAAAAGTATTAAAACCCGTCAAGAGAAAAAAAATTAAAAGAGAAATTAAAATTTTACAAAATCTTGTTGATGGTCCTTTTATTATTCAATTATTAGCCGTGGTTAGAGATCCTGTTTCTAAAACACCTGCATTAATTTCTGAATATGTTAATAATTTAGATTTTAGAACTTTATATCCAACTTTAACTTCATATGATATTAGATTTTATATGTATGATTTATTAAAAGCATTAGATTATTGTCATTCTCAAGGGATAATGCATAGAGATGTTAAACCACATAATGTTATGATTGATCATGAAGAAAAAAAATTAAGATTAATAGATTGGGGGTTAGCAGAATTTTATCATCCAGGTACTGAATATAATGTTCGAGTTGCATCAAGATATTTTAAAGGTCCTGAATTATTAGTAGATTTTAGATATTATGATTATTCATTAGATCTTTGGTCATTTGGTGCAATGTTGGCATCAATAATATTTAAAAGAGAACCTTTTTTCCATGGGAAATCAAATACTGATCAATTAGTTCAAATTGTTCGTGTTTTAGGGACAGATCAATTACATTTATATTTAAAAAAATATAAAATTCAATTAGGTACTGAATATGAAGATCTTGGTCAATATACTAAGAGACCATGGGTTAGATTTATAAATCCATCAAATGAACATTTAGTTGATGATGAAACTATAAATTTTATTGATAAATTATTACGTTATGATCATCAAGAAAGATTAACTGCTAAAGAAGCTATGGCTCATTCTTATTTTGATCCTGTACGTGATGTTAAAGAGAAGTGAGGGTATAAGGATTACTCTTTTTGATGATTATTTTATTATATTTTAATTTTGTATAGCTACGAAAAAGAACAAATTTCTTTACTTTTAATGAAGATTTATATTTAATGATATATATAGCCATGTAGTGTATTATTCTAAATTCCAATATTGATGATTCCAATCAAGTTTAATTTTTTTGAAAATTTTTAATATTGAAATATCATTAATTATAATTAAACATGATTGAATAAATGATTGAATTGATGAAAGTTTTTCAATGTTTAATGAGTTATACTTCTCTATATCTTTCATTTTTTGAATCTTTAATAAATAACAAAAAAATTTAATAACAAATTTTAAAGATTTTAAACTATGTGAACCATCTTTTATAGAATTTTTAATACTCCCAGTTTTATTACCAACTTGTATTTGAGATCTTTGTAATAAATATTTTTCAATATATGAATATTGTTTCTTTGATATTAATTCTTCATCACTTATTGATATTTGAATTAAAATTTTACAAAATTCTGCTAGTTTATTTAATAAACATTCATGAACTATCAACCAAAATTTACTATTTTCAATTGAACTTAACTTTATTATAATGTTTTCCACAATTTTATACTTTATATTAACAATTTCTGTATGTTCATATTTTGGTTTAGCAAAATATAAAATAATTTTAGAACAACAATCAACAATCTTATTTAATATATTATCCTCATTAGAATTAATACATTTTTGAATTAATTGATACATAAGTATTTTTAAAACACCCATAGTTAATTCATTAATATATTCAGATTCCATAAAAGTTTTAAAACAATCTAAAACATCATCAATTTGGAATTCCAAAATTGGTTTAAATTCATAAAGTTCTAATGCAGTTAAATCAATTTTTAATTGGGATAAAATTGGTAAATATTCTTGAAATGTGTGTTAGTATAAAGTTATATTGTTGAATACATGATAATTGGTTTCAAAGTTACTTTTTCCACCTGGTAATTTATTTAATGGATTTTCTGTTCTTATTATTTTGATTAATCCATTTGAATCTTTTGTAGTTTTCTTTAAAGTTTTAGAAGATGTATTTAAATTTTTGTTTAATTGTTTATCATCAATATGTTTATTTTTCTGAGCTAATGATTTGGATTTAGAACTTGTTTTTAAAGATATAAATTTTTTATCACTTAAAAATCCATTTTTATTTGAATTTGATAAGTTTTTGGACTTCTTTAATAAATGTTTTGTATTTAATGGATGTGTTTTATTTGAAACACCCTGTTTAACAATCTTATCACTTGTATGTTCAGTATTCTTTTTATTCTTAATTGAACCAATCTCAGGAATTGTTTCATTCAATTTATTTGTAATTAAAGAAGCATCACTTAACCAATTTTCCACTTCAATAATATTTAAAGGAGGTTCAATATCATTTATTGAATCAATATTTAAATTCAATTCCAAGGGTGTTGTTTTCTGTTTTTTCAAAGGTTTATCAAGATTTAAAACTTCATCTCTTGATCTTTTATGATTTTGGAATGGAGTGCTATTATTTATTGGTTCTTCAACAACTGTTATGTTGTTGTTTGTAATCCCATGATTTAAAGTATTTATAAATTCTTGCAAGAAAAAGTTAATACCACAGCCAATGAAATATTAACATATTGGTAACATACCTTTAATACTTAACCTAGAATCAATTTTATTTTTAAATTTAATCAAAGCAATAGCCTAATAACATATAAATATGTTAGTAAAAAAAACATAACAGACTAACATGTTTAGTTAAAGTAGAAGCCAATGGGTAGCTTAGCTGAGTTATGAATTCATAAAATTCAAAGTGGGTTAAAATTTCTTTTATCATGAAGTATTGAAATTCCATTAAATGCAAGATTAATAACATCATAAACTTTGCAAACTGGAAAACTTGGACAAGATTTACATCTTTATAGATGAATACAAACACCACAATAAGACCAACTAATCCAATATATGAACTAAACCAACGTAGCAATTTCAAATAAAACTAGTCAAGCACCAAATAATCCAAGTCATAATCCTTTAGATGTTGTTCCCAATCTCTTAAAACCATGGGTTTAAGTTGTTATACTTAACCAAGTGTTTAACCACTGACGTGTGTGATGATGATTCTCTGAGGTCATCAGGGACACATATACCAATAAAAAATCCAGCCATACCTAATAAAACCGTTATAAGCTAAAGCACCACCACCAAACACAAACTCACAAACTGTACCACCGGCAATTGAATATGATATATACGAAGATATCAGTTGAGTCTAAACTTTACTGCCTTATTGTCTCTTGTGCATACATATTTTTCCAACGTCATCTCAAACAGGTAGTTCTATAGATATCATCATGATCTTACCGGCATAAGATGCTTTAATGTTAATAAATGATTCAATAACTCAATGAATCTAATAAGCAACACCTAATCATAATCAAGGATCTTAAACTATGAGAATTGAAGATTGTGTTCCAGATATTTTTATAATTCCGATGGTTTTCTAATACTTTTAAATTTCAAAGTTGTTTTTCATTCAATCAAAATCTCAATTTTCATGAGATCAACAAACAAAGCACTTCACCAACCTTTAACCAAACATTAAAACATACTTACAATGGCCAAATCCATTTCTAAAGACATCATAATGTACCTCTAATCAACCGCTATTCAATGGTGTTATTAGTTTGTTAACCGCTCTATTACTGTGTATAATAATCCCTAAAATCCAAGTTTAGCGCTTATAGAAAACGTCAGTTGTTGTTGTCATCAATTTTCATGGGATTTTAAAACTATTTATACTGAAAATTAAATGACGATTAAATGAAATCATCAAATTATTAATTACATAGGAAATATTACGACATAGTAAAATAAAACATTTGTATATATAAGAAAACCAAAATGAAACCAAATCGTATAAACTAATAAAACTAAAATTTATAAAACATATAAAAACAAACCATTACCCAAAGAAATAAAGAAATATAAACGAAAAAATCAAAATGTTATACAACAAGACATTACTATTCCTCATCTTGATCTTCATCTTGATCTTCATCAAATTTAGTATCTTCATCATCTTTATCAGGATGAGTAATATCATTCAATTTTCCAAAAATTTTATTCAATTCTTTTCCATTACCAACCCCATTGTTTTTCAAATAAACTAAAGATTCAAACAAGATTCTTTTTTCACTCTTTAATTTATTAATTTGTGATTGATATTTTTCAACATCTTCTTTTAATTGAATATGGGCAGCTTTTTTTCTTTGTCTACATTTTGATGCAGCAATTCGATTTCTTTCTAATAATCTTGCCTTTTTCCATGCTGCTGTTCCTGGGATTGGTCCTGCATCTGGATTAAATATAACTTCATTGTTATAAACTAATTTATGATTTGGAATTCCTGATCCTCCACTTTGATATGGTAATTCTTGTTTAATATTTGGTGTTGGTTGTTGTTGTGGGAGTGGAGGTGGTACAGAATTTGGATGTTGAGGAACTTGATGAATTTGTTGTTGTTGTTGGTGTTGTGGGTGATGGTGTTGTTGATGTTGTTGTTGTTGTGGTGGAATCTGTTGATGTTGAGGTGTTTGTTGAGGTGGCGCACCACCTAATAAATGTGGAGCAACTTGTGAATCACCAGCACTTGAATCCAAATTTAATTGATTATACAATAATTGTTGTTGATGATTTAATCCAGAATCATCTTGAGAAGTTTGTTTGGGTAGAGGAGGAGGTTGAGAATCATATAAATCTTCATCATTAATTGAATGTGTTGTAATTTGACCAATTTGACCATTTGAAATTGAAATTCTTCTTCTTGGTTGTCCATGATTATTCATCATCATTGAACTTTCAAAGATTGGTGGATTTGTTAATGGGAAATGTGAAACATCTATACCATATGGTGCAAAAAATGGTGATAATGTATCACTAAATAATCCATTATTATTAAAATTTGAATTCCATGCAATACCAGGGGCAGGAACACCACCAGGACCAGGAACTCCTCCAGCACCAGGAGTACCACCAGCAGCTTGAGCCTGGGCAGCAGCATTAGCAGCAGCTTGGGCTTGTGCTTGAGCAGGTGTTAAATTATGATCATGATTACCATCAAGGGGGATATTAATTAATAAATTTGGGTCATTATTCATCACAGCTTTTTCTTTTAAATTAGCCTGTAGTTTCTGTAATGAGTTTTGATATTGTTGATGTTGTTGTTGGTAGTGTAGAGATGCGGAATAGTTGAGTTGTGAGTTCAAATCAGTCATTATAAACCTTTTGAGAGCTATTATCTATTGGTTTTTAGTTGATATTATGGTTCATTTCAGCCTTCTTCAAGTCTTTTGTCATCTTTTTATTGTTCCGGTTTTTCTGAAATTGAACCAAATTCGCGAACATTTCCAACAAATTATGCTTGGGAGGGTAAATCTGGGGTGGGAGTAAACATGGAATCATGGATTATTATGGGACTGAAAAGAGGTATAAAGATGAGAGTAGTACCATTAGAAAGGAGTGCTTTCAAGGAGTATGATCATGTAAATCATAGCTCATTAACACCAATAGTTGGTATATAAATCACCATATTCATTGTCTCAGCCTCATTACATAAGCAAGCTCCGAGTACAAATACCAATAATTTTAACCGATGAGCTTTAAAAACTCTCATACAAAAAACCAAAAACTTTAGTAAAAGTTGCCTTATTTATAAGTTTATTTACAATATGTTAAAGATCTAGCTATGTTTATAAAATTACAATCAAATGATTATACTATAAATATTCAAAAAACCAATAAAAATTTAAAATACAAAGAAGTTATAAATTCAATTATACCCATCCAAACAATAGATGAAATTATAAATAATTATATAAGACAGAATTCAAAATTATACCAGGGGAAAACTATATCATATGATTTATTAATTGAAAATCAAAGAGGTGCTATAATATTTGGTCTTCCTTTTTTTACAAGTTTTTTATTACCTTATGATCCTGGAAATTTTACAAATGTTTATGGATTAACTATAATGAATTTAAAATTATTTCCAATGCCTGATTTAAATTGGAAATGGAATTGGGATAATTGGATTGTTTTAATGAATGATAAAGATACTGATGATCAAGGTTGGAAATATAGTTGGAGATTTAATTCAAATCATTGGACTGGTGAACAAAATTTTGGTTCTTGTGTTCGTAGAAGAATTTGGATTAGATTAAGAGAAAAAGTTAATTAATTGGGTGCTTCAAAGATATTACAGATTTGAAATCAACTGGAAATATTTTTTAAATAAAAGATATAAACTTAGAAGTAAACTAAAACAATATAAATTCAACAACAATCAACAAAACAACCAAACAATCAGACCAATGGTGTTAAAGTTTTTAAATTTAATTTATGATTAATTAAATCAATTAAATTCCATTTTTCTGCATCAAATTTTTTGAAATTACCAATTTGGAAATCAGTACTATTAGATTGTGATTGAATTTGAGATAATGATATCAATTGATACCAATTTTTTTTAATTAAATCACTTCTCCAATTTCTTTTAATTAATTCTTGTTCAACAATAAAATTTTCAAATGGTGTTATCCCATAATAAAATGCATAAAATAATATACCATCATCTAAATTACCCAAAAAATTCATATAATTTGATCCAGTCATTTGTAATCTTGTTAAATTCCAAAAATTTGAAACTCTTAATAATTCTAATGATGAATTTGTTATTGATGATGAAATTTTATTTTTTAAATGATCCTTGGGAACTTCTAATAAATTTGAAACATTTGATATTGTTTTTATAGATTCTTGATTATTATAATTTAATTTCCGACATGAAACAAATGATGTTATTATATCCTGGATACCTGGTGGTAAATTTATTAATTCAGAATCTTGTTGAAATTCTAATTCATTGATTGGTGGTGTATTAGAATTTGATTGTATTATAACATTTTTATCAAATATTGTAGCAGCATTACTCTTTTGACTATCACTTTCTATCGTACTTGATTTCACAGGTGATTCATTTGATGATGATGATGATGGTACCACTTTAGAAACATTTGGTGTAGTTGTTGATCCAACATTTGAAGTTGTAGTAGTTGGCACACTAGTAGTACCAGAATTTGAAACAACTTCATTACCACCACTAGGACTTGAATTTACATTAACGTTTGAATCTTGTGATGTTGGTGGTAATCCAGCAGCTGCCAGTGCAGACCATTTCATTTCACTTGCAGGTTTAACAGGTGTTATAGCAGGTTTTAACGTACTTGTTGAAGCTGTTGAACTTCCTATCACTGAAGGGAATGATGATGATCCAGGTTGTGTAGAACTTGTTGCTGCTGCTGATGTTGGTGTACCTGTTGATAATGTAGCAAATTTCTTAGATTTTGGAGTTTCAACTAATGGTTTCTTTGGTGTTAACCCACTCGGGCTTGCATTTGATCCAGGTCTTGGAGAAATTGATTTTTCCTTTAGTTCTTTTTCTTTTGCTTCTTTAGCTTCTTTTTCCTCTTGAATTTGACTTAATGATGAAACAACTTCATTTGATAATTCATTCGATTCTAAATCTAAAGATTCATAAATATATTCATTTTCAATAAAATTTGAATCTCTATTACTTTCTAAATAATAAGTTAATTCTTCTTTAATCTCCAAGATATCTGAAACTTGTAATTCATCATTTTCTAATAATCTAAGTGCAATTTCTAGATTTTGTTGATGCCATCTATATCTTTCTTGAAACTCTTTTAATTCCTCTTTTTTAGATTCATTTGCACTTGCTTGCTTTTTAGATTTTTTAGAACTTAATTTATCAACTTCTGCTTCAACACTTTGATATTGATTTTCTAAATTTTCAATAGATTCTTCAATAAATTGAATAGTTTCTAATTTTTCCTTTTCTTCTGGATCTAAATCAGTACCTTGTTTTAAACTCATATTAGAATATGCTTTAACTTTAGAACCTTTCTCAACAACTTTATACTTTTCCATTGCCACTTCCACCAGTCGTCTATATTCCAATAGTTTTTCTTTATCTTTAACTTCATTTTGAGTTTGCCATACTTTTATCTGTTCTCTTAATTTTTGAAGTTTTTTAATTTCTCTTTTCAAATCAGATTCTAATTTCTCCCTTTGAGATGGGTTTGATGACATTTCATGTCTTTCATGGAAAGTATTAAAGATATCAATACCTTCATTGATCTTTTTGAACACACGATCTATTTCTCTAAAGTTGTATATGTTAGCATATAATTTCTCCTATATATCCTTCATTTCTCCTAGGAAAAAGAAAGAGTACAAAAGGGTGGTGTAACTCACTGTTGAAGTTTCCTATGAGCCATCTTGTAGTATTTCAAACAACAATCTTTACTGTATTATTATCATTTAAATTTGATGTGCAATGTATCCCAAAGAATATAAATACAATATAAATAATAGCCAATTGATATCTCTAGCGATAATCCTCGTACGAAACCCGCAATTGCAACAGCAGATCCACACAAAAGACAGTAATAACCTGAGCACAACTATAGCAGAGCCAGAAACACTAAGCAATTAATCAAACGTAGCACACTAAGCTTGGGTTTAAGTCTTGTTTTGGTTTGTTGATCAACCACAAATCCTTTAAAAACTCGTTGATGTAAATTTTTTTTTTGCCCAATTCAATTTACAAAAAAAAAATCGGAAATTTGAATCGCAAAGGCCACTACAAGTATAAAAGATTGGAAATTTAATCAAAAAAGATCAATTTGACTACAAAATTAAAGAGAAATGCTCAATTGAATGTCTGTATTGATGCTAAATTGTGAAGGAATAGAGGATACCGAGAAACAGTACGAAAAAGAACAGAATTGCTGCGATTATTAGTGCTGTTCTAACGATTTTAATCAATGTTGAGCTGATGATTTGTGATAAAGTTTGAACAATATTTGAAGTTTGGAAATTTGAAACGTTAATATTGGATTTTACTTGGAATTTTGTGGTTTGAAGATGGTTTAGTAATTGTTGAGTTGATTGTGAAGTTGGTAATGAGATTGTGAAGTTTTGGGCATGGATTTTTGGTGTTGGAATTGATAATATATGGGTAATATTGAATTTTGAATATAAATCATCTAATGAATCGTTTAATGATTGGATTTCATATTGTGTTTGGTTGTTGATGTTATTTATATGTTTTCCAAGTAATTCATAATGATTCAATGATTTCAATTCATCAAAGTTTGTCAAATTATATGATTTCTCCACAAGTATTGATTGATCATTAGTTATATCCAATGAAACATCATGAATTTCTAATTTAGTCAAACTTAGCCAAACGATAAACAAAAACATACATCCCATAAACATATATGGAACATTTGAAATATCACCAATCATAAATGAATTAATCCAAAAAGATTTAACATCATTCAACTTACCAAATATTTTACCCTGAATATCCATAAACATCGTCACTGTGGGTTCATTAGTTTTCTGTAATACACCAAGATAATCAAATTTGGAATCTGTTTTCTCCAAATCAACCATATGTGAAACGGTATAGTTCATTTGATACCTAAATCTGAAATATTGATAAAGCATTATAAGGAAATAAACGATACAAAGAAATCCTCCAATTATAACTAAATTTGTTGTGGAATCCCGTTTGAATTGTTTAATATTGAAGTTTGATATGGTACTATTCGATCCATTGTTTTGAGCTGTTTGGGAATCAATCAATTGAGGTTCTAATTTCAACATATATGACACATCATCAATATCGATTGAAGTATCAATATCTTTCAACTTGGTTTTAACATCATCGAAAACATCATTCAATTCATCATTGAAATCATCCTTTGAATCATAAAGCTGCAACAAGGAACTATTATCATTCTGTTGATCAAATCCATTAATTGCATTACTTAAAGAGTCTTGAATATCATTAAAATTTAATGTTAAATTTGATGTATCAACTTTATCACCAACATAAACTGCACTATCGAAATTGTTTTTTGCATTATCAATCTTTTCTTTATCCTGGGTTAATTGATCCATTATTGAACTGTTTAAACTCTTCAAAGAATCAATAAATTTATCTTGTTGTTGTGATACCTGTTCAGATTCATTCCATTTCATTTCTAAAACCGAATCAAAATTTTGTTTAATATAATCATGTTGGAAATTAAGTATATTTGTTGTATTATTCAAATATTCTTCAATTGAACCTTGTAATGAATTCACATATGTATCAGTATCATTGTTAATCACCTTCCCCAAATCAAATTCATTATTTTCCAAGGATAAATCAATACCCATAACTGAAACATTTGAACTTTTCGAATCATTAAAGGAATATCGATCATTAATCTTTAAGCAAACAATATGATAAAAAACTAATATTATTAAAGAATAACCACCAAATAAGATTAATGGGTTTATTATAACTTGTATAAGTCTTGTTATTAAAGTATTGTGATATCTTTGTGAATTTGAATACGTTATTTTGTTCATGATGTTTGTTCTCTTCAGTGTACTAGTACTTCAAAAACAAGTACCAGTACAAACATTTAAAGACCGAACCACTGGATTTCAAACATTATATAAATGAATACATCCCAAAAGACCAACGCATTCCTTGAATAGTATCATAGTTTCGAAATTGTTTATGAAAATTGGTTTTTAAATATATTGTATCATATCTGTATCATAAAGTATCATGTGGCGCATACCGGAAGTATAACCGTTGTACTACAAAATTAAACAAAAAAATCAGCTAAATAACTCGGAAAAAACGTCAAAAACTTTCGTATTTCATATATAAGGTATTCAATATCATATCACTCATCCCTTTCTAGTTGGGTATATCTTCCTCTTGAACTTACTTTCCCCCATACTTTATAAAATTTCTCTTTTAACCCATTTTCAAAATTTTGTAAATATTCCCAAATTAATTCATCATTTGTAAACTTCAAAACTTCTGAATCTTCATTATGACCCGATACAACATTATGTAAATAATATTCATATCTAAGTATATCCTTTCTTGTTATTACTCCTTTCAACAAACCATCTTGTTCAATTAATATACATTTTGGACCTAATTTATGGAAAAGATCAAGGACAGTTTCTAATGGGGTTCCTAATTTAACAGTTATTGGTGCTGGATTTATATAATTTGTGAAATTTATGACATCCATGGAGTCAGAATCTGTGGAGCTGAAATGACATGGTGTATCTAATTCAATATTCTTTAATAATTGATTTTTTTGAATAACTGTAATTAATTCATCTCTACCAATAATACCTTTTATAATTGGCTTCTGTAAACTTTCAATAATTGGTAATGTTTGGAAATTAGTATCTGCAATAAAGACAGAAATTTGTTTATAAGTTAACCCCTTTTCCAACAATGAAACAGTTTTCAAAGTCATAGCATCATCCACAACATGATCGAAAAAATCATGATCTTCATGAGGATCAATAAAAGGTAATCCATTAAATTCAATCATTTGATCCGCAATACCACCTTTTCCATAATTATCATTTATAATTTTTGTAACAGCAACAGTAATCATTGTTGGTATAATATATTTTAATGCCCCAGTTAATTCAAACATAATAACAACAACTGTGACTGTTAAATGAGTTATACCACTAAGTGCAGAAGCTGCACCAAGGAATGCATACGTTCCAGGTGTAATACACTTGGTATCATCTGCTAAGCAGCCAGTTGTGAACAATTTGGAACTTGAATTGTGTTTATGCCAAAGTTGAACAAGGATACCTAAAGCTCTACCAAATGTTGCACCACATGCCATTGATGGAACGAAAATACCTGCTGGAACTTTACAACCATATGTAAATACAATTAAAATCATTCTAATCAAGGTTGCTAATGCTAAAGTGAGTAAAGTGTTAAAAATTTGATAATTATTTGCAAGGTGACAAATTTTATGATTTTCAAAAATATCTGAACATTCTTCATACAAGATTTGCATACCTTCAGTCATATCCATTTTTAAAAAATCATTAAAATAAGAAATTATTGAAGTTATCCCAGCTAATATCAAAACTTCTTTTAATGCATGTTCACCAAGAAATTTTTTCCTGAAACTAACCATCTTGATATTATATTTACTTATAATTATACCATAAATACCACCAAAAACTCCAAGTATAATGAAAAATGGAATTTCAAAAAAATGCCAATCACGATCATAAGTAACTTCAAACATAACAACTTGACCTGTTCTAAAAGGATTCATCAATTTTAATACAAAAACAGCAACAAGTGAGCAATAATAAGATTCCCACATTGTTGATAATTTAAACATATTGGAAATTTCTTCAATTGAAAATAAGACACCACCCATTGGACTACCAAATGCTACTGCAACACCTGCTGCACTTGATGCAACCAAAATGTTTTTGAAAGTTAATGAAGAACTTGTCCTTGATTTCCCTGTAGTATTGTCCTTTTGTTTATTTGGGAATCCTTGTAAAAATAATTTTGATATAATACTACCCACACAAACTGCATAATGAACACTTGGACCTTCTTTCCCAACACTTAATCCAGATGCAATAGCTAATGGTAATCCAATACTTTTCATCAAAAAAGTCCAAGTACTTAAAAACCCACTTAGGGTAAAACCTGATACGATACATTTAATTTCTGATATTCCTGAACCAGCAGCAAATGGGGCATAATTTAGTACTAATGAACTTGCAGTGAAACTTAAAACAAGTGATATTAGGATAAACATTGTATAATTCAATGGTGCAAATTGAGAGTACTCAACCCAATTGGAACATTTTGATTCTTCTAATTCACCCCAACAACAAAAACTTTTATTTAAATAAAAATGTGAAGAACAATAACCTGTCCTTATATTTGATAAATATTCAGTAACGATATTTAAAGAAGCTGCAACAAATCCAATTGTTATCCCTACTGCTGTTAATATCACATATGTTTGTAAAGAACGATAAAGATTTAACCATTTAAAACTTGTTTTATTTGTATTTGATAATAATACTTTTCTTTTATTACTTTGTAAATTATCATTAAGCCAGTCTATTGTTTTGAAATCTTCAAATTTGGAAAGTTTGGGTATTTGATCCTTCCATGATTTTGGTTGATCATTGAATGTCTCTAGTCGTATTGAATTGGACATGATAACAAGGGACACAATATGTATTAAATTGACACATATATCAAAAATCCCAGATACGTATAATAAAAATCTCGAATACATAGAGAATCTTTCGCGAATTTTAGTCCTTTTTAGCCCAGAGTCATAAACGCGTGTGATTTAACAATGGGATTTGTTTTTGTACTATACAATAATCAGTACAAAATGATGGACAATAGGGTGCTGTAACTTGTGAATAAGATTTATATCTTTCATGTAATGGTATGTATGCCAATTGATGGATCAAAAATAGCTTTTAAAAGGATCTTGATTGGATATATAGTTTAACCATGAGTGAACTAGTCCTTTGACCACCAACAACTGACAACTGACTACGCCTAGCACTTGAACAACAGAGCAATACCTCATCACCATTTACACCTCATTTGTCACTCGTCCTAGTCATTCTTCATTCAATTCCATACCAAATGATCCTACAAATCCATCAAATTTCCTTCATTAAATTTCATGGATTTCACCGTTGTTTTATACTCCAAACAAACAAAAACAAAACCAAAAAATTCTGTACCGCGGCAATTCTCAACCAATTAGCTGTACACCGCGGCATACCACCGGCTAGCAATCATATCCCTCGGCATTTGTGTTTTGATTTTCTCTTATCAATTCAAAAAAACAACCACAAAAAATTAAATGATTGTTTTCTTTATCAATTGAATGACTGTTTTGATTATTTATATTTAAGGAGTTGAATATCCCTATTGTTCATAGCTTTGTTACACAGTGAACCATTGAGATTACCATTAATATCATGCCCTCTGCTACAAATACATTATCTGTTGAACCATTAGATGCCCCAGTTGGTGCTAAAATCACATTACCAGAAGGTATAACTGATCCATCAAAATTAAATGAAGAAGATTTCAACAAGCTAAATGAAGCATTACATAAATATTCTGTTATTGTTATTCCAAATCAAGCTGATTTACCACCACATTCTCAATGGGTTCTAACTTCAAGATTTGATCCATCAACTCAAACAAATGGACAAAATTATGGTCATGGTAAAGAATTTAGACATGATAAATCCCTTTTAAGAAAAGATGGGACTTCAATTCCTGATCAACCACAAGTTCAAGTTTTAGGTCAAGGGGATTGGCCTGCTGGTCATCATGGTCTTGGTGATATTACATTAACTCATCCAACTCATTTTAGTTTCCATAAAGATACATTAACTGAAAAACAAGCCTTTGAAGAAAATCAAACAAGATTTTATAGATGGCATATTGATTCTGCACTTTATGAATTATCACCACCTGTTGCTACTACTTTATTAGGTATTCATGTTCCTCCTCATAGTGCTACACAAAAAATTATTTATGAAGATACCAAGGAAGAATTAGAATTAACTCAAGGTGCTACTGCATTTGCTTCAGGTAAATTAGCTTTTGATTTACTTAGTGATGAAGATAAAGAATTAGCTTTAAATACTCATGTTGTCTATGCCCCACATCCATATATTTTCATAAGTGAAGCTAAAGCCACAAGTGATGGATTAACAATGCATAGTGAAGGTAAAGAATTATCATTAGATGAAATACCGGAATGGGAAGAATCAAAAATTAAGAAATTACCATTAGTTTGGACAAATCCAATCACTGGTAATCATCATTTACAAGCTCATGCATGTTGTGTTTGGAGATTAGAAAGATCAAATGGTGAAATATTAGAATTAGAAGATGCAAGAAATGAATTATATAGAATTATGAGACCTGCTATTTCTCCAAAAAATGTTTATGCTCATAGTTGGGAATCTGGTGATTTAGTTATATTCCATAATAGAGGAGTTTGGCATGCTGTTACTGGTCAATTTAAACCTGGTGAAAGAAGATTAATGCATCAATGTAATATTGCAAGTGGTATTGATCCTGTTTGTGTTCAATGAGGTGTTTAGTTCTTTTGGTGTTTTCAATTACAATTTAGTTTATTTCTTTTGTATAGCTTTCTTTCTTTCTAGGTTTTATTAATAATATATATGATGGTGTTTAATAAGTTGCTGTTGATGTAAAATATATTCAATAATATGATTATATATTTAAAGATTATGTAATCGTTTAAATGTACTGATCATATAAAAAAATTTTCATTAAATATTAATTATCACGCAGCTATTTAGTACTTGTTCATTTTTTTTCGCAATATTTAAATTTGAATTACCAACCAGTATAGTAAAACTTCGAGTGTCATTATAATGAATAGGGTAGGGCTTATTGGATTGCCTTGCCTGGCTTTTTTTTTAAGATTTCCAGAATTAAAGTGATTAGTTTAATAATTTTCATCGATGTTTTGACACAATTTTGAATACATTGAAGGTTTAGGGCCTTATAAACACCGGTTAAAGTTATCTTTTATTTCTTTTTAACAAAAGGATGAAGTAACTATAATACCAAAGAAGATAACAATTATTAGTTATTTTATGGATGAATGGTCTTTGCAGAGGGATGATTCTAATATCATGATTAATGATCTAATAATATACACTTTTTCACAATCAATATGTTGTATTGTTGTTTTGTAGATGGTCAGCTTTTACTTCCTTTATAAAGTTCGAAGTAGTACTCTGAGTACCTAAAACTTTGGATGAATCATTGTTTTCTATGAATATTGTTTGGTGTCTATACTACGCAAAGATAATATTTGAACTACATTAACATATGAATATCAAAACAACTTGAAAAAATAAATATAGATCCATGATCAATACCAAAAAGATGGCTTTGTTAAAACCAATACTTTTATGGTAGTCATGAACCTTTTTATGTATATTGAAAAGTTCAAATATAGATCTTTCCATAATCAATTGTAATATTGAATCACAATGATTTCTATAAGTTCCTTCATAAATAACTTTCAATGTTTCAACGTAAAGATGATTAAAAGCATACTTTATAATAAAGAAGAGTAATACATTGTTGAAAATATAAAAGGACTGTGATCAGATCCTTAGGTCATATTCCATATCTAACAGCACCAGAAACCGAGTTTGGGAAACTTCAAGTCAGATTATATATGAGTCCAGATTTACTTCGAAGAATAACTAAATTAAGCAATATATCTTAATTATTATCCTTTAAAGTTTAAACCAAAGTTAATTTAAATTGAAATTGAAAATTTGCTAGAATCGGTATACACAGCACATCATGATCAAAATACACACAGTTAGAATTATCAATTTGGAGTGCAATTCAACAGAAGTTAATAGCATCACAATATATGTTCAATAAATGTATTTTAATAAATTCGAATATGATGTAGAAAGAAAAGGGCGATAAACACTACGTGTAGTGTAAATTT